TGACTACATGTGAAACAACTCACTGCATTATCGCTCTGGTGTCCTCTTGCCACGGGAGCAAGAGACCAGACTGTCTGTGTTCCTGTTGTGCATCAAGAGGTAGGCAGAGCCAGCTGTTTCGAAGGACAGCCGCTGTCCAGCCTCACCAGGGATGGATCCACAGGTCCCCTTGGCTCTGAGCAGGAGGTTTAGTTGCAGCGTCCTAAGCAGCCACCCACCCAGACATCAGCCCACTGGCCAACTGTAACACTGACAAATGTTTTATTGCCCAAAAAGACAGGTGATGTTTATAACTGGCAGAAGGGAATATTCAGATAAGGTGGTGGGGGGTTGTGGCATTTTTTTCTTGAAGAAAGCACTTTGAGCAAACTTTCTTGGAGTAGATTTATTTATGAGAGTGAAGAACAGGGTCTTGCCCTTAAAAATCTGCTGAGTTCCCTTGGACGAGCCAGGAGTGGATGGTGGGAAAATCATCTGGGACATTCTCCCTTCACCCTGTTTCTTCATAGAAAGCCTCTGTCATACCCTGTGACAACCCACACCCCAACAGTTTCCCCATCAAAATCCCTGCCATGGAAATCAGGACCCCAACAGATTGGGATGAAGACTTCATGCTATGCACCCACTGTGGGCCAAGGAAAAAAAAATTATCAGAGGAAGCAAACTGACCACAATTTATGAGGAGGTACAAGGTCATGCATAAAATCTACCTTAGCTTGCCCCCAAGGCAGAGTCTTCCACTCCAAATCATCACCTTTGCTTCTGGGATTTGCCAAAGTTTTCAGTTCTCTCCCTAAGTGTCTGTAATACGGAAGTACCTGGGCATCTGCAGTTCAAAGCACAGGGACCTGCTCTGTACTGAACTATTCATCCCCAAAACACAGCCCACACAGCATTCAAGCATCTGGCAGTCCAGACAGCCCACAGGCAAGGGAGAACTGCCCTTGCAAAGGCACCACAAACCTGCTCCAGAGACAGCAGCCTGCCCAGTGCCAACCAAATTAGAAAAAGACTCACAGAAACCTGCCACAGAGTCAGGCAACAGAAAATCCATTCATTATCCAGCTGATAACAAATGTAGCAGACACAGAAACATTACAAATATTATCCATTACTAACATCTGCAGAGCAAGAAAACTGCTCAGAGGGGACAAACCAACATACTGGAGAGATACGCAGAAATTACGCAGAAAAAGAGAATAAGAAACACATATATCTGGAGACATCATGACCTGCTGCCAGGAAATCCACCTGCTGCACCAGCTCGGCCAGCAACCAGCTGGATCAATGGGATGAACAATGCTGCTGGCCAGGCAGGTGCAGCTGCCACACAGAGGGCAGCGCCCTCCCTCACCCCCTGGTCTTGCAAAACAGGCACACTCATGCAGAGCTACTTTGCCTCAGAGGAAGAGAGGTCCGGAGGAGCTTAGGGCAGAGCTGGGGTACAGGTAGCAGAATTCACAGAATCACAGAATATTCTGAGTTGATAGGGACCCACAAGGACCATTGAGTCCAACCTTTAAGTGAATGGCCCGTTGTCCGGCTCTTTGTCCAAACATCTCTAGTGCCTGGGTCTCATGTTTCCCAGGTCTATGGCAGCTCTACAGAGATAATTGCCTTTGATATGTTGCTACGGACTAATAGATCAAATGAATTTGAAATACCTCTTATCTAAGCTACACTAATAGCTGTCATAATGTTAATTCACCAAACAACATCAGCACAGATGAAAACACCTCCTTTTTCCCTTGCCTTTAAGAAGCAACCAGCTCTCCCCTATCCTGCCTCCCAAAGCTCTAGAGTTTCCTGAAATGCTCACAACCAAAACATGAACTCCCTCGTGCCTCCATCAGTCACTCCCTGTCTCTGATGAAACCAGGAGAGATCAGAGCTCTCCGAAGAGGGCACAGCCAGTGGGAGAACAAAGGGAACAGCAGGGCTACACAGGCTGCTCCTTTGTTAACCCACCGGGGAGCCTGCATTGAGAGGCTTAAAAGGCAACCGACAGCCAACCTTCTCCCAAATGTTCTCTGAATCCTCTGCAGAAATCACTTCTCTTGAGCATCCAAGGGGCAGAAGAAGCTAAGCCTGTGCAGGCAAATTCCCTTTAGAGGACTGCAACAAACACTGTCTTCTTAGAAGGTGAAAGTGAACGGGGCTTTGGCGGGGTGAGGTGGGAATCAGAAATAGACAAGACGCTCCAAAGCAAGACAAGGAGGGTACCACTCCCTGCAGAGTGAACAATGATGTTCATCAAGACACTACACACAGTTGACCTCCCCAGGCCATCAGTGACTTGTCTGCAAAGTGCTGTCGTTGTTACGTATCCCTTTGCAACAGCCTGCCTTAGCCCCTGACAGAGCTGCGGCATGGAAGCAGTCCTCCAAAGCTGTGTCGCCCGAAAATAAGACCCCTTCATGGGCTTGCCCTGAAAGGGGAACTGGCACCACGAGATCCTCCTGCCAGAGAATCGTAACGTGGCTGTCATCACGCTCAATGCAAGATGTGACCTGCCCTGACAACAGGCACCCAAATTCCCCATGACTACAGCACAAAAAGGCCAAATTCAACCCCTCACGCACACAGCCATAGATAAGGCTTCTCTATGTACAGTAAGCAAAGTTACACAGATGCCAAGCCGTGCCACCCGTGGCCCCGGCTGGCAGGAGGAGGCGCAGCCTTCCCGGGCGGGCAGAGGAATGCCCCGGCTCGGCACGAAGCCCTGTTGCTCCGCGCACCGGCGGCACCTCGGAGCGGAGCGGGGAGGGCTGGCCGCAGACCCCCGGGCCGGCTGCCGGTCCGCCACGCTCCGCGCAGAAAATCCCACCGGCAGCTCCCTGCAGGAACAGCCCGCGGGCAGGGCGCTCCTGGGAGCGAGGATCCTGCCCGCCGAGGGCGAGAGCAGCACCGGCTGCCCCGACTGCGGCCAGCGGGAACGCCCCGCTCCCAACCCCGCTCCCGCTCTCCCTCCCGCCGCACACACCGGGGGATGCCCGAGGCCCGCGGCACCGGGCGGCCGCCGCATCTCCCGCCCGTCGGTGCCCCCGCGGCTGCGGGCGGCGGCCCCAGCTCCGCACAAAGCAGGGTGGGGCCGGCGGGGGCTGCGGCACCCCCGGCGCGCAGCGGGCAGGGCAGGCGCCCCCCGCTCCCCGGCACCGCCGTGCTCCGCAGGCCCCCGGCTGCGGCAGGTGCCCGCCGCCCGGCCCCACTCCACCCACGGCCCCCATCTCGTACCTTGCCGCTGCCGGCGGGGGTCTGCCCGTGCGCTCAGAGCCCGCGCCGCGGCAGCCCGGCCTGGCCCGGCCCGCCTGCGGTCCCTGCCCTGGCCCGCCCCCGCAGCCGCGCCCCGCGGCCGGGAGGTGCCGGAGGGACTGGGGCTGCCTGCCGCCCCTGGCTCCGCAGGGCTTCGGAGATCCTTCCCGGGCAGGGCCGCTCTGCGGTCGGGCCCGGCCCCCGGGCGCAGCCTGCTGTGGGCGGTGTGGGGTTTGCGCTGGCGATGCCGCGGGGAGAGCCCCTCCGCAACCACTGCAAGGTGCGCGGGCGGCTCTCCCTACCCCGGCCTTGGGAGCCGGCCCGCCCGGGCCGACGGGCGCCGTTCACCGTCACCATCCCCCTTGCAGGGAGGGCCCCCGAGTCTGTGGCCAGAGGCGCATGGTGAGGGCTGGGTGCGAGTTCCTCCTCCAAGATCGTCCTGACAGCATCATGACTTTGCTATCACCTGCAGAGAGGCCTTACACTGGCTCCAGGAGCTTCTAAGGACATGGGCATACTGTGCCGTGTTCTCGGCGCAACCACCAGGTCCTGCATATCCTGAACACTGCACATACCCCTGCAACACTGCATATACCCCTACAACCTTAGATGGCACCCTCTGGCAGATGGAGAGACACTTGCCCAAAGCTGCAGGGCCTTCACTGATGGCAAGGGTCCTTAGAAACCTTCTCATGTCTTCAGAGCTCACACTCAGACTTTTGGGTTAGCTGGTATCTTGGCAGCACTACAAACCTCCCTGGTACCCTGGGTGAGGAACCTGGCAAGTAGGCAGCAATGCCCAAGATAAAAGGGCAGAGGAGATTTCCTTGGCCAGGTCACCCTTTCAGCTAACACCACTCTGGTCCTGTCCAATCAACAAAGCCTGGGACAGCTAGCTCATCTCCATGCTTTAGTGCTGCCAGCTGTGGGTAGCAGAGGCAGCTCTGGGCTGAGCCAGCAACTGTGACAAGATTGTGACACTCGGTGTCCTCCACTAGTGAAATGCTGCAGATCAGTGTAATGGATCAAGCAGAATATCAAACATGCCCAAACGTAGCTGTTACCCATTTGTAACTCCTCAAGACAAGGGACTATTTACCAAGGAGCTGTGTATCAACCTGAGACAGACTCAGGCAGAGGGGGTGTCTCAAACACTCTAAACCAAAGCAACTAAGGAAACAACAGGCAAGATAATGGGGATTGAAATCAGTAGAGCAGTAAGACCTACTGACAGTGCCAAAAGAGTGAGAAAAGAACTGTGTCCTTAACCAAAAGGTAATCACAGCAAGGGGAGATCATGACCATTGACCCAGTGACTACCTTCTCACTAGAGACCCCAACTCTAGTAAATGAGTGCACTGTTCATGTGAAGTCATGCCCCTCAGGGCACCTGAAGTCCTTTTGGAGAAGGAAAATCATGCCCTCGAAAAGAGTAGATCCACCAGATTCTTCAAGGATGTTGAGCTGAATTTCAGAATCAACCAGCCTGCCCCAAGAGTAATCTTCATGCCTTGCTGCCAGGTGCCAGGCTGGGACATCCCAGGAGACTGAGGCACTTGCACAGATACACCAGCAGACAGCTGCTGAGAAGCAGTGTCCATGGATGGAGGACAGGAAGTAATCCAGCTACGGGTATGATACACAAGAAAAGAAATTCGTAAAAACCTGGAGATGCTCTTCCCTTCTGATTTCAATTAAAAATTATTTTCAGAATTCTCCATCAGGGACAACACCTTGGTTCTTATGTCTGCTTCAGAGAAGTTTATTTTTTAACATGGACCAAAGTATATTATATACCACAGAGATACATCCAGCTATGGTTTGGTCTGATAATACGTGTTTCAAATGCTTTTTTTAATAAACATAAGGGCAAGTCAGGAGAAAAGATTTTTAAGCTGTTGCAGAAAGGTCTAGGAAAAATAAAATTTTAAGTGAACTTGTAATTTTCATGGTCTTGATTTAAAAGATAATGTCTGTAGCAGTAGCAAAAATCTGTATTTGTGCACACCCATGCACATAACAGTATGAGTAAATTAGATTAGCAATATCATCTGTGAGGAAAAACCTTTTAGGCTTCCTTAGCTAGGTGGCGTAAGTGCATTTTTTGAGATGTTGTAAGATTCCAGTAACATTTTCTTCTCATCCCACACTTTCAATGTGTGCAGCTCTCAGTGGCATGCAGGGGATGTATCCGCTCTTCCCAAAACCTCATTTCCACTTTGATTACTTCTGTACTGCGTGGCTGGCCTCCACAGCTCTCCCCTGGTCTTCTATAATTCACTGAAGCTGGTTGACTTGTCCAGTTGTGCCTAAGGCAGAGCTGAGGCAGACCTACAGCAGCAGAATCTGCTGCATGCTGTCGGTGCCAGCACTGCAGGCACACCTGGAATAAAGCACCACTCAGCAGGAAAGTGGGGTTGCAGCATCTGGCATTGTGTTAGGGAAACGAAGTTGTATTTATCTAAAGCACTTGACTGCTCCTGGGTCTATGGAGGACTGAGCTGCACAGGCAGGGCATCCAGCCCAGGGGATGGGCGAGCCTGGGAGGCGAGGGAGAACGCTATCAGACCCCATTCCCAAAGGCAGATAGGGCATCTCTGTGTACTAGACCTGGGTTCAGGGAAAATTAATGATTTTTCTAAAGAATATCAGGACAACTTTTGTGACCTAGTCCCTGTGGTTTGCAGGTTCACTCCCAGAGTGCCATAAGCCAGGGGAAAAACACCTTCAGTATTGAAAAATCCTACAGAAAAGACTATGTCCCTCCATTATGAATAGGAGTCAGAGACAAGGATATCAGCACAGGAAAACCGTAACTGTGAGGCAGAGAGAGATGGCTACACACTCATCCTGGTCGAGTGTGAGGCCATCAGAAGATCCAGTCATCCCCAGTAAAAGTCTCTGTAACATTAGGCCCTGCCTGAAGCCAGGCTGTGGTTGGTTTCACACCAAGATGAGAGTTCCTCTACAGAGCAAACTCACCTCCAGATGGCAGACTGCTGCCAGGGTCAGGCCAATCCATAGATGGCTCTGCTCAAAGCTAAACAAAAAGGAGAGAGAGCTCCCAGCATTTCTCAGCCAGACAGGGAGACACGTCTTGTGTTCCCATGGATTTCCATGGGAACCAAACTGGAGAGACAACTCCACTCTCGCACAACCCATTTCCCATGTCTGAGCCTGAATCCCATGGGGTGATGTACTCCAGCTTCCAGAACTTCCTCAGACCCAACACTTATCTGGACACTGTCTCGACTGAGTAACTGCAATGTTAAACAAACACTCTGATGGCAGGCTAGCCACTGAAGGCACCAAGCCTTCAAAGAGCAGGTTTTCTTTCTAACCAATTCAGAAGCTTTAGGTACCAGTGAGGGAGGGTTCTCAATTCATTATTTCCAGGGATTTTACTTGTACATAAAGATCTCGCTCAAGCCTCCACTGGAAAAATGTAGAAAAGCCCTGCCTGGTTGGGTCTTTTGCACCATGTCAATTCCAGTCATGGTACAACTGATATTTCCTATGCACCCTCAGCTGTAATCCTGAACTGTACTGTACAGGGTGGGCTGAATGGGGAGAAGTACAGAAGAGAATAAAACTCCTCTGACACCTTCCAATCTGTTACAAAGGAATTTGTCCCCAGATGGTCATGTAACTACAGCCTTGCTTCCTGGGGCGGAGGAGAAGCTCCTGCTGTGACCACTCTTCCCCCTCTGGTCCATCTCTTACAGACAGTTGCTACTGATGCCCTTCTGCAAGACGGAAGGGAAGTGATGACCAACTCCATTTTTGCTAAATCTCTTCCTCCTCTTCACTAGCAACCTCCTTCGGGTCCTGAGGCCCTTGCTCTGCTCTCTCTTTTACATAGGCTGCCTTGATCTGTTCCAGTTCGCACAGCTCTGCCTCCAGCTCTTCCCGGTGCATTGACCGACGGTTCCTCAGCAGTTTCATGGGGAAGGGGTTTAAGTCGTTGAAGGCAATGTTCATCAGCTTCCTACAACAGAAAACACAGGTCTGGTCAACCGATTTACTGGCTGGTAACACATGGCGACAGATACACCAAGGGCATCCCAGGGTAGGCAAAGAGTAAGGCCTCAGACTTCAGCTCTCTGGGCTCAAAAGTCACCAAGCAGCAGAGGCTTAAAGGAATGACACGCACCAACCCAAGCAATACTTGAAACACACCTATACCACACCACCTCTTAAGGTACCAGTGTGCAGCCACCAGTCAAAAGACAGTGGATCAGATGCCAATTCTAACGGCCTCTCAGGGAGGAATACTCCTGATGCTGAGCTCTTCTGAACACGCAAATCTTGACCCCCGACACGTTGCCTTTATAGGTTGTGAGTTGTGCTGTGTACCCAAATACCCCAACCACAGCTGAGTGAAACGCAGCAAGCAGCAGCACAGGTTCCATTTGCTACAAAAAGGAGGCTGACACAGAATTTGTGGCTTGTTCTGCTGTAGCATGCCTTTGCCCAGGCCAAAAATATTTTAAGTAATGCCAGGAAGGGAAAGTCAGAAAGAGACAAACTGATGCACGTCCCATGGACCTCTCAATGTATCTCTCTTAACAGATCAGTCACAATTCTTGTTCGGCTGACCTAACAGGCAAGGAAGTACAAGTGGAAGGTGTCTACAACTCACAGTCCTACCTGCCATCCATAATCATTCTTGTGAAAAAGCGTAGGTACTGGTAGATCTCCACACTGTCGTGAATTCTCAGGATTTCCTCCTCATTGTATTTAAAAATCGCAAGAGCATAGCGGAAAATGACCTGGAGGGTTGAAATGTATTTGAGTTGACAAGTTTTAAGCAGCTGAGGGACCAGGCCCTGCTGGCATGAAAGGCAGGGTCAGGCACATAGCACTGCAGCACAGGCTTGACCCTGGGGTACTCCTGCTCTCAACAGGTTGTGCTAGGGCAAGCCTAAAGAAGTACAGAGCAAATTTCAGGAAAATGACTCTCTGTAAGCTAATTTACAGCCCCAGAGAACATCAGCACCTACAAAAGGACACCAGAGGGATTTCACAAGGGGTCTCCAATTTTCCCTATGCACAGGGGCAATGTAGGACTCACATTTTCAGATACTAACCGCCTGTCTTATGCTCCCTGTATCTGTCATACTACTAGTTGCGTCCAGGTCACAGAACAGGAGATGCCATGGCCTATCAGAGAGCTGTTTGGTAGCAAAAATACTGGCTAAAAAGGGACAAGGATACTCTGCACAGTATCAAAGATTAGGTCTGCCTCCTGGCAGCAAGTACACAGACAACACAGGAGCCTGAGAGACATCAAGGCGTGGCACCAAACAGGCGGGATAGGACAAGGGGTTCAACCTCACATCTCTTTGACACACGTGTACATACGTACATCCATCGCCCAGCTATCATGTCACAGACGTGGTGCAGACGTGAGGGAGGCCTAGGTTGAGAGTTGTACCTTAGTTCCCTCGTACAAGAAGGCATCCCAGACTCGCAGGAGGATGTCGCTGACCAGGCTGTCCACAAAGGCCACCAGAAACCAGTTGAAGGTGATGAGTGACACATCAATCTGATACTGCTCAAAATGAGCCATGAGGCGAGGCAGCTTCTCGGACAGGAAGTCTTTGAAGACTCTCTGATCTACCTAAAATTGACAAAAGAGAAAACAACTAAGCCCCAGTCAAGAGCAGTCCTAGTAGTGAAGGAGGAGCGGTGCAACTGGACAGTGGTCTTTGTATGCTGGGGTCATCTCCAGTGCTGCCTTCTAGCAAACCACACCCCAGGAAGAGCAGAGCATCCTTTGTCTCCCAACCCTGCAAAATTACTGAGCAGTGTACCTGTACACTGCACCCAGGGCAAGGTGTGGAGCTGAAAAAGGGCTAAGATACAGGCAGCAATACGTGCATTCTTCTCACTCAAAAGGACTGTATTCCTTCCTAATCTCAAAGTCTAGAGGGAAAATGCTGCCACATCTTCCTGCACCAGTCTTCCTGGGATTTTCTGTGATATCATGAGCATTCAGTTGAATGACAGGGATTAAAACCTGCCCCGGTCTGAATGACTGCACATGGCCCAACAGAATGATGACCTAGAATGCCTTTGACTTTACAAGCAGGACCTGAACTCAATTAGTGTCTCTTTGTGGTCCAAGTATTGTCTGTGTTCTGCTTCTGGCTGCATGAGCCGAAATACAGAATGTACTTGGTGAGATCCTTGATACAGGTTTATAAAGGCTTCACGTCAGCAGAGATGTGGTTTCTTGAGGGTAAGTGCTAAGGAGTAGGACCATGGTTAGGTCTTTCCCTATGCCATATTGTACTACTGCCCCAGCTGTGTCAGCCCACTTGACTTTGGCACTACGGTACAAACCAGATGAGGTAATATGCTTTGTCTTTAAAATTCACAAGAACCTTAAGTTTTGCAGCCAACTCAAAGCTGGAACAAGCCAATCCACGAGGTATCACCCTAGACCTTCCTCTTTACATGGGTCTTGGCTACTCTTTCAGAGACAAACCATGACTTCAGGAAGTCTTCCTAAAAAAGACTCTCTCAAATGGCCAGTGGGCATTCTGATCTGCAGGGAGCCCCAAAGCAAGAACACACACTGTCTCTGATCATGAACTGAGGCAAGCAGAGTGAATATAAAAATCTCAGTATTTTCATCCACCTGCACATGGCACTCTAAAGACAGAATGCAGTTTCAAGAAAGATATCTGAAGGGCTGCAGAGTGGTGCCCTCTTCACATCAAAGTTTGCTGCTCCACCTCTACTAAGCCCTCCTTAAAATAAGTAACTGTGCAATTAATGGGCACCTTCCTTCTGACTAAGTTGACCTTCAGGGAGTAGTACCCAATTTCCCAGTGCTGGGGATCAGTTTTGCTAGCACTTCTGCACTCTCAAGTCTACAACACCTCTGCAACAGAAAGGATTGCAGAGTGGTGTCACTGTCCCATGAGAAATCAAACACACTGCAAGCTGACTGCTCGCTTTTAAACCTTTACTGTATGAGAGTCCTAGCAAATGTGAGGGTGCACAGCTCACCTGTGAGGTTATCAGTGTGTCACTGTAGTAGTCTGCTGGCATTAGGTTCTCCACAATATGGACTAGACACCAGAAAGCACTTTCCTCATCTTCCAGGACCAGGAGAGCAACAGCTGCTAACCTGTGATGGACAAGGCACGGTGAAGCAATACAACACTAGAGAGGAGGTGTCCTCAGCCAGCACATGAACTGAAGAATACAAGACTCCTTTTGGCATGTCTTCAGTCCATCAGTGTCCAAAATATCCAGTGTCAGGACAGAGAGACAAGTGATCTGTTCTGCATGTTTCTGAAGGAACCAAAGGGCCATGTTTTTCTTTCCCATGTGTCTCTGTCCAAAAATATGGAACTCGTGTGACAAAGGTACGTTTCCCACCTAATGGAATTTTCTGTAAGTCTGCTGAAGTTAGTAATTTGTTGATTTTTCTAATTTCAATACAGGAAAGAGCTCACTCAGAGGTACTCCATATGTGATGTAGTTCACCTTCCTATACATTCTTTTACAGCCCTTACCTCCTTTAGCTCTGATTTACCCCTTTCAGACAGATTGCAAAGATGACATCTAATATCAAGGGTTCTCTAAGTGGAAAATGTCTTTCTGAAGGCCACAGAAAGAACAACAGAAATAGCTTACACAGACATTCCTCATGTGAAAAGCTCCAACTAGAGATTCCCCTCTTGAAGCTTGTGCCTGATCCCTTTTTTACTTGGTAGCACAATTCTAAGAAGTCTGTGTTTTATTTTCCCATAGCCTTCTTCAGGAAGGGAAAGAAGCTTTTAGGTTCCCTGAACTTTCTCTTCTCCAGAAAGAACCACCTCAGTTTCCTCAGCCTCTCCTTGAGTCATTTCCTGCAACTCCCTTATATCTTAACACTTCACAACATTTCCTTCAACTCCTCTCAGCAGAGGAATCACCAAGGTGTTCTGCTGAGTACACTACAACTTAAAAATTCAGCCCTGGCCTCATGCTGTTATTGTGGGACTGCCTCACCCTACTTCCTGTAGCTGTTCCTTCCTATTCTGTATCTACAGAGATGCTAAACAAGTGCATCCTGCTGCTTGCTGGATCCCAGCAACAACACTGGATGAAAAAGAGACACCAAATACAGAATTCTGCAGGAAAATACCTAGAGCCAGGACAGAACTCCAGAGAAGCAAGAACCACAGCCTAGAGTATGTGCCTACACCTTTTCAGTGCTATTCCATGAAGAAGCAGCATACCTGGCTTCTCACCTGTTCAGTCCCTGGCAGTATCCAATGGCAGGATTGTGCCAGGAGAATGCCAGCAATACCCTCCGGAGCTTGGGAATGAGCTGGGAGGTGGGAGAGGAAAAATGCTTGTTGTTGGTGAGCGTGCGGGGCAGGTCGAGCTCGATCTGGCGGCAGGCAGGGTGCTCAGTGCTCCTGCTCTGCTGCAGCAGCCGCTGGTAGTGGTCAGGCAGGCGGCTGCAGTGCCGGCTGACAATCCACTTCCACACCCGCTGCCGATGCTCCACCGGAATGCCGCTGCGGATCAGGCTCTTCAACTCTGCTGAGGGGTTCAGCTCCACAAGGCTGTTCCACCTGTCACGGAGGGGCTTCTCCACAATTTCCTGGCTCCGCAGTTTGTTGGACTTTATCTCCAGGGCTTGGATTTTGGCCAGAAGTCTCCAGTCCTCAATTTCATAGTCAGGTACAGTCATAAACCCATACTCATCATACTCGCTGGAGGAACACAAGGCAGTGGTTAGTTCAAATGACGGTGCTAGTACCTGTGTCGAGGACACTGCTTGGGTCATGCCAGCTACAGCCTGCTGCCAGGTTCTCATCACTCATGCACAGGTGCTCCTCCTTCACTTCCCTGGCAGCAGCATGTGACAGCCTGCCATGCCCACTGTCTCAGCCTTGAGGACGAATGGGAGCCTGCAGCAATGGCATACACACTTAGACTCAAGGGTTACTTGGCTCTGAGCTGCAGCCCAGCCTCATCAGACGTCTCTCACCAGCTCCCCAGCCCCTGAGGGAGTATCTAGCTCACCCTGCAAACCTTCTCCCTAGCACGCCCTAGGGCAGAGACAGTTCTGTAGGAAGGGACTGCAAAGGCTTTGGGGCATCAGATCAAAGAACAGAGATCCACAGTCCTTTCTGATGTCTCCTGGTACACAATGAAAATCTCCTACTGACTGGAACACACCAGGAGTGCTGATAGTACAGCTCGCTTAGGGTTTGCGCACCACCTGTCCACAGTGTAGGATACTTGTAAGGTATCATCATATTCTTGGCAGAGAGACCAAGCCTGGTGTAGGGGTCTCATCTCCAAAGCTACCTGGAGAACTTGTGAGACTGACCAAACAGATAAAACGGACAGTGTTATAGAACGGGGGCACTGACTGGGCAGGACGGCATAAACACAAGTAGGGACCCCAGCAGGGCTGGTGGCAAGGCTCTCTGGAGGTTTCCAGTGCAGCCCACCTTCACTGCAAGGCTGTCCCCAGGATTAGCACAGGGCAATGCTGGCTTTGTATGGCTGAGTAGAAAACTCCTAAGGACAGAGATGCCCCAACTACCAGATGGACTCCTCTCCTACAGAGAAAGTTCATCCTCATGTCCACCATTTACCTCCCAGGCAATCCATGGCTGTCATCACTTGCCATACTATCTGCCACTGCCTAGAAAAGTTTAGCTCTATCATCCTCAGCTTCCCCTACCTATGGTGACATGCTGCAATCAGATATTCATGGTCTCCACAACACCAAACCAAATCAGCTTCCTCAACTTCCTCTGCTATGTTGTGGCTCCAAGTCCCTGCTATAAAAATGTTCCTAGATCTTTCCTGCCTGCACATTCCCCTTCATAGACGGGCTTCTAGAAGGGTGTTAATATTCCCAAATCTTGACTCTTACCTGACAGGGTTCAAGTTAAAACCTTCTTCTGCTTCTTCCTTCACATCCCACTGGAGTGATTCCTGGATGAGATTCTTCACCAACTCAGCATAGGAGCTGGGCAGGCCAGGCACAGCCTCCTGCAGCTTCCGCAAGACTGTCAGGTATTTGCTCTCCATCTGGCAGTTTCTTGCTTGCAGGCAGGCACACTGATGGGGAAACAAGAAGGAAAGAGGTGGCTCAGTGGCAGTTCTTCCTGCATTGCCACTACTCTCTTACCGGCCTGGTCTGCACATAAAGCAAACACTGCTGAACAGCAAAGCCCCAGAAAACACATTTAGTATTTTTCTACAGTCAGTGGAATTGCAGATGTGAACGAGTCACCTTGGTCTATCAACAAGCACATGCTGCAGGACTAGCATGCAACAGAAGTTACTTATTGAGTGGGAGACCTACTTCATCATCACCTACTTTAGCTACTGCATTACATCAGTGGGTGGCCAGCTCAACTCAGGACGCAATCCAAGAGCAACCAATGCATCTGAATTTGCTGCAGTCTTTTTCCCTGCCCCTCATACAAGTTCTGTACACGACACTGAGCTGTGTCCTGACAAAACACACCACTCCTGAGACTGAGCTAAAAGCGTACCATTTTCAGGACACACGGCAGCACCACAGACCAGGTGCCACATGCCCCTCAGCATCCCCAGTCCCATGGAACTGGTACACATCACTTTGCAAGGACAGGAAGCCCAGATGAGTTCAAACACCAGGACAGTACATGCCACCACCATACTCCTGGGCACACAAAGCAGAAAAAATGAATGATGACTGTTGGCCCACTCCACAAAGGGGGGACTGAGGCCACAAAGGTGACAAGACTCACCCAGTGTCTCAAAGGAAGCTCAGTGAAGACTCCTGTTCAGTGGGAAGCAGCAGTTGAAAACAAGAACAAAACAGAAACCACACAGAGAATTAGGTTGCATATAGAGGGGACAGGAAGGAGCATAGGAGACCACTTTAATCAGCATGTTGCCTCACACTGAGCATGCTGGGCTGCTCTGATTACTTCCTTTCTGAAGGTTACAGCCATTTCAGGATCAGAGAGGGCAGTAAGTTAGGAGGCAGGCAGGGTTTCTAAGAACTAGAAAGCAAATAGATATAAAAATGGCAATAACACTTCAGAAGCAGCTTTTTGTCCTGTTTTATAATCCACAACTGTGGAGACATACCTGTGGTGGTGCATCCCCCACCTCAGGCCACACTATGATCTCAGAAATGCTCATTAGGCTTCAGCCTTGATGAACAGGACCTGGGCTAAGCACCTCTTGAGCTTACCAGAAACACTGTCTGCTCCCAGGAATTTCTGCAGTATAACGAGCTCCTGGTTTTTAACAAACAGCATTGGAAGCTTATTTTTCTTGCAAACCCAAGTGGAACAACCCAAATGGAATAACACTTTCATTACCAAACTTTCCAAGAAAGTTATCAGCCCAAATTGCAGCCAGGATGGAAAATTACTATGACTAAAGCCCACTCTCTTGCAACCCTACATGAGACCCTTTGAGCTCTCCCTGACCACAGTGGCCTGTGACCAGCAACCTCCCTCTGAGTGCAACACCTCTCAGAGTCAGAGAACTCTCAAGTTCACTGTACTTGGAGGACCACCACCAAACAATGACCACGGATCCTGGGCTGATGCCCCCACTCCTTGAGGCTCCACTCTTTGCCTGTTGAGAAGATGTAAAGTCATCCAACGTGAGTAGTTCCCTGAACTCAAGGGGAAATTTTCCCAGGTATATACCTTGTACATACTCCACAGGTCTGCGTGTGTGCGAGCGGGAATATGCTACAGCACACGCACCATGAATGCTGCTCTCCTAGATTCTTAAGTACCATAGATTTGTAAGAAAGTTAGGCCTACAATGGTTACTGTTCTGCTATAGTAAATTCTACATGAATCTTTTGTTAAACCGGTTAAACTAAACTACTGATTAAGTGCTACTGAGCTTAGTGCTATTAAATCTTTAGTCAGGTTCAGGGTTCAGTTTGGCAAGGGGTCCATGCTGAACATCGTGACTCAATGGGAGGGTCCCCCTCATTCCTTTTATCCTTACCCTTTCCCATCATCACGCTTTTCCATCTACAGCCTCCATGCAGATTATTTTTGATTGATTTTAGTTTTAGATTTATCAGTTTTAGGTTTTATTACTATTTCTCCTCTGTGTGCTTTAACCATCTAGCAAGTAGTAGAACAAGCCTTGTCAACAAACTCTGTCAAGCTTCCACTTCAATATTAAACCTCCTTTAGCCAATAACTTCGCCAGTGATTCTTTACAACCTAAAACACTCATTCATGACAATACCTTAAAACCCAATTAAAACCTCAGTAAATCCCACAGAACAAATGCCAGCACACACCACCAGCCCTGGACATGGTTCAGAACCAGAAGGTAGGATTAGACAAGTCTGATAGTAACCAGGTTACGCACACTTACAAGGCTAGAAATAAAAATAAAACTTAAGAAAAACATAAAAACTCTGATCCAACTATAGGACCTGAAGACTGCTGCCACGTGGCAATGCCAGGTCTAGCAGAGAAACCATGATTAGATGGAGCCAGGACTCAAGTCTGTCAGCTCTCAGGAAACTCTTCTGAATGCTTTTTCATTTGTATCTAAAAGCATAGCTGAAATGCAGAAATCTGGGTTAAGTTTCAGCACTCTTAAGACTGAACTTTGTCGGTATTTTACTTCTATTAAAGAATAAAAATGATCATGTCTAATTTGGGAACAACACAAAGCTGAAAAAAGGTCACACTAAAAAAAGACATTGCAAAGAAAGCTTACTCCTGGTGATCAAAATCCATTCCTGTGCCAACTTTGAAAATAAAGTAGTAACAGTTCACACCAAAGGAAAAAGGTCATTTTGTCTTACCTTCATCAGAAGAGCTTTTTCATTCTCAGCAACACTTGTCCAGAGTCGAGTAACCTGGTGGATCTCCGAATTGAGAAATTGGTTCTGGGTTTTGTACGCATCTATATCGTCCTGCCATGAAGCAAAACAGTCACACGAGGAGAGTTCTTGGGGGGCTTAAAATCCCTCCCACTTCAGGGATATCAGATTATGTTAAGAACAATAAGGTATCTCAAAAATTTTGTGTTCTGGGGAGCAGACAGGACTCCCCAGGACAAATACTGCCTACAAAGGAAACCAAGGCACAACATTAAATTTGAATGTCATGCATGGTCAAGACACTTGAAAATGCTAAATGCACATACATGCTTGAAAAACACAGAGACATCCAGGTCATATAAAGCTAGAGAAGCAACTAAATAAGATGAAGAATATATGTGCTTTTTTTGGATTTCATATGGTTGGTTGATTCGGTTTGGGGTTTTGGTTTGTTTTTTTTTTAAGGAAACAAATACCCATGGCTGTCAGCAAAAACACTCCCACAATGCAGCCAGCAAGTGGCTCTTTGGGCAATTCTCCACCTCAAGATAACTGGTCATTATAACTCTGCACATACAACAGGATGGATCTGAAAGAACCAGAAGGTATTGGGAAACTGTTTTCAAGAAGGAAACAAGGGGGAACAGGTTAGTGAAGGCAGCAAAAGAGACTGCACCCCTGAAACAAAAGAAAGCAAATAAAGAAGCAAGCACTGAATGATGATGCAAAGTCAAACAAAACAGGCTCTGAGCTGAAGCTGACCTAGATGATTTTTCAGCACCCTACTGGCATCAGGTGGGCCCCTTCCAGCCTCCCTCCTTTGGAGGCAGATGGAACAGCTAGCAGAAGCATATTCTGTGCTTCCCACAAGAAAGACCCTCCCACTGAACCTGAGGGTACAGAAATGGGAGCCCCCAAAAGACCTGTGCCATCTCACACACCTTCAGGTGCTCAATCTCCTCCTGCTGCTTATACAATGTCTCTGCAGTGACAGTGTTGTCTTCTTGCAGGGGGTCAGAGAGCTCTCGGGCCATCTGTTCCGTCAAGGCCATGATGACTTCCTGTTTGGCGTGGTTCTTCTCCATCAGAAGCTGCACATGTTCCTGGAGTTCCTGGATGTGGCTGTCTCTCAAAGTCAGTATCTGCTCCAGTTCCTTCTTTTCTTGTTCAAGAGCTTCCAGTCGACTAGTCAGATCTGCGATTTGTCTCACTTTGTGGCGCACCAGCTCCAGCCTGTCCTTATCTTCTGCTGCAGTGAGATACATGCTAGATACTCGCTTCTCCTGCTGGGCTGCCTCCAGAGCTTTGTGGAGAAGTTTAACCAGCTCCTGGAAAGGGAATGTAAAGTCATCACATCACAGTGCTCCCCCAGGGCAATGGCAGCACAGACAGCACAGACCCAACAGTGAAAGGTCCTCAAGACATTGAAATTGGCTCCTTTCAGAAGGAAAACTGAATGCAGAAATTTTAAAACCACATTGACACCATAGCAGAGAAGTTCTGCTCACAGAGCTGGGCCTGAAAGGTCTCTACAGCAGGTCACAGATAACTTGATTTTATGTGGATTGTATCAGAGAAGCTACTGCTCACACTGTCTGAATTCTGGCTTTCCTACAATCGTTCTTGAGAGGTCCAGCAAAGAACCTGGAGATCTGGTCACCAGTGTGGTAAAATGGGAGGGAAATAATGCAGTCTGCATCCTCCTGTGCTACCAGGAGGTAATTGCAATATCCATTTTAATCTTCCCTCTGCCAGAGTCCTCCCTCACTCCATCCTACCTGAAGGCATGAAACCTTGCCCAAGCAACACGTTGCTGATTCAGGTCTTGCCATCTCAGAAACTTTAAAAAGAAAATCAAGGATGCAATTGACTGCCCAACATGGGACCTGGCTCTCCTGTCTCTTCTGCTGGAATTGCTACCAACATCATTAGTGTAGAACCTGGCACTGGCAACCCTGCTTGTGAAGAACAGTATCATTCATGAGAGACAGCCCTTGCAGTGACTTATGTCTTGACTTCTTTAGTCAAATCACATCTTAATGGTGGATCACTGTTCAAAAATAATGACTTATTGTTAACAGCATGACTCCACCTGACAGTTCTTGCCATAGTACCTGTGCAGGACTGTACTTCATGTATTCATTGAGCAATAAAGATGCACGAGCAAGACACCAGTAGAGCACACTTAGATTTGTTTTACCTCCCTCTTCTAGCTGGCTGTACTTCCTAGCAATGGCTGAAGGCCTTCCCTTGTCTTGGGTACAATCACACAAAGTGGTAACACCAGGAGCTTCAAATGGTCCCATTAGTGCCTGCTGAGCACTTCTCAGCCTAACACCAACATACAGGGAGTCCCTGCAACCAGCCTCAGGGCCCTGCCCTTAGAAGCAGCAGTCTCTTCACCACACTTACCTTCTGTGACTTGACTTCCTCTGTCAGCGTCAGGATCTGTTGCTGTAGAACACTCACTTTATCCATTGGGTTCCTCTCCCTGGACAGCTCTTCATGTGAGCCCGGGAAGCCACTGTTCTTCCACCTGGCTTTCCTAATCCAGTTCAGCCTGGGCTCCATCCTCCCATCCTCCAGGGTCCCTTCCTTAACTAAAGAGAGATAGGCTTAATTTCCACAGAATTGCTGTGCCACTGTGTACTCCCAAGTTTTGCTGTGGGGGGGACTCAAAACAGTTCTGCAGAGAAGGCTGGCACACAGGGCATAGAAAATTGACCTGCTGGGATCCACAGGATGGAAGCTGAAACAGTGGGGATCAGACACAGGTACGCCCAGAATAAATGAAGCTGTACAGTTTCACGGTACCTGCTCATCCACTTTGCATCCTGCTCATGTATCTTGCCCACAGCAAATGCAAGTTGTCACCATGGAGAGGCAAACATGCAGTGGAGTTGCTACACTTAGCCTCTGCCTGTGCAGGGATTCTACCTCAAAGAACTAAGCTTGGCACATGGATTTTGGGGTTTTTTGCCTCTGCAGAAGGTTGCAGAGGTAGAAGATATAGACAGATGCAACCTGAAGCAGAGCCAAAAAAGTCAGTCTTGTGGTAACAAGACAGGAAGAGACTTGAGACAATGTGATAAGAGTTTTTATATCCCTTGACAACTTGCCACCCTCTCCTTCCCATTCCTGCTAAGTCCTGATTCCTACTAAAAGGCATCATGCTCAGACCAGCTCCAACAGCTCAGTAACAATCACCTGCACACCCTGCCTCCACTTCCGCATCTTGTTCCTCATCCAGGCTCGCAGGATGCTCTTGAAATTCATCGAAGCTGAAGACGTTATCATTGTTCCCCCAGAGCTGTCTGGAGCCACAAATATTGTAGACAGTGTTTCTGAAACAAGAAGAGATCAACACAGGCTAGTGAACAGGAGAAGTCATGATCACTGCAGTCAGTGCACATTCAAACTATTCAATGCCTCTACTTCCCCTTAATTCCCACTTTGCCTCCCAACACCTATCTCCTTCATGTGCTGAGAAGATGAACTGTTCACAGCAATGGTGGATCTGAGAGGAGAAAGGCTTAAACTGCTGTAAATCAGGAAGACGCCACAAAATCAGTACCAGCATAGCAATGTACAATCAGATGATCTTTCCCCACGTGCTTGAGTCCTATACATAACAGATGAAACAGAGGGATCAAGGGTAACAGTAGACCAACAACATCTCTCCCCCCACTCTCTCCTTCCCTCCTTCTCTCCATCCCTTCCCTTAGCACACAGCAGAAATCCCAAGGTGCCAAGAAACGCTCAGCTACCAACAGCACAGCCAAAGCTGGAACGATGATCACATTTGAAGCAGGCACTGGTTCCGTGCTCCAAGCTACATTTAATAAATATCCTTACCACAACCAAGTCAATAGACTAAATGCAGTAGAGAGATTCAGGAACAAATTTGCAGTCAGATGCAGAAATAGTTTGTTTCAGCTGCTGTTAACAGACATAGCCAAAAGCAATGAGATAACTTTACAGCATCATACAGAACCACAAATGTACAAGTATCTTCTGTAAAACCTATGCAAAAAGGTATGCATACAGGTCTTGTCCCTTCTCCCTGTGTGTTGCCCATCAGCTAAAACAAAATAAGCCCCATTTTGAGGTCTGCAAAAGACTCAGTGTCTGCTACTTTCGTAACTGTAAATGAAGTTACCACTTAAGATACTGTTCTCCTTTGCCTTGCTACTGGCTCCAGAGCAGAAGAACAGAGATTACTGACCTCAGAGAACATACAGGTACCTAAGACCAGCAGACCTTCCATCCCCCTTGTCTGCAGTTAGTCCTCATCTAATGTAATTTTCCTGCGTTTCTCTACCTCATGCTGCACTTTGTTTTTCCCCTCAGACTGCAGGAGCTCATGGATCCAGACATGTTACACTCATGAAGACCCAGCCTGACAGTGAGAGAGAGTCTGGAAAAAGGTTTACAGAACCAGGGGAGCAATACAATTTGAAGCTGAAAAGCAACAATTGCTACTTAGGCTCGCAAAAGCAAGCCTGGGGAGTTAGGGGGGTGTGGAGGGAGATATGTTTGCGTTACTTTTAATTAAAAATTAGTGAGTAGGAGAAAATGCATAGCCTGAAAAATAGTACAGCTTACTTTGATAGTCTCTGGTCTCATGGGGGATCTTTCCTCCTATGGGCATCAGATTATAGCCACACAAGTGGTGGTAAAAAACAACAGGCAACCTCCCAGTCAAAAATATTTGGCAGGTGGCTGGCTACCTACCACACCTGTGGCCACTTACAAATTTTTGGTTATATGTAAATAAGTGATTAGGAGATACTGATGGGGTTGTTCTTGTGCAACTGTACCTGCCCAAGGCTTGTGTGGTGGTTTTAATCTAGGCCTTCCTTGGTTACCAATTTGTAACCTTGGTTACCAGTTTGTAACCAAGGAAGAGGCAGTGTTCCCAGTATTCCATACGATTTTTACGTAAATCGGGGTATAAATAAGAAGGGAGGAGAGGCCTTCTCTCTCTTCTCTTCCAGCGGGGTACGGGAACAGTGGGTCCTTGCGTTGGTCTCACTTATCTAAGGCTGAGGCCTGCAGTGACCGCTGGCCTGCCACGTGGAGGATAGCAGAGTGCCATGTGTGTGCCAATCCTGTTTTTTTCTAAGGGATGTGGTGAGATTAGTTTTACTAGTTATTTTACTAATTCTTGGGTTTGATTGTGTATATCCGCTTGGTGTCCCTTTTTGTTCCCTTTTGTTCCCCTTTCCCCTTTCCCTATCCCTTCGGGGGGTGTTTGAATTCCTTTTTGCTGTGTACATAGCATCTTAACTGTAATATACATCAAATATATATTTTTTTATATAACTAGCTTGATTTTTGGGTTCTTCAATTTACATAGTTTTTTTCCTTTGCTCTGGGGGAAGAAGGAAGAGGGAAGGGGGGGAGGCTGCTACTGGGGTTTGGGCATTTGGCAGGGAGCCAAGTCTGAACCATCACAGCTTGTAACTTGAAATCCAGGCGGAGGAGTAGCAAGCTGTGCAGTTGTGCTTGAGCCCATAATATGACTCCTTTTCCTTGGAGATCCTGCTTTAGAGAATGCACTACATTCAAGGTCCTTTGAAACAACTGGAAAGTGCTAAAGGGCTTCTATCACTACCTACTGAGTCCAGCTCAACCTGACTCATGCCCTTCCACCAGTGCTGTGCAGATGCATCATAGGCATGCCAGGCACTGCTTACACTGAAGAGAGCTTAACCAAGTCCTAGGTCTGCCACTAGGATCTTTGCTAAGAGAGACAGATGATGGGGAATGCATCAGAACTGGGGTATGTGAAAGACCCTCTGGCAGGAAGTTTACTTTAGCCTGGAATATCCTTAAAAAGCTGATTCACAGTTCTTCCACCTATGCAGGAGTCCTTTTTCAAACGACACATGACAGGCAAGGAAGGCACATAGTGGCAGATAAGCACATCGACTGCACTCCAGTTCTCATCATTCACTTACTGTATCTCTGTCCAAGGGTGCTTAAGGGAGATGTTCTGCAAAGCAGTAGATGTTTGGGGTGCAGGCAAGGATGCTGCCTTTAAACCCACTGCTTCTGTTGGTGTTTTCACCAATGGCAGAAAGTCTTCATTGTCAACTACATCTATGTAAAAACAAAACAGAACACAAAAGCAAATGAGCAAGACAGAATTCCATTGGACTTTGGCTCCTTCATGTAACCTGAGAGCCACAACATTTTACTACAGGTATACGTTCAGTGTTCAAATGGTCAGGTGGAACTAGGACAGCAGAGCAGTCTTCCTTAGTTTTCCATCAAATTACAGAAGTTTCCATGTACAAATACAATAATCTATTTGAGGAAAATCAAGTGATTTCAGCCATATATATGAGAACGACTAACCCTAAACAACTGAACTTTTTAACTGCCTAACGAAATAAGTAAGAGATTTTGCCATTCTCTTTCCACATCCCAAATCATGTTTCATAGTTTTAATGTGTAGGTAACTCTCCACAGTTTGTTACCAAATTTTTGCCTGCTGTACCAAAATGCCAAGGTACCCAGAACCTTTCACAGCACGCACTTACTAGGTAGGGGATTATTTGCCTCAAAAAAATGCCAGTATGCATCTAGTCATAACTAAAGAGGTGGACACCCTGTTTGTGCCCTCCCCTGATCCACCCATCTGTGTACTACCCCTTCTAGGAATGGACATCCTCATCCCACTGCTGAAAATAAATTTGCTCACTCTAAATTTCACAGGCCTAGCAAGAGGAAGGGGATATACCAGATGTGCACACTTCACATGTGTGAAGAAAATCAAGATGGAATTCATGATCATAAGATAATAGCTGAACATCTCCAAATACTTGCTGTGGATTTGGAGGCAGCTTATTCACTTGCATGCATAATGAGGCAGAAGTTCTAAACATTGACCAAGCACTGATAGTTAGCACCTGCATTTAAAAATCTGGCCAAAACCTCTGCCCACTTACAGATGAGGAGCACCATCCATGGAGGGGCCACTGAAAGCAACAGAAAAACTGACATATGCCACACCTACTTGTTCTGCCAGCTAGAGGCTCATTCACAAGCTGGGAGCTGCCCACAGGAAATCTGCTCTTAGTGTTGCAAAATTCCCAACGTCTCATTTGCAGCTGCTGCAGCCAGTACATCATTGCCTGCTTGCTGATTGCCTAATATAACAAAAAACAGGAAAAGGAAGGGAATAATCTCATCAGCATGAGACATATCCTGAGAGGATGACCACCACTTTGCTACACAAGTCAGCAGAAACAGAGGCCAGCTGTATCAAGCCTAAGCTGAATTTGTATCCTCTGCTCCCAACCCTGATTTGGGAGGATAGAGTATATCTTTAGTATGGCCTTAAGAACCAGAATCTCAGTGGACCACTGACCTAATTTTAAATGTGTTTTGCTTTATTATGCTTCAAGGCTAAGCAGAAATGTCACAATTATTTTAGACAGGAATCACCCACAGAGCTTCTTAACAGAAACTTTCATGGAGATAAAAATCTAGCAAAGATTCCTGCTGGAACAATCATTTTAGACAGGGGAGTTCATTTCAGTTCAGAACATTACATGTGGACTGCAGGACTCCCCAGCTCTTTAATTCAGCACATACTTTGTGTTTTATTGTCGTTCTGTTAAACAACAGCCATCTCACACATACTGCAGTCCCACTCCTGCTAAATCAAGCAAGTAATTTAGGTCCAAATGGTAACAATCCAAGCTGGGAGGACTAAAGCGAAATTCAATCTAAGAGATACCTTAGTAGAGATCTGTCTGTCCTGACTGGGAATGTTTCATCACAAGAAGATGCTGCTCCTTACCTTCAAAGTAAAAACTCTGCTTGGTGTTCTGATCTCAAAAATCCCTTCTCCATTTTCCATTTTGCAGTCAAAGCTGGCGCTGGAGAGCTCGATAGACCCCAAAGGGTTAATGTCCTGGGCAGTTCTGTAGTATAGTAAGTGACATTTGTTTTCATCATAAAAGAACCAGCGAGACTTCCAGGTTTTGATCGGCCCCTTGATGCCCAGTTTATTTAAATAGCCACAGAGTTTTTTTCTGGATGTTTCTTTGCTAGGTTTCAGCTGTGTGTTTTCCAGTTCTCCAGGAGAGAAAAGCACATCTTTGTCTTTCGCTGAGGCTCCATTTCTGCTGTTATCATCTGGATTTGACTCCACTAAATTTCCTACGGCTGCAAAGGGACACGCTCCGCTTTCTGGTCCTTTCTTCATTTCTTTCAGGAAATAGATCAAAACAGGAAATTCTTTAGGTAAATAAGTAACAGCAGATCCCGATTATATCATCGTTATAGAACCTGAAGCAAATAAAAAAGAAGGAATAAGTTCACGTCTGGCATACAACAAAAAAACATACCCTAGCTTTCAAACTACTCAGCCAAGGTCTCCAACCCTACTTTTGGTCGTTGCTCTCTGCCTTCCTCTGCTCAGATGACCTCTACATACCTGCTTTCTTCCTTTTTCATTCCTAAATTAACCTGGACTAGCAACTAAGAAACAGTAATAAAAAATAATCTTTTGCATGAAAAATAAGTACAGCCTGTGAGCATACAAAATCAATAGCAATAACAAGGGCATTCAGGACTCAAAATATTAAAACACAGCAAGATAAAAAGTTCTGGAGGTAGGCACGTACTTAGATCAAGGGATTGGAGGTAAGCGTGTCCTGGTATTAACACTGAATGTTCAACAAATATTTTAAACCATGATGTCCAGAGAAAAATCCAGCCTTATGCAGCATCCTTTAAACCAATTTGTGTCAGCTGACTAGTGTTATTAAAAATCCTGTATGCTGTGTGTTAGTTCTTCATCCAGTAGGATGGAATCATATGATGGATTATGCACCGGAGAAAGTAATTCTATGATCCTTGCAAAAGAGACTTGGTTGCTCAGTGGCCAAAGTAACCACCTGGTCCCAGGAGGAACACAAGGTGCAAAAGAAAACGAGAAAAGACATGCTGGAAGGGATCAGTGTAGATCTCTCATTCTGCTTCTCTCTCAGAGAAGGGGCCAACTTAAAAGCTGTAGCCAACTACTCAGGTACGCATTCAGATGAATTTTGATCATATGTTATAATCAATTCTGCCACGTTTCTGAGCACTTTTTCAAGTGCTTAACCATACGACAGGTGTGATTTTCTGCTCAGAGCTGCCAACACCGACAGCTCCTGCATAAAAAAAGCTAACAACACTCCAGAAAAGTATAAATAATTTTTTGCATTTTTTTAAACTGCAGTTTCAGACACTAACATATCTGAAGCAAATATGTAAGGAAATAAATTGTTGCAGTGTTGAGTTAGTGTAAATCCCACTGCAGACACAAAACTATTGAACACAGCATCCAGCTGTATGACAACACGTGAATGGAGATAATACAATGGAGCACACAGAGATGTTGCCCAAGCTCACACTGAGGCACAACTTATCCTCATTACTGAAAGAAGGCTTACCCATCCTAGAGCTTTGCTAAGCGCCATCATGTTTATTGCTGCCACCTTCTGTTCCCACATTAGCTTTACAGACAACTACAGAAAATGTTCACTCTTCGGAAAGCTACTGAAATTCTTTTAGTGGACTCCTGTGGCCGTGGATCCTGGCGCTGAACACATTCACAAATGACAACAACAAGCACCCTTTATGAAGGTGTTGTCTCAAGTAGGGTCCGGGAACACCCAAGAACTTCACTGCCGAGCTAATTTTGCCTGGCACAAATGAACTATCGTCAGGAGGAAGTAACACTCTCAACTCCCCTGAACAGACCCCGGAGCTTTAATGGCAGTACCAAGTATCTCCTGCACAGTCCGAAGACTCCATCACAAGTCTACCTGTTGCCAGCACGATGGTCCATGGGACCACACCATGAACAGGATGGTTCAGCAATACAGTAAGTATTTCAGGTTCATGCACCAAGTTACAAGAAGTCATATCAGATCGGCATTCCAAAGCCCTCTAGGTAAGACCTCACCTCCTTACGAGAAACAGAGAGATGCTCCTGGAAGTCACCGTCTGCTGGCATACACCTACTGCTGCAAGCACCACCAGGCAGGTTAACCACAGCCTCCAACAAACCCAACAGCAACAGACAAGCGGCTTCTGCTCCAGGTTTCCTTCGGCCCAGCCGTTGCCAGGGAACCGCCTGAAAGATATATTTAGCCAAAAGCTGCCTTAGCGCTGACTCATCTGTGAAAACAGAGCAGGGCGAACCGCGCACAAACCTCTCCGCCGCGAGGGGCACAAGGCAGCCGGTCCCCACGGCCCCTCCCCGTTGTGTGTGTGCCCTAGAAATGCCAGCCAGCCCAGCTGCACCGCGCTGGGGGCACCAGCGCCGGCGGACGGAGCCTGGCACGGCGCTCACCCTGGCACCGCTTGTAGCGGGCAGCGACGGGGAGGGGGGAATCCGAGCCGCGCGGCTGTCGCAGGATTTTGGGGGTGGATTTTAGGGCGCTGCGGGAAGGAGCCGCTCCCGGCGGGAACACCTGCGGCCGGACGGGGACGGCCGGCCGGCGGCATCCGGCGGCAGGACTCGGGCAGCCAGACAGAGAGGAGGGAGGGTGTGAATTAATAATAAAGCAGCTCCCTTTCCTCCTGCTAGTGCTGCCAGGCCCTGATGGGCTTGGCAGGTGCTGGACTGGCCCGGCAAGGCACTTCTTCTGCCCTTATCCCCCTTATCAAAGTCAGGACAGCTTTGGCTTCCTCTGTGTGCAGTGATAACTGAGCCTGGCTACCGCCCATTTCTCTTGGTCTCAAGAAAGCCCTCTTTGAGTTTAGCCAGCTTTACAGAGTTTAATCACTAACTTTAGTCAAGTTTAAGTACCAGAAGAGCAAAAAGCAAAGCTAGGTGCCTGATGGGCTATCTCTCCGCTGGCCTAAAGTGCCAAACTATAACGCGCATGAAGCCGATTACAGGATGTAAAATCTACAGATTTCCATAGCCAAAACCGATTTGTACTGAATTTGTCTTCCCTCATCATTTGCCTATTAGACTGGATCACAGAATCACACAAGAATCACAGAATTGTTAGGGTTGGAAGGGATCTCTGGAGATTATCTTGTCAAACTCCCTGCCAAGGCCAGAGTCACCTAGAGCAGGTTACACAGGAACATGTCCAGGTGGGATTTTAATGTCTCCAGAGACTCTAGGGACTCCATGGGTAGCCTGTTCCAGGGCTCTGTCACCCTCAATGTAAAGAAGTTCTTTCTCATGTTTAGATGAAACTTCCTATGTTTTAGTGTATGGCCTTTGCTCCTCATCCTGTCAGTGGGCACCACCAAAAAGAGTCTGGCACCATCCTCTGGGCACCTGCCTTTGAGATACTTACATGTATGGATGAGATCCCCTCTCAGTCTCCTCTTCTGTGGACTAAAAAAACCCCGCTTTTGAAGTCTCCCCCAATGAGAGAAAGGCTCCAGATCCCTAATTATCCCTGTGGCCCTCCACTGGACCCTTTTCAGTAGCTCCTTCTTTCTTGTACTGAGGATCGGTGCTACTGGAATTGAGCTCCACTAGAAAAAGGGGAAAGTGTGAAGGCTGTAAATGCGATTGCACGAAGTCCTTCTCTCCCCTGAAAGCTGAGCTGCATTCTCCCCCTCAGTTGCACCTGGAGGGAGGTGACAAGAGTGTAACAGAAAGGATGCCAAAAGGGCAGCACTGGCCTGTGTGAAGGCTGGCCTGGATGTGCCTTAGAAGTCTCAGCTGGTTACTGCCAAGAGTGGCTGCAAAAAAATCATCCTGCTTCCAGTGTCAGTTTATACACTAGCACAGGCATTGGTGAGGCCACACATTGAGTACTGAGTTCGGTTCTGGCCCCTCACTTCAAAAAGGACATTGAGGTGCTGGTAAGTGTCCAGAAAAGAGTTACATGGCTCGTGAAATGTCTGGAAAACATGTCCTATGAGGAATGGCTGAGGAAGCTGGGTTTAGTTTCAAGAAAGGAGGCTCAGGGCAGACCTCATCACTCTCTACAAGCACCTGAAAGGAGGTCTCTTCTGCCGTGCCTGCAGGGAGAGGACAAGAGGAACTGGCCTTAACTGAGGCAGGGGAGATTCAGATTAGATATTACAAACCCTTTTTCCCTATCAGGGTGGTCAGGCATTGGAATGGGCTGCCCAGGGAGGTGGTGGAGTCACCATTCCTGGAGGTGTTCAAGAGGCGCCCGGATCCGGCGCTGGGTGATGTGGTTTAGAGGGTTTAGGGGTTACAGTGGCAGTGCCACACTGACGGGCGCACTGGATGATCTCAAAGGTCTCTTCCGAGCTTGGCGGTCCTACGATTCTGTGATCCTGTGTGCAGCCGCAGAGGGAGCTGAGCCGCTGAGGAGTCAAAGCACTGTTTTTGCTGTCCGAGGCACAGCCCCTGACAGCCCGGCCCGGCCCGGCCCTCACGGCCATGGCGGGGAAGGGAGGTCCGCGCTCCGCCCCGCGAGCAGGGGGCTCCGCGCACGGCGCCTGCGCGCGCCCGCCCCGCGGGAAATGGCGGCGCCGTGGGGGCCGCGCGTCCCTCGCTGCCTCCCTGCGCCATGAGGAACCTGCGGCTGCTCCGGGCCGGCGGGCACCGCTGCGCCGCCGCCGCGGGCACCCCGCGGTGCTTCTGCCTCGGTGCCGAGCCCGGCACGGTCCTCGTGGGCTCGCAGTACGGCCTGGTGGAGCTGCGCCCCGGCGGGGACTCGGTGAGAGAGCCAGGGCTGGGCTTCGGTCGACTTCGCCCGTGCTTGCCGGCGTGTTGTTGGGGTCAGCTTTGTTTGCAGAGCCGGAGTGAATCGTGGGTTCCTGCGGGAGTGCGACGGTGTCCGCCGGGAGCTCTGCTGTCTCCTGGGCGGTGTGTGGGGCGCTCGGAGCCTCCGGCTGCGCCCTCCGCTCGCTGCCCTGCACCGTGCCGGGGGATCGCCGCTCTGGCATCGCGGTGGCTGAAGAGGCTTTCTGAGCCTCTGAGACACTGAATCGGCCCGTTAAGAGCGTGGCTGTGTTTTGACACGGATCACTCACGTGGCTTAGTCTTAAGCGTGGCCTGGCGAGCAGTTGCATCAAAGATACGGTTCACAAAACAGACCCAAGGGGGCAAAGAGGTAGTGAAGAGCACGGGAGGAATCTTTTGAAACCGTACTCTAGGGGGCAAAAAAACCCAACATATCGCTAAAGTAAGAAAATGCTACCGAGTTACGAATTGGTGTTAAAGCTGGGTTGCTGTCTTCTCACTGTGCAGCTCTGAGGCACCTAATTGCCTTCAGTACATTCATCTCTGAAGTTAACGTAACAGAAGAGCTTTAGGGCTTTCCAAGGGTCTCGTTTTCAAAGATTGCTGTACCTTAGTACGCATGCAAATGCTTTTCCTTAGAAATGCTTTTTTGTGCTGTGTCTTTGAAGTCTGCATCTCCCCTTAATGGTACTGGGACACTTTAAGCAGCTACCGATGCACCTCTTAATGTTGACACTATGCGGGGACTTATAAAAAGAATGTTAAAAGATGATTAGCAAGACAGATTGGAAGTAGCGGTATTGTCGTTTATTGTTTGCTTCTTTATGTGAGTTTCTCATTGTCTGCCTAGTACTTTTAATGTAAGAGGATCTTCACAGGTTCCCCTGAATAAGTAAAGATAAGTTTCCTGGTGCCATTCACTTACTCTCTTCTGCTGTTAATGCTTTTTGTAACTGCAATAGGATGAAATATACCCATGGATATCAGTCTGTGATTTCTGCAAAAACCCCACTGAGGTGACGTGTAATTACTAAATCGTTGCCCTCTCTGTGTCAAGGTGACAAGAGAAGTTTCCTTGGTTGAGGAGGGTTTCTTGCCTGAGGATGGAAGTGGCTGCATCGTGGGTATCGAAGATCTTCCAGAGCAGGAGTGTGTGTGTGTTGCTACAGCAGCTGGAGACATCCTGCTCTGCAGTCTGAGCACGAAGCAGGTAACATGGCAGAAAAGACACAATAGTACTGAGAGATTTCAGAGGAAAGAATGATACTTGTGATTTCTTCAGGGGGAGTTGTAAGTTTGTTGCTTACTGAGCTGTGGTTAGTCTCCCTTCTCTGGGCAGACAAGCTGATTTTTGTGGGAGCCTTGAGTAGGATTAAGGACAGAATAGGCACTCTGTAAAAGAATTAAATTGATGTCTTGCCTGTCCAAAGCCCCAGTCCTCTAATTTTGCTTGAAGGGCTCTTAGCAAACACCCAGCACACAGGATCTGATTGAGAGTCTTACAGAAACAGGATTTTGCTGAGACTAGGTACAGAATAAAGTAATCCATTCATAACTCAGTGTAATCAGGCAATCCAGAACATCATGTTGACATGACTTAAGAGAGGAGAAAGTGTAGTGTGTTGTGATTTGAGAAACATTTGGAATGAAAAACCCCTAGAAAACATTAAAGGGAAACTGAAATAGCTGAGCAAATATGGCAGGAACTGAGATACTTGCTTTCTCAGTGTCAGATTTGTACTATCTTCAGCAGCACCCTCTGAAGTCTGAATCAGCTCCCATGATACCAGCCCAACAGTGCAGGTGTAGCTGGGCATGAGAGGACAGTGGTCTGTCTGGGTTAGCTGAAAGGTTGTGGTTATTTGCAGCTTGACTGTTTTGATTCTTGTTTGGGTTTGATTTGCAAATACGACTTAAATATGCAATCAGCTGTATCTGAAAAAGGTGTCCTTAAAACATGTCATAGGGGAATCAAAATTAACAAAGCCTGTGATACACAAGACTTTTCTTGCATTGATAGATGCATCAGAGATGAGGTTTACCTTCAGATTCTCTATTTCAAGGCTTTTTGGCTTACATTCCAGTTTTAGGGTTGTGTTCTTTGGCTGCAGTCAAGGCAGCAAGAAGGAAGTCTTTAAAGTTCCTCTGCTTGTTCTGAAACCCTTTGTACCTGGGTTATAGTTACTCTGCCCATGGGTGCCCAACGTCACTTTGCTTACCTGAAAAGACTGTGACACCCAAGGCTAATTCCTGTAATGGCATCATCTTGCCATGATATATTTATTGTTCCGTTCCATGCCTTTTGCGAATTGGAATAACAGTGCATGACAGAAGTTCTTTGCCGCTGCTGTTATATGCTCATAATGGGACAGTAAAACTGGCACAGTTTTTCATACACTTTTAAGTTGGTGCAGCTTTATACAGTTGTGCAGCACACACAGGCTGATCAGACTTTAACTTCATGTTGGAATTCTCTAGGTAAGAACCGTTATGTCTGTGTTTTGTGACTAATTAACTTTTTAACCAATGTAATCAAAGGCCCTGTCAGGCAGTATTAGTATTGACACTGTATGTGGTGACTTAAGACTGAGAGTTGAGAATAAAGCTCTTATTAAAACTGAGTATGGTAGAAAGTGTTAATCTTCAGATCATAAACATTCTGGAACCATCTTTAGTCAGAAAGTTTCTTTTTGTTTCGTAAAGTAACTTTTGTGACTTTTTTAAGTAGGAAGGGATTTTCCTACTTGGTGACTGTTTGCTTTTGTGCTGGAATAGTGCTGCACTCACATTCCTGCCCCTCTGTGATCTTATTTTGGTGTTGCAGGTGGAATGTGTTGGAAGTGTGGACAGCGGTCTGAGTACCATGAGCTGGAGTCCTGACCAAGAGCTTGTTTTGCTTGCAACAGGTATTAATAGCAGCCTGTAAGCTTCCTGCCTTTGGGAGTGAAACTCATTATGGCCAAAACATAAAACACAGCTAGGTTTTATAGGGAAGAATAAAAAGACAAAGTTATGTCATTGGAACTAGGACTTAAAGCGGGAAAAACCCCTACCTGATCCTATATGTGAGATTTTGTTTCATGGTCCATGAGGTGCTTTGGTGATCCAAGCAGAAGCTGTTCAGGTTCAAAAGACTGGGTTTTGTAGAAGAGTTATTAGTCCTTCAGCTCTTCCAAGGAAGTAGATTTGATGTAGTTAATTTTTTTGGCAAACTCTTCTCCAGCCACTTGGGCCCCTGTCTGTCTTAGTGCCTGAGATGATTATTTTCCATATTGAGGACATACCTTTTTTCTTGTTGAGCTTTATAAAATTCTGGGTAGCCCATCTCACCTACATGACACGATCCCTGTGGGCAGCAGCACAACCTTCTGCTGTACCTGCTGCTTCTCCCAGTTTTGCGTCATCTACAGCCTTGCTGAGGGTCCCATCCTCCAGGTCATTAAGGAAGATGTTAAGCATTGCTCCTGGACACCTGGGGCACACTGGTGGTGACTGACCTCAAGCTGCACTTTTTGCCACTGATAGCAAGCTCTTGAGCTTGGCAGTTCAGCTGGTTTTCAGTGTCCTCTTATCTATGCCATACTTAATGAGTTTGTCTATGATGATGTTGTGGGACACACCATCAAAAGGCTTATTAGAGTCAAGATAAATGAAATCCACTGTTCTCCCCCTATCCACAAGCTAGTCATCTAATTGTAGGAGCCTCTCAGGATGGTCAGGCATGATTTTCTCTTCATAAATCCATGCTGACTGCTTCCAGTTGCCTTCTTGTCCTTCCTCAAGAGAAAATACTTCACAGTGCCAGGTACTGTTTTGAAGGTGAAAAGAATTTTGTAAGATTAGACAAGGAAGCATGTTTTTGAGGACAAAAATTTGAAAGTGTTTTTTTGTTCCAGTCGTGAGATTTCGTGCTTTGAAGGATGTGTTCCCTGCAGTACCATATTTTCTATATTCAGGCCCATGACAGAACAATAGGACAACACAGGGGAATGTTGAGTGTTCATTTGCACCAATACTGTATTTAGCATCTGCCTTGCAGGTCAGCAAACACTCATCATGATGACAAGGGATTTTGAACCAATTACTGAGAAGCAAATCCACCAAGATGAGTTTGGGGAAGGTGAGAGGTGCACTGAAATGAAGTTGCTGTAACTGATGTCACTGGTATGTTGTAAGCATGTAAGTAAAGTAAGGAGACAGAGCTGAGCATTTATGTGCACTAGGAGGCATTTTAGCCTGTAATGCTGCTGAACAGCTGAAGAATACTTTTACTTGTGAGCATAAATTCAAGTAAGTTCCATGTACTGAAGGACTTTCTGGGCTAGGTAACTTTCCTGCAAGATTTTAAAATGAAATTTGGAGGGAAAGTGTGTGTGGCTTGAAGCTGTGGTTGTGTGTATAGTGTACAGTAGTGCTGTAAACTTTCCACTACAATTATTACTTCTTCTTCAGGAAAGTTTGTTGCTCTTGGTTGGGGAAAAAAGGAGACACAGTTCCATGGATCAGAAGGGAAACAGGCAGCACATCGCAAACAGACGGTATGATGCTGGGGTTTTTTGTGTCAAGCACGTGCTGTCTCTGTGAGAACATGAGTAAAGAGAGTTTCTGTTATTCCTGGGGTACCAGTTTCCCAACACCTTTCTGGCAGTTCTTTTTCATAGGCTGCTTCTGTTTCTGTGTTATCTGAAATCCTGCCTTTTTATCCTCCTCCTAAATCAAGAAAGCAGCTGGGAGTACTTAATACTTTTCGTATAGAACTGAAAGCAAGAATTGCAAGTTCTAGTGCTTGCAGAGGTAAACCCTCTCTTAAATCAGCATGATCAGTTTTGCTGAATGTGTGCTGCATACTGAAGTTTTTGCACGAGCAAGAGAAATAGCATGCAGTGTGGCTGAAAGGAGCAGAAATAACAGTAGATTGAACTCCCAGAAGGCCAGAGAAGAAGAATTTGGGCTACCTGAGCATCACCTGTGAGGCAGCTCCTTCACATTTTAGCTCTGTGCTCCTTTGTCTGACACTTCCATGTTTGAGTCTTGTTTTCTCTACTTTTTGTTTTGTGAAAAGTCAGCTAGCTAAAACCAGATTTTTCTTTTTGTGTTTAAGTTACAGAATTAAAACTGTTCAGTTAAGTCGGTCACTGCTGAAACCTCGCAGGCTACAGTGCAGACATGAAACGTGGCCTCTTCCAGCTTTACTGTTGGGACAGGCAGGACAAAGCTTATCTGGACAAGGGAAAATATGCCTAGTTGGACAAAATTAAAGCTTTTGAATAGCTACCTCTTTATGTATATTCTACTGAAATTTCTTTTTTCTTGTGTTCTGTGAAGAACCTGTTTGCCTTAAAGATCACTGCTTCTCATTCCAGCTTCTGTCTGCCGTACTGATTGCCTGGATGCCATGCCTTTCTCTTTCCAAGGGGTTGTGACAGTAATGAACAGATATGTAATGAACACCATCAGTAATGAACAAATCTTAATTCTTATGTCCAGCTTATGCTCGGCTGGTCTATAAGTAAAGACCGTGGTGGAGGGGAAGGATAGTGTGTGGTCATGTGAACAGACAGTCATACGCACTTGCAGGAAAAACAGATTGAAGTATTTCAGTTTTAATTCTAGTATTTCCTAAAATAACATTTTGAATAATGAATTTTTAACTTTGTAGCCTTGACACTTTTTAACGGATTGATTCCATGCCAAGGCTCTTCAAAGAGCAGTCTGTTTAGACGAAGGCAGCATTTGCCTTCCAGAGCTTTGATGCAACTTTCTTTATGTGACTTCAGGAAGTGTTGCCGACCTCAGCCTGGGACGATGGGAGGCCTCGGGTGACATGGAGGGGAGACGGGCAGTTTGTTGCAGTGAGTGCTGTCTGTCCAGAGACAGGTATGGGACCAAACTTCTTTGGAATACCAACATGTGTGAGGGGCTTCTTAAGCAGAATTTAGGTAAGGCAAGAGCTGTCTTGGCCAGTTGAAGCAAGGGTGAGTTGAGCTAGTTAATTGCTCTTTTCTCTGTTCTGATGTTCTCAGAGGCCTTTTATAGACACAATGTTTTGAACACTTTCTTTGCAGTTTGCTTTTCAGTTCAGTGAGATGCCGGGAGAGGGTACTACTGTGTAGATACTGCCTGAACTGCTTCTTTCACCAGTGCTAAATTACTGCTCAAGCTTTAAACAGTGTCTGATAGGCTCTCAGTGCCAAATGGATGAATATGTTTCGGGTGATACACTGTCCCTCATGCCAGCAGTTAAGCATTGCACACTGTTTTTTTAAATACTGGTAAATACTTTTCCCTTGGTTTGGCCCTAAAGCCAAAGAGGTGATGAGCATATGCATTTGTTGTAAGACTGTAACTGCTATCTTCCATGATAAATACTACATTTTGAAAGCTTAAATGTATTGGTCAATGCATTGAACTGCACTGCTCTTCCACAGGTTTGGGCTTTTACCTTCAGTACTTCAGATTAGGGAGGATCTTGAATGTATACAAAGATTTTAACATTTCCATGGCGAAAACATTTATTTTAACATTTCCGTGGAGGAAACTAGTATGACTGAACTAAATCAGACTGAAATTCCTAACTCGTTTCCTTTAGTCACTCAGTTACTATGGGGGATACAAGAGAAATCTCCTTTTTATGCACGTGCATCGAAATTTGCTCTTCTGCCCTCAGAAAATTAGGACATTTTCTTTCCAGTGTTTTCCTAGAGCTTTGTCTCACTGCTCTCTCAACCTGTAGGTGCTCGGAAGGTCAGGGTGTGGAACAGAGAGCTTGTGCTGCAGTCAACAAGTGAGCCTGTCTCAGGATTACAACAAGCACTGTCCTGGAAGTGAGTAATAAAGCAGTCTGCAAGTGGCAGCAGTGTTGCTTTTTATTCCCTGGTCACAGTCTTTGATCAGCATCAATTTCATTTCTTCTGTGTTTGTTGATTTTTTCCAAACCTTGAAGAAAGCCACCTTCTGATTCAGCATGAGGAACAGTGGCCCCTTAATCCTTGAAAAGTCTGATACTTGCATTACATGTGGGAAGAAAGACTAGATTGTCCCCATAGTGTCATTGTCAAGTGGGTTGGGACTCAACTGTATAAATAGGAATATTACAGGTCCCATTGCCAGTCCTCACATTTGATTGCTCCCCTGGGGATGTCATGAGCTCTGGAATATGTCTCTGCTGGACCTATGACTTTGTCTGCACAGTGCTGAGGAAAACACATCCTCTGCTGCCCTTTTCTTCATGTCGCTGGAGAAAATTTGAAACAATTGGTGTTTAAATGACAGCTAGTGACTGTGTGAGCAATAACTTTTCATTTGGCTCTTTTTTTAAGGCCTTCTGGAAACCTGATAGCATCTACACAAGAAAAACCCAACAGACAGGATGTGGTTTTTTTTGAGAAAAACGGACTTCTCCATGGCGAATTCACCCTGCCATTCCAGAAAGGACAGGTCAAAGTAAGTTCTTTGTCTGGGCTTCTTTGATGAGAGTGTAGCGGAGAGGAGGACTAGATCTTTTGCAGATACCAGCTGGAAGTTTTTAACTTAACACTTAGTGCCTGTCTAATGGAAGAAGTGATCTGAAAAGATATCAGTGAAGAAGCCTGTGGAGAAGATGCAATGCCCTCTGCAAGCTCATAGTAGAGACATGTAGTACAGAGTGACTGTAGCACTTGGGTGCTGCTGGGCCCTGTATCCTTTCTGTCAGGCAAATGATTCATAGGTGCTATTCAGCATGCCAGCTGAGTGAGGTCAAAGATATTATCCCAAGTAAGAGAAGTGAGAAGCTACTGCTAGGATGTTACTTCAGCTTCTGCCTTTGGATGTTGAGAGGTCTTTTGGCAGATGCTTCCTTAGTGCCAAGGAAAGCAAAGAGAACACTGCTGTCACATTTGTGGCCTCTTCAACAGTGGAGCTCTCAGGATGCCTTGTTCCAGCTGTTGGGAGCTTTGCAATACAGGAGGGCTGTGTTTGTCTGTTAACCTGTACACCTTACATTATTGAACATAAGGAACAACTCCTGGTCTTGCAAACAGGCTTGGAGCAACAACATCAGTAAGAGCCATGTTTGTGTCTGCAGGTTAATGAAGTGCTTTGGAATGCGGATTCTACGGTCCTGGCTGTCTGGCTGGAAGACCTCAAGGTGGAAAACTCTAGACCAAGCACTTATGGTGAGAGCAGTATGTGAGGCTCTGGCTCTTACACTTGCCTGCAAGTGTGGTCAGCAGTGGGTACTTATCTGCAAGTTAGGAGACACTGAGGAGGCTCACCAATGGCTTTGAGACCGCAGTGCTGGTGTCATGGTTTAACCCCAGCCAGCAGCCAAGCCTACACAGTCGCTCACCGACCTCCCCCCCAGCACCATGGGTTGAGATGAAGATGTTTTAATAGGGACAACAAAAGCTGTGCACGCTAAAAAAGCGATGCGGGGAATTAATCCACTGCTTCCTATGGGCAGGCAGGTGTTCAGCCATCCCCAAGAGAGCACAGCCCCATCACTTGTAGTGGTTTTGTAGTAAGACAGACACCATCACATTCATCACATCCAAACATTCCCCCTTTCATATACTAAGCATGGTGTTATATGGTCTGGAATATCCCTTTGGTCAGTTTGGGTCATCTGTCCCAGCTGTGTTTCCTCCCAACCTCCCAGGCAACCCCAACTTCCTCAACAGTGTGGCAGTACAAGAAGCAAAGAAGGCCTTGGCTCTGTGTAAGCCCTGCTCAGCAATAACAAAAACATGTCTATATTATCAACCCTGTGTCCAGCACAAATCCAAAATACAGCCCCATACTAGACACTGTGAAGAAAATTATCTCTACCCCAGCCAAAACCAGCACAGTTGGTCAGGAAGAACTGGTAGTTCAGCCTGGGCTCAAAGCATCTTCCTGGCTGCTGTAACTGGAAGTGGTATGAATGGAATGCTAAAGGTGTGAACCCTTCATGGAACAAGGCTACCTTGTCACAAGGTAGCTCAATGAATTCTAAGATGGACTCTTCTGCACAAAATCTGTTGTTTTCTTGTGCTGGGTGTTTATGGTACAGCTCATGGACTGAAGGCCAGAACTGTTATTTTCATGGCACGTAACCCACCCCTGAAGAGCAGTGGTGGGGGGGAGGAAGGGTTTGAGCTGGAGTACTCGTCTGTAGTAACTGTTTTTCTTACAGTTCAGCTGTGGACCACAGGGAACTATCACTGGTACCTGAAGCAAAGTCTGCATTTTGGTAGCTTGGAGGAAGATCAGTTGGTGTCACTGCTGTGGGACCGAGAGAACCTGTATAGACTGCATATACTCTGCCAGGGCTGGCATTACCTCTGCTATGACTGGCACTGGGCCACGGACCATGGGACGGGGGAGAACGGTCAGCATGTGGCCAATGTGGCTGTCATAGATGGAGGTAAGCAGTGGGACAGCTTTGCACCTCTAGAGTTAGAAGGAGTAATGTAGCCTTTTGTATGCAGGCTGGATGGGATTATGGCTCCTTTACTGTTGTTTCTATAAAGCTGTTACTGAGAGGGTCCATGTAATTGGTGGAAGCTTCAAAAGTGGGTCACTGAAGTTAACTACTAAGAGCACAGCAAATATTTTCCTGCAACATTATTCCTACTACCAGTGAAGAACCCAACAACAGCCTCATTAACATTTGGAGGGAGGTGCAGCTTGGATTTTCTTCTCTTTTTTTTTTTTTTTTTTTACAGATAAAGTACTTGTCACAGTGTTCCAGCATGCTGTGGTGCCTCCACCCATGTGTACCTATGAGCTCCAGCTCCAACAGGCAGTTAATCAGGTTGCATTTCACACAGATCTCAATCATAGTGGGGATATGGCTGTCCTGGATGCTGATAACAGGATCTCTGTGTACAGATATGGTGAGAGCATGTTGCACAGCCTTCTTAAAAAAAATCCTGTGTTCCTGAGAGCAGTACCCTGAGGGACTAGTAGGGTAGTGGTCACTCAAACCTTTAGTAGTTAGGAACAAGACAGGTTTGGTTTAATTGTGGGTTCAAGCTCTGCTCTCATTTCCAGTAGTTTGGGTGACACAGAAGCATTTTGGTGGTGCACTGACTTTTTGAGAAGACAGTGTTCAATACTTGTTTGCTGGTAATATCCTCCTGACTAGCTTCAGCTTGAGTGCAGCACACAGTATCTTGGGTAGTCTGTTCTGATGGCATGTTGCTGATTGGCACTGGAGATGTCTGAGAATCTATCTGGGGCACCCAGCACTTTCCAGAGTCCTACATACAATGTGCTATGAGGAAACAGGCTGTTACTGCTGTCTCTGTTTTGTACTGTATCATTGCAAGGTTACTGTCTGCTCCAGCGTGAGTCTTAACGAGAATTATGTGTTGGCTGTAGAAATGGAATTTTCTGACTTCTTTAATACTTTGATGTAGTTTGATCTACTTTTTGATAAGACTGAAGCTGAAAGGGGCTCTCTTGAGAGGATCTCTAAAGTCTGCCTTGTGCTGCTTTGTGTTTGCTAGGGCAGAGTACGGTGAATGACCCTACTGTCAAGTTAGGAGCCGTGGGTGGCAATGGATTTAAAGCAGCTGTGGAAACACCATACCTGGATAAAACCTACAGGTAATATAGAACTAATACAGCTGTAGTGTCGAGAAGAGTGTTGTGCCTACCTGGATGCTTTAGAGGTCACAGCTTGACACAGTTGACCCTGTGGCTGCAACTAATGCTGGGAAATGCCCTTGACTGAGGTCCTTGTCTAGTGGAAGCAGCGACTCTCAGTGACAGTCCTGAGATAACCTTTCCTGTGCCCGGTGCTGCATTTGGTCTCTGGAAGCAGAAGCATAAAGGAATGGCTGTGCAGTGCCCTGGCCCACGATCGTGGCACACTGAGCAACGGAGTTGCTTGCATGGCAGAGACACTGACAAGGTTAAAAATCCCATTCTGCTCTTCATTTGTTCCTTGAGGCAGTTGGCATGAAAGCAGTACTACCTCAGGAAAGCAAAAGGGGCTTCCTAGTTCTCGTCCTTTACCACCAGCCCAGCCTGTGGCAGGATTTATGCTTTGAGTGTCTGTGTTTCTGCACTGGAGCCCTCCCAGCCATGCTGTGTGTCTGAGCAGCCAGGCTTGCTGTGCCTAGGAAGACCTTTGTGTCTCCAGTGAGGTGGCTTACTGAAATCAAGTTCTATTTGCTTCCCAGTCTCTCTTATTTTGTGACAGAGTTGATGTGGGCCGTGACAACAGTGAAGCGATGGATCCTCTGGGGCTCCGATTTCTCACCTGGCTGCCAGATGGCAGCTTCCTGGTGGTTGGTCAAGGTCATGGTGCTGCTCAGTCTGTCCTTCACCATCTGACTGCAGTGCCTCACGTGGCTGGAGCTGAGGAACAGTGCCTGAATTTACGGTACTAGAGATCTGTCAGCTGTGGCTGAAGTTGGAGAACACCTCCAGACAGTCTCTTATTAGACTGCAGCCTGGAGGCTGTGGGTTGGGGAAATTTGACTCTCTTCCTGCAGGAGAACCAAACAGCTCATTAAGCTGCCCACTGGTCAGCACTTTCGTGTAGTCCTAATGCCTACACGCAGCCTAGCAGCAGTGTGCATGCTAACATGCCTGTGTCAGTACAGAATAGCTCTGTTCCCTTGAATTCCAGGCCCTCAGGGCAGGAGGATGGGACATTCTACCCTTTGCCCACCATTATCAAGGTCCAGAAGGGTACTAGTAGCCCTTGTAAGTGCTTTTCTCCTCCTCCTCACTTGCTGGTTTTGTGGGGCCAGCTAAATTAAAACCAGTTCACAAAAAAAAGCCACTTGAGGTACAGAAATACACTTCACAGAGAGATCTGGAGAGGGCTGCCTTGTGCAGCACTCACACAGCAGAGACAGGCTGATTTACATATGAACTGTAGAACAGAACAAAAGAAGTGTGGGTTTCAAAGTGCTGCAGGCAAGCCAACAGTATCCAGCACAGTTAGGCAAATGCCTGTTGGCTGGAGTTGCTGGTGCTCTGTGGTGCCAGTGTCAGCTGACATGGGTGTGAAAAGACTGCAGAAGATCCGTACTTGAACAAAGTATCTGTCCATGCTGGAAATACACATCTTTCCATCTGGCCACAAGAAAGGTGGGATGTAGGTTTTAAGTGTATCTCCTGTAACTGATGATCTGTGTTTTCCTCTGTCTTGCTTCAGGTTGTCTACACCTGTAGATGGAGAAGTGATCAGCCTGTACTGCAGCCCAGTGACCAAAACTGTAGCTCTGCAGTTGGCTGATAGACAGATCCTAAAATACCTGTGGGGTAAGCTGGGCCCTGTTAAAGTCTTAGCTGTAGTTATTACAGATTTCTTAGAAGGTTTAATGAGATGATTTGACATTCGGGGACTTGAGTGACTCTTGCTGGGTAGTTGGTGCTGCCTTTCATGCTCCCTCTGCTCCCAGAAATGGGCTGAAATGAGTGATTTGTGTGAGAAAGCAAATAACAGTTAACTTTTTAAATGTATATATGTATTTATGTATGTGTGTATGTGTTTATGTATGTATATTTACACATACACATATATATATATGCACACACACAAAGTTCAGTGCTGACTGACTGCCACAACCTTGGTACTTCTCTCTCATTCTGTGGTGAAAGGTGCTACTGAGCCCCAGAGGTTAATGCCTTCTTGTCTCCTGAGTCCTGGACTTCTGAGTCGGCATTCCTCCCTTCTTCAGATAGTGTAGCTTATTCCCAGCTCTGATTTTCTTGTGCCATGTGGTTTTAATGCCTGAATTTTTGATTGGCTGGAAAACAATTTGATCTTCCTTTCTTCTCAGAGGCTGCTACTCCAGTTCTTGAGCCCTGGCGGACGAGCAGTGGCTCTGCTGTTCGGTTCCCGTATCCTTGTGTGCAGACTTCTATCACGAGGATCAGTGGTGAAGTAAGTGAGACTGTGAGTAGATTAAATTCCCTACTCGGTTGTTCTCTGTGTCAAAAGTGCACCATGATCCCATGCACAGGGTCCAATGATACTTCTTCATGGCATTTCTGATAAAGCCCTGTGCAGACCTGAGAGCATATCTTTCCTTGCCTTCCAAAGCATTTCTGATGGAAATGCAGTTAACACCCAATCACCCCAATCTATGACTATAATGAATAATGTCATTAAAGAGCGAGAAATTTCAGATTGAAAATTTCCAGCAGTTGCAAGGTCGCTGCCGTGCCCTTTTTGAAAGGAGTATTTTGCTCTGTTTTATATGAACTTAACCTGTTAGCAAATATGGCTGCACTGAGTTCCTCAGATGTCCTACTGCTGGTGTTTCCTATTGATGATTTGGTGATGGTTTCTTGATAGCTGCAGCAGCTTTAAGAGTGAATACCTGTTTCGCTGATAGTTTCAGGGTTTCTTTCCTTCAGCGTGCATCCCAGTGAATGCTGTATGAAGCTGCTTTGCCATACTCTGCTGTGTTTCCTCTGGTATTTTGGACCCAAGTGCTGCTAAATAAAAAAACCTACATTTCTGGTGTGGTTTTTGCTTCTGTTTTATGACTGTACAGTTACAGGGTAGGCCAGTCTGGATTTCCAGCCAAAACATCTGTTTAAAGATGTTTGAGCCCTCCTGGAATAGAGGTTGCATGAATTCCTGTGCAGCTTCTCTAAGTATTCCACGAGGTACTCGTTACTAATTATGTCAGTGTTGCAAAATACTAGAGGTTGTGATGCTGTTAGGTCATAGTTGTCATCCTTTTTATTTACAGGAGGTGATCCTGGGCCTCACAGATCGATGCCGTTTTTTTGTTAATGATGTTGAGGTACCAAAGTTTTTATTCCTTGTTGCATCCCCTTTTCCTCTGCCAAAAACAGCTTTCCTGTTCTGGTCTATACAGTGATAAACTTCACTTTTTTTCTACAGGTTGCTTCCAACATCACCTCATTCACAACATACAATGAGTTTTTGTTGGTGACAACCAACTCCCACACTTGTCAGTGCTTCTGCTTAAAGAACTTATCAGTGAAAGGTAAATGTCAGCACTGTTTGCCTGGTAGCTTGTGGCCACTGTCTAGGAAGACAAGATGTCCCCATTTTTCACATCCAAACCTGCTGTATTTGGGACCCTCAAAGGAACTGCTTAAGATAGTAGAGTAAGAGAGTTGCTTTCAGAAATCTATCAGAGAGCAAGAACCACAGGGAACTGACTTTATATATCACACGCTTCTCACAAGGAGCATTATTTGTCCTGTAGTTGTTGTCCCTTCACTGTTTTCAAAAGCTTAGCCCTGCATTCGCTCCCTCCCCTCCATGTGTGAAAAAAGAACAGTCTGTGGGTGTGTGGTAGAGAAGGGATTACAGTAGAAGGAGTTTCTAGTGATACCTGGCTGAGATATGAGAAGTATGATGACCTTGGTAAAGGCAGGATGACCACTTAATAGTGCTTTACACCTTTCTGTGCTTCTCTCATTTGCTCTGTTGAGCTTTGTGATCCTGTTGTATAGAGGACATAGCTCTGCTTTGTGTACAGGTGCAGCAGGGGTTGGCGCTGAGAGGTTTTCATCCTGTCAGGAATTGTTGATCGCTGGTGTATTGTTGACTCAAGTCAGTCCAGTACAAACTCGTAGGGCTACACAGCAGGGCCATACTGGGGCGCTGTGCTGCAGTGTGCCATGTGTGCTGATAAATGTGTTGTCTTAGCCCTGCAGGCTGGCCTGAGCGGTGCTGCTGCACCCAACAGTGAGACCCTGCGCAAGGTGGAGCGAGGGTCACGCATCGTCACCGTCGTTCCCCAGGACACGAAGGTCGTGCTGCAGGTCAGTGCTCTGCCCATGTCTGCTGTCAGGGTGTGTAGGGGGCCGTCTCAGTGGGCAGCACCTGGCTGCCATCATGCAAACAGCCCTGCAGTGCTGCAGCACAGGCGGGCGGGTATGAACAGAACTGGGAAGGATGATTCAAATCCAGAATGGCTAAGGGAGTGTAGTGCTGCATATTGTGGCTTCTCACCATGAATCTCAGACTCACTTCCTAGCACTTGCTAGCAGCCCTCTGTTAGCCTTGGCACTAAGGTTGTCTGAAATGCTGAGCTCGCTCTTCAGAACCAGCAGAGATTTACAGAATGGAGAAAGATGTCATCTGAGAGGCACCACTGGAGGTGTGGAGCCCAACATCCTCCCCGGAGCAGGGCTAACCTGAATAACCTGATCAGATTGCTCTGGGTCTTGCCTGGTTGAGAGGAGTCTAGCCTCCTGAGGAAGGAATGTTTCTAAACTGAGATTATTCAGATATTTTTCCACAGTCACTGAAATTGCATATCCTTTGAAGTGAGCAAACAGGCCCATGCACCTGCAAGTTGCAGACAGGCCTAGAAAATTGGCCAGTCCTCACTTTACCTATAATGTAGTCAGAGTAACTACAAATAAGTAATCGTGTGGTTCTTGTGTTACAGATGCCAAGAGGAAATCTGGAGACTGTTCACCACCGAGCTCTGGTTCTTGCCCAGATTCGGAAGTGGCTAGACAGGTAAATGGCACTGGTGTGTTTGGGTCTTCTCTCTCCTGGTCTGAGTTGTTAGAGGCTGACTCACCTGGAAAAGAGAGGGAGGCTAAACTCAGGGGAATTGACCTTGTTAGAGGGAACGAAGCTTTTCTGGGACTACCAGCTAGAAATCCATCTTTCAGCAGTGCCACATCCTTCTGTCTTCACCACTGAAGGTCTTATTACATGTGCTGAGATTGTGTGGGTGGGAGAAATCTTCATCTGCTTTATTCTCCAGACTTCTCAATCACTTCATGATGAAGTTGGCTGTTTTCCATTTTTTACTTAATTCACTTGCATTGAAATTTTCTGAAACGGATATTGATCCGTGAAGTTAAAATGTAGCATTCTCTTTTTACGAGCACAAAATAATGCAAGTTCTGTATTCCCTCATCCACCTGGCATGCTGGTGTGTCCCAGTGCAAGGGCTGGCAATGAACTGTGGTGACCTTGCACATTTTTTCAGGAGGGCAAGCTACACAACTCATTGCATGGGCTGTTCTCTTCCCACTGGTTCTGCGCTTAGCTCTAGTCAGTTGCCTTTATTTGCGGATATTGCGTCTTACCCACTGTGTAAACTGTCCAACTTGACTCATTCCTCCAGGCTTATGTTCAGGGAAGCTTTTCAGTGTATGAGGAAGCTGCGAATCAACCTCAATCTTCTCTATGACCACAATCCCAAGGCAAGTATGCCCAGTTCTATTGTAGTGTTTGCCACGCTAATCTACCCTGGAGTCCATCGCCATTGAACACAGGGTTGAAAATAGCAGGTGGTGCTTTCAGCAGAGATGGCTGCTCTGCACTGTGACATCATCATGCAAGCAGATTAGATTTAGCATTTCCTTCACCCTGCACTTTCAGAGAAAGTCTCTGAATTTGTTCTTGTACTTAATGTGCCAAGAATATTCAGAGTAACAGTGGTAATACTCTTGTTCATTTCAGGTATTTCTGGAAAACACAGAAACCTTTATCAGGCAAATAGATTCTGTGAACTATATCAACTTATTTTTCACAGAACTGAAGTGAGTATAATTCTGCAAATGGAACATGCATGTAGTCAGTGGTGGTACATAATTTTGTCAAAATACTGGCAGGTCTTCAGTGTGGGTGCACAGAGTCAGAAATCTGGCATGTTGAGTCATAAAGGCCCAAGTAAACTCAGTAGTTTCAGAGACAGTCTGCCTTTTTGGGAATTCCAGCTTGCAGGCAGCCATTAGATTTTTGCAGCGAGCAATCAATACACTGCACAACTCCTTTGACTTGTCTTCTGCTTTGCTGTACAGCAGTAAACGAGAACAGAGAAAGTTTTGTTCCCACATAAAGAGGAGCAAGATGGCACTGTTCATCTAGAGCCTGAGGCCAAGATGCTTGCTTGGATTCCCAAATCAGGTGCCCTGACTTCTTTCTTAAAGGCTGAGTGATAAAACTCTTAAGGCATTGGTAGCTTCAGGACTTCTGAAGCTTGCTGAAGTAAGTAATTGTTTAGGAGCTGGAGATGTCACTTCACTGTTTTGTTTTATTTTCAGTTTTGACTGACCAGAAATAATACCAAATGTCTTATTTTTCAGAAGTGCTCAGTGGATAAATCCATGCTGGATTTAGTACAAGACAGCTCTATCTTGTAAAACTTGCCTTCTGGTTTTTTGGGTTTTTTTCATGCAACTGAAGTAGTTTTCTGACCGTTTGTTGTGGGGTTTTTTTATGCCTCTCTTGGCTGACAATCAATTGGGACTGATAAGAGATTTTGGGGAGCTTTCTGGTAGCATGGCAGGCTGTGTGTCAGTACAGCGTGACATAGCTATTTTGTTGAGTAGTAATTTGCTACATGCATTTGTGTTTCTTAATGTTACTGTCTTTGTTCTGGATTGTCTGATGGACACTGCTGTTCATGTCATCTGTTTTTATTTAGAGAAGAAGATTTCACAAAGAGCATGTACCCATCTCTGAATGGTAGCAGTAATACCCAACCACGCCAGCATTCTGATCAGAAGAAAGTTAACCTCATATGTGATGTGATGAGGGTTGCCATGGAACACATTGATCCTCAAAAGTGAGCACTTTCTTCTTGTAGGTGAAGGGAACCATTAGGGAGATTTCTATTAAGTCACTGGCAGAAGGCGAAGCTGTCTTTGACATCAGTTATTTTGCTTCAGGTTCTCTGAGATGAGCTTGTGCTCCACAAAACTAAGGTATACCATACCTTCCTTCTGCAGAGGATGCTGTCCTGGAAACCACAATATCTGATAATTCCACAGATAGCAAAGCAGCATTTTACTACCAGAATTAAAATAACAGATGCAGGATGCTTATAAAGGTTCAAGAAGTACAGTCTATTTAGGATCAGTGTGATATGGGGATGGAGAGACATGAGCGAGATTGTCCTATCAGTGCATTGCTGACTGTTTGAGCAGCTGGCCCTTTGCAAAGATCTCAGGTGTTCCATTTGAGACTGAATTGTTTTGTAGATCATCAGCTTCACGTTTCTGTATTATTAGCTTTTTTGGTAGCCATCCTCCTTGGATGAATCAACACCAGACAAGGATAAAGGGTGGGAAAATAGGATAATAACAGTGTTTAGTGAAACGGTGTTAAACTATGGGCAGCTTACATGTTAAATAGTGGATAGAGGAGCAACAGATTGTGAGTTGCTGCTGAGCCCTGAGAATTTAGACACTTTTCAGCAAACAGATGTTTCAGAAAACAAAGCATCTCCTTAGCTGAAAAGCTGTTTTGAAATAGTAACTCTGAAATGTATGAAGGTAAAAATAACATCCTAGAAAGCTTTCATTTTATAAAAAAGGCTATTTTCATGCCAAATTTCCTTTTGAAAACTGTGTCCAGCTATGTGAACTTTCAGAGAGGGGTGTGTTCTGTTCCTTATGCTGGCTGGCAGGGTAAGGAAGTTCATTCTACTCAAAACAGACCTCTAGCATTGTGACATGTGTGAGGAGTCATGCTGAGTAGAAAAACCTCTTTGGTATATTCTGTTCTTTTCCCATGTTTCCTGCCTTCCTTTAGAAAGATCAAAATGCCTGAGAAGTTTCTTTTCATTGACTTTTTTTTTTTTTACTAAAATGTAAATTAGAACTTGCAAAAACCGTGCTAAAAAAGGAATAAGCAGTGTTTGCCTTCTCACTTTTTTATTCACTGCTTCCCTTTTTTTCAGATACTGCCTATCAATACTGACAGCACATGTAAAGAAAAGTCCTCCAGAACTGGAAATTGCTCTCCAGAAGGTTCATGATCTTCGAGGTATTGTATCAAGAACTCAAAAGTTTTGAAAATGAGTGGTTTGCAGCAGCTTTCTGTTAAGGAAACTTCCGTATCCAACCATCCAAGCGCCACTCTGGCAGTCACACTTGCACTACCTGAGCTGGGACTGAAGCCCCTTCACAGCTACACACCCCACACACAGTCAGACCAGGTTTCCTTACAACCCCAGGTGTCCCACGGCAGTCTCAGATCCTTAAAATAAGTTAATCTTGGTGCAATAGCTAAATAACAAAATAACAGCTCAAGCTGGTGCCTCTGAGAAGGGACCATGAACAAAGGACCCTCTGGCCTACAAGAGCTTTTATACCCTCACAATCTGCCTCCACAAAAGTCTAGTGGTCCTCAGTTCCTGCTGTGTCTCCAAGTGTCCGGTCTCGTGGCTGGGCCACAGGTCCCTGGGCCCAAAGGGTTGGCAGTTCATGGCCCCCAGGGCTGCAGCTCCCACTGCAGCTGCACACAGAGCTGCCTGCACTGAATGTATTTCTCAATTCAGTTGAGGAATATAAGCGTATTCACTTTCACTTGTTAGCGTGGCTCACCCAGAAAATTATTTTCAGGTGACTGTTTATGGAGTCAGCCAGAAAACAAAGGTACTTGAAACTTCTGTGTGTTTAGGTACAGCAGCATATCAGCTAAGATATGCTCCTGTGCATGCCTTCAGCTCATTCTTTTATCTGGGTTTGTCAGCAGATACTCCAGAGTTGGACTGTTCTTGGTTTTCAATTGGAACTCCAGTTCTCCAAGCATGGGATAGGGAGTTCCTATTCTGGGTCCTAGTGTCTCAAGCTGGCAAACCTTTATTTTATGGTGATGCTTCTAACTTGTCACAGTTGCACACTTAAGAATTTACTGGGATGTTCTTGAACTTGCCCAGGAAAGGCAGAGTAACCCCTTCTGCAAGACAGAAAAAGCTGTTAGTTTGGGGGTCCCTGTCTGAGGTCAGGATTGTGCTTGAGGATGCATCCTTCCCTCACATCAGGGTTCCACTGCTGGTGGTGTAACAGATCATATCATAGCTTCTTTGTCTTATTACAGAAAACTTTACTCCAGATATCAAAGCTGTGAGTGCAGAAGAAGCACTGAAGTACCTGCTTTTCCTTGTGGATGTCAACGACTTGTATGAGTATTCCTTGGGGACATATGACTTTGATTTAGTCATCATGGTGGCAGAGAAGTCTCAAAAGGTCGTTGCTTATAGTTCCAAGCCAAGGAATTATTTGTTTGCTTTCTTGAAGGTTCTTTGGAGTCTGCAGATGAGACTGCATATTCTTTTAATAATGGCTCTCAACCCAGGCAGGATTCCAGTTGCTCAGAAGTCCTATGTGTGCTTGGGACGGTGCTGGGAAGGTGTCACATCTGTGCATCCCTTAGTACTTCTTGAGCACAGCTTTGGAAACTTGCTTGTGCTCAAGGTGAAATGGTATTGCTCTAAAACAGTGGGGCAAAATACCTCTGAGGAAGGGAGGGACTGGTGTCTGAAGTGTTGTGACTGCAGGCCTTCCATTCCCAGCTCTGTACTCTTGCCATTCTTGCTTATTTAGTGGTGCTTATGATAGTAGTGTGTATCTTTACGCAGGTTTAATGTGAAATCTCTGAGTGGAAATGCCAATCAGGATCTTCAGAGTTTCCTAATGTTGCAGTAAAGCCTGCTGTCCATCAGTTAGAACAACCTATTCATGTTAATGGGTTTCATGACCTTTGGTGTGGGGGACATTGATCAGCTTTATGGCTGCAAATTTATACATGATAATATCTAATAGAAACTAATATCTGATATAACATAACAGCCTTGAAATTTAAATGTCACCAGCCTTTAGGTACTGCCAAAGTCTATGTGGGAGCCAGGTAATTTAAGTTAATCATTCCCGGCAAGAGTGCATATACAGCATTGATCTCTGAAATTATTTACATTTGGAAAGAAAAAAAAAAAAAAGCCTATTTATGGTATTACATATTTTCAGATATGGGACTCTCTCTTGGTGAAGATGGGGGCAAATAAGGATTTTAGCAGATTAGCTCAACTGCAGTTTTCACTATTCTTTGCAGGACCCAAAAGAATATTTGCCCTTCTTAAATACCCTCCGGAAAATGGAAACCAATTATCAGCGATACACAATAGACAGACACTTGAAGAGATACACAAAAGCTCTTGGGCACCTCAGCAAATGTGGTAGGTGTCCTAAGGAGAATTTCTGCAGTGTAACATTTTCATTTTGGAGAGACTTTTGGGTAAAATAGCTGAAGAAAGAGAAGGATTGCACAAGGTCATCTTCCCTCCTGGTGAACTTCTACTGCATGCTTTTTGAAGGGTAGCTTGGTGCAGGGAGTGATCATGAAACATAAGTTTTGTTTTGTTTCTGCTTAAGTGACTTGTGCCCAGTCGGTATCTCTGGCAAAAGTGGAGCAAACCTCAAGGAAGTGAATGCCCTGATTTTACAGTAGTAGGACAGGTGATTTTTTTGCTCTTCCACCCAAGCACCTCTAGTTGCTTCTTGATGTGATGAACCCAGACTATCTGGGACCTGTGAGGGCTGTGTGCTTTCTCTTTCATTTTTATGAAAAGTACATTATTTCTGCAGGTCCTGAACACTTCCCTGAATTTCTGAACTTGGTGAAGGATCAGAATCTGTATGGTGAGGCGCTGAAGCTGTATCCCTCTAGCACTCAGGAGTACAAGGTGTGTAAGGATGTGACACTGCAGTGTCCAAGCTTGTCAGTCTCTCAGGCATTCCTCAGCACTTTGCATGAGGGCAGGAATGAAACAGCAGCTGCTTGTGTTCAGGTTCTGTGGGTCATTGCTGTTCCAGTGTTGTCTGAGACACTCCTCTGAGATGACAGCAGGAGTGACTATTAGGACTAACCCTATGGGGCCTGGTCACTGAAGGACTGGTGGTTATGTTATTTCTTTGGTCTTGTGACCCAGAGAGCACCTAGAATTCGTGTTTCTTGTACTGCACTGTCTTGTGATTGCTGACAAGACTTCCATAACCACAGAAAGACTTCTTCCTATCTTGACCTCTGTCTGGCTTGCAGATTGTATGGAGAAACTTTGTTATCCTTAAACTGTTCTGAAAAGTGCTATAGAGCTTGGGACACTTGCAGTTGTGCTGTTTCCTTCTATGCAGTGTCCCTTGTTGGTTTCAATATTGAAGAACTTTAGCTTGCCCAAGGCTGAGATAAAATGTAAATGCATCTAATATAATTTAATTTAGATATTGTAAATAAACAACACACAAGCCTTTGTGAAAGGAGTAGATCGAATAAGAGGGAAAATAGAGAAATTTGGTCTATTTGCAACTCAGTGAAAGCAGAAAGGACTCTTTACTCATGAGGGAGGTCTGTTCCTGAATGATTCAGTGGGAGTCTTCTATTATTCCTCTCATAGCCTTCCAGTCAAATCCTCCTGTCCTTTCTTCATGGAGGTAGTGAGCTTCAAATAGTCTGTGCCCAGAACTGCAGGGCTTGCTTGTTCCCTGTGCCAGTGCATGCCTCCTGAAGTAAGTTGGTTCATAGAGACATTCTAACAAAAACTGCTCATTGAGTGGGGAAGAAGGGTCTGATTTCCTGCAGTATCAGTTTACCCAGCCTTTGGTTTGGAGAATTAGGTACCTCCCCATCTCACTTGCTTTGGCCCTGTGAAATGTCTGCATGTGCTAATCATCAGCCTTTGGCTTGATAAGAAGTTTGAAATGGGGTAGAAACAAGGCCTGGAAGCCCCTTAGAGGAGGGGGTAGTAGGCTTTTGTTGATGGGCCCTTAATATTTACTAATGGAGGACTGCTAGTGGTTTTACAGCTAACTTTTTATTTTTCTTCTTGCAGGACATCAGCGATGCATATGGGGAGTACTTGATTCAGAAGCAGCTGTGTGAACAGGCTGCACTGATATTTGCTCGTGCTGGCATCTTTGCAAAAGCACTCGACGCTTTTCAGAGCAGTGGCAGCTGGCAGCAGGCCCTGTGCATGGCATCACGGCTTGGCTACACAAAGGATGAGCTCTCCAGTCTGGCACGGAGCATGGCAGGTAGGCCTTGAGGAGATGAAAGTGTGCAGAGCAGAAGTGGCTGTTGTTATTTATGGTTCATTTCATTTTTTTCTAAAATTCAGTGAATTTGAGTATTCAGTATTCAGCAGCATATTCCTTAAATGAGAGCAAAGATCCCATGCTTCCCAAGGGTTTGTGCAAATCACCTTTGTTTCTCAAAGGAACCAAAATGTGTTGGAGCTGTGTTGGTAGGCACCCAGGAGTTGCCAAGCTCGCTGTGGCCTTGGCTGCCCCATGCTGACTTCTTGCATTGTTTCCTTGCAACTGGTTGTTAAACTGCTCTTCCATATTGCCTCATGCTTAACCTCGGGGAATAGACATGCTCTGATGTGTCTGACATTACTGAGGCCTCTGGACATCATTTTTGCAAGTCCTGTGCCTAAACACAGATCTTGAAAGCTACTGCATAATTCAGAGCTGCATTTTAATGTTTTCCCCTTAAAGCCTGCTAGCAGTTAGGACCACCTGGTACATTTAAAGCTGTGTGCTGTCCTGATGCAGGAGAAGAAGGTAGCTGGTCTCAGAATTTGTGCTCACTAGTGTATCTCAGACTGCATGTGTGAGATGTGTTGTGGACCTGGCATATATTGCAGCAAGAGAAATGTCCTGGCTTCAGCCTTACCCAGAGGTCCAGTCTATGAAAGGCCCGCTTAACACAGTGGGAATATGGATTCTGGGAGTGTAGTCTTCCACACTTGGATACTGACATATTTGCTTTTTCTGAATCCTTCATGTCCTTCATCTCTTTCATACTTTTTTCTGGTGCCCTTCTTAAATTACAGCTGTAATTTAGCAATTGAGTGTGTGTGTGAGCAGATAGAAAGTGCTTCACTGAGTGGGATTTTCCTCTACTTTGTAGTTTTGTGGCACAAAATCCAGCCCTGAAAATCTGAAACTCTCACCTTGTCTTGTAGGAAAACTAGTTGAACAGAGAAGGCATGCAGAGGCAGCCATACTCCTGGAACAGTATGCTCAGGTAACATATCACCCTCGTGTCTGTGCCCCAGTAATACCCTCTGTCAGGTAGATACACCATCTGTGTTTTGTCTGTTCTCCTGCACCATATGTGGCTCCATGCATGCTGACAGCAAAACAGTCTGTGCCATGGGCTCCCCTGTGGAGGGCAGAGCAGGCCCAGGTGATGCAGTGAGCAGGGTGGGGATAAATGCTGTGTCCCTGAGTTCTTCCACTCACAAAGCTGCCCGTGCTTTGGTACGGAAACCTTTTTTCTCAGAGAGCTGAAGCACGAGGGGCTGGAGTAAGGAAAACAGAGTTCTAGATGGTTTTCCCCTCATTCTGGTAGAAGTAACATAGTTTTGGTGGGTTTGTGGTTTTTGTTTGTTTATTTGGCTTTTTTATATCAACACTTCAAAGTACCTGGCACTCTAGTGTTTTCCTGTCTTGACTGTGACACTGCTGCACAGAAATATGCATCTGAATAGCTGCTACCTGAATGTGTATTATGAACATCAGTGCCAGCCCATGGTTGCTCTTTCCTTCTAGGACTATGAAGAGGCTGTTCTCCTGCTCTTAGAAGGGGCTCTTTGGGAAGATGCTTTAAGGCTGGTAAGACATTTCAGAGCACAAGAACAAGAATTCTTGTGGAAAGGAAGTACTTGTTTAGAGTGCAAGAACAAAGAGATGTGATCTGGGTTAGATCCTTAAATAATACATTCTTTCCTTTCCCTAATCCAGATTCACAAGTATGGTAGACTGGATATCTTGGAGACCAACTTCAAACCTGCTATTCTAGAAGGTGAATCTGCAAGAATCTGATCTCTGTGCTATAGAGGCTAAAGAAGGTCTTTACTGGGTCTGAGAGAAGTCACAGCACTCCAGTACTGGAAGCTTTGCTTCCACCTAACTGATGTATCTCAGCTGCCTTTGGCTCTACTCAATGCACCTCAAAGCCCTGGAGTGTCATGGGCTCTCTTTAGCTTAGTCAGGCTCCTTTTAAGCTTTTCCAGAGCTCACAGTCACAAACTGCAAAGGTGTCTGTGTCTGCATGGCCATGAACAAGCAGGACAGTCCTGGTTCCAGAGCACATGTGGCAGCAGGGCTATGAACTAGGAAAATGGCTGGCTGTCCTATAAGTTTTGAGTAGTTCTGTGGAAAAAAAATACTTGATAGCTGTAGTCTCCCATCCAGGAAGGATGTTTTGTTACCATTATTAGTTGTTCTTCTCGTGTTACAGACTTTATTAGTTGAGGAATTTATTTTTTCTTTAGTTTAAATGTGATTAATGGAAACAGACTTAGCCACAGAACTTTCTGGTCTTCCTGTATCAGAAACAAGACTCTTCTTCTAGAAAACACATGTCTGGCAGGTTAATTCACTCCACATCCAGTTGTATCTTATGTGGTGGTCTGTATTATAAGCTTTGAATTTCCTTCTACTTGAGTCCTTTTGTGTGCTCTGTACCTGACTTCTGAGCTTGTTGAGGACTGTGCTTGTGTACAAAATGCTTTTCTGTTTCTCTTGCACAAATGTTGATGTTCTGATTTTCTTAATGAGCAGCTCAGAAAAGTCAGCTGATCTTCCTAGATTCTCAGAAAACAGCATTTCTCCGCTACAAGAGTCGCCTGCAAGTGGTCCGAGAGATGAAGGAGAAGGCCTGTGAGAGCCTGCAGGGTTGGTATTGAAGTGCATATGACTTTATCCTGCATAAGTAACTGTGATCATCTTTTTCTTTGTGGTTTCCTTTTGGCAGAGCTGTGCTCTCCCCCAGCTGCAGTGCCATCTACAGCAGTAGAACAGCATTCTCCTCATGCCCTGCTCATACCATACTTGAAGTGTGGTTCTTTTGCCTTCCTTATTCTGTATTTTCAGCACTATCTTGTGTTCATGGGAACACAAGCATAACGCAGCATTGTCTCCACAGTGTCATCTTGGCTGGCTGAGACAGTACTCTGTGTGTCCTTTGTGCTGAGTACCTGTAGCCATATTCACCTGCCAGCTCACACAGGCTCAGGGAATTTTTCTGAAAGCAGAATGCTTTGTCCTGCTCCAGATCTGCTGCACTGAGATTGCCATCCTTCTGATTTCGCTGTTCAGTATCACTATCCCCCCCCAAGGAAGAGGAGTGGTGTTCTCACAATCTGTGTTCCTTCTCGTGTGCTGGCTGAGTGGGATTGAGAGCCATAATGCTCCAGAGCACCAGCAGGTGGAATGAATCTGCCCAGCAAACTACGTTGATCACCCAGGGAGAAAGCTTGAAATAACTCTAATCTTCTTCCATACTGTGACAATTGTTACCATGTTTTGCAGATTATGAAGTGCCGAATTGCCCAGAATTGGAGCTTTTCTCTGAAACCAGCAGTATTGTGACAGCCAGTGACATGAACAGCAAATATTCACACAGCAATTCAAGGATATCAGCGTAGGTATCTGGCCTCCAAATTAGGCAGTGTCTGTTCTAGCATCAGCATTTGGGAGGTCAGCTTGCTCGTGCTTAGCATGCTGCTCCTTGCAGCTGTGTGTGCCTTGAAACTGCCTTAATTACAGGGATTTCATAGTTATTTTAACTCCTATTGGAAAGAACAGAAAATGCCAGAAGCTACTAATGCAACTGAGTGCCCAGCAGAGGAGCAGTGAGCACAGACTCTGGGCAGGATCCGGCTCTCTGGGTGTTGGGCACATTGCCAGAACAGCCGGCTGTAGAAAGCTTGACACAGAATACAGGCAGAGCCTCTCAAACATTAACAGCTTGTGCACATGGCTTGTGTTCTTTGTCCCTGGTTCTGCACTTGGTGTGTGGGGGTTGCTGCTGAATCTCATACCAAGGTCTTCCCACAGTGGGCGTCTGCGTTGTTTTTGAGTGCAGCTGGGTGGGGTGGGGTGTGTTACAGACTGGTGTAGTCTGTGAGACCACTTCTGAATTCCCAGTTGAAAATGTGGAAAAATACAGTTGTGGGAAAATTTTGGGCTTTTTAGGCCACGTTTTTTTGTTGTTGACCAGATGTAAAAAGAAAGAGCATGCAGCCTTAGTATGCAGCACACCTGCACCAGAGAGTGCTGATCACTTGGGAACATTATGCAGCTAAGTCTGGCCTATGAATTAAGTTGCTTTCCTGTGACAATGGGTAAGAGGCTCTGGAGACAGCAAAAATTAAAATGTGCACACACAAGCACTGACCCTGGCACCAGTGCTTCAGGTGGAGCTCATCTCTGCCTGATAGCGACTGCTGCTTTGTGCTTAGAGCCATGCTTTAACCTTGCTGGAACACAGAGCAGTCTTTTTTTTGTAGTAGACACAGTTTGACTGTCTGGTGTTCCAGACCACAAAGGGTATTGGTTGAGTAGCACTGAAAACATGATCACAGTGCTGAAGTTTACACACAGTCCCCTGCCACTGTAGAGAGTAAGGACTCAAATAACAAGTTTCATGCACACTGTTAATGTTCCTTCAGACTTACCCTGTTAACAGCCAGTCCCGCTGTGCAAGCTGTAATTGAGTGCGCTCCTTTTCAGGCGATCCTCAAAGAACCGGCGCAAGGCTGAGCGGAAGAAATACAGCTTGAAGGAGGGGAGTCCTTTTGAAGATATTGCCCTTCTGGAAGTCCTGGGAGAAAATGTTCGTGCTGTTGAGTCTGTGAAAGGTAGGACACTTGGTGGTCTTAATCCACTCTGCTTGTGGGGACAGCTGAGGCAGTGTGTCCCCCCTTGTTCTTACTGTATGTGTTGGAAGGAAAAGCTCTCTGCTCTGTACAACCATCTGTGTTGGAGTTTGGTTTAGTTCCTCTGCCTCTGTCGTTGGAGTAACGTAATAGTGTGAGCTCCCTGCATTTGAAATTTGGGAGCAGAGAAGCGAGGCCTTGTCAGTTTCACTACAGGTTTGTCATTTGTATTTGGGTACTGTGGGGGATGGACAGGGACAGAACCAGTTCTGAGTTGCCACTGTCCTTTCTATGCACTGATAGCAAAGAAAAGCAGCTGTTTATTTAGCATACCTGTGTTAATTGCTATTGCTTGTGCTTCTCTTCCCTCCTGCAGGAGATATACACATCCTTCTAAAGCAGCTTGTGCTCTTTGGTTATGATGAACAAGCTGGGGCACTGCAGCAAGTCCTGGAAGAGGTTTGGCAGTTGATGGAGACCTCACTCCCAGAAATCTGGACTCCAGACCTGCAACAGAGCTCTGTCAACCTGGTCTGTGCTCATCCACAATACCTATCACACCTGCTATACAATACCAAGTGTTTACCAGTATTTTGTATTACTCAGCAAAGAGCCCAGAATCCTTCCCTGGCTTTCAAAATCTGGTTTGCTTTTTTTTTTTTTAATCTATAGAGATTCAGTAGACATTCTGTGCAGTACCTGCCAAGTCAGTACACTCTAGATGTGTACAACAGGTGTAGCCTACTGTGTCCTCGCCACTTCGGACATCCTGAGGCTTGTGTTACCTTGTCCTAACGGTGACTTGTTTTTGTAAGCTTTATTTTAAGACATTTGTAGAACATGGGAACGCTGTTTTCACTTTTAGGCCTAATGGTAGAAGTGTTAGCATGGCTTCTGTGTGTACTAGAGTAGCGGTTGTCCAACTTGGTGTTGTGAAAAGCTACCAGACCAGTCAGTTTAGTCTGAACCAGCATATCATAAGGAGTATATTGCAAAGAGAAGGCTTATGTCAGGTTTTTAAGCTTCAGCTTAATGCAGAATAAGGACATTACTAGGACTGTAGTTAGTTCCCTTCTAGAGTAAAAGTCTTTATTTCTAATAAGTGGTTTCTGAGCATTCATGGTGAACACAAGATGTTCCCCATTATCTTCTCCCTAACGGCTGATCAGCAGGACTTGTAAAGACAGATTAACACTCTTCTATGTGACAGGGAACTGAGACTCCCAAAAGAACTTAAAATGTTGATGGTGCTGTAATGAAATTAGTACTGCCAAGTCATGACATTTACAGGGCTGTGAAGAAGTCGATGCTGGGATAAGGGTTCTGTGTCCTTCAGAGCTGTACAAAAGCAGTTTTCTTTCTGCCTCTATGTTAAGTTTTCTGAGACATTACTGGACTTGATCACACATTCCTGTTCACGTTGTACTCTGAGGTGTCCTGCAGGCAGGTGCTTCTACTTTTGGACGCTAACAGCAGAATTTCCTTTGAGAGTATCCCTGCTCTTAGCCTTGCTTTGTTCAGGTTGGAACATGGCTATTGCTTCTTATTACAGGTCCTGGGACCCAATTCAACTGCAAACAGCATTATGGCTGCCTACCAGCAGAAGAGGATGATGCCTCCTGTTGTACAAGGTTAGTTGAGGCTCTGAGGTAGGCGTGGATGTGAAATGTCAGGTTAGTGGGCTTTGAGGCTCTCCGACCATTGCTACCTGCCAACAGCTGTACCAGGTATTCAGCTGTAGGCGTTTCTTGCTTTCCTTTATGGTGTACTGTCCTGCCTCATGGCAAGTGAGCAGCCATCTTAACAAGGTTTATTTACTCCGAATTCCTGTGCTAAAATTGTCTCAGTTGTGCTCATGGCTTCCTGTATGTGTAATGTCAATCTGTTGCAAGGGAATTGAAAATCTGATTTCTTATGGAATTCTTCTTGTAAGTTACCTGCTTAATTTTTCTATCTGGCTTTGGCAGTCAGGCCAGGGTCTTGACCAGGGCAGGCTACAGTCTGTCATGTCACTTTGCCATCTTGAGGTTCTTGCAGTTAATGCAAAATTAGGGTCAAGAGACTTAGCAAGGGCTTGTCCAACTGCCTTGTCTTCCCTGTTTCCCACTTGTCCCTGGTAGTCCTGGGATTGCCTGGGAAAATCTTCTGATGAACCTCTATATGTGACTTGCCTATTGCCACTTGCCAGGGCTGGCTCCAGAAAAAGCCTTGTGGCTCTTGTTCATGCTGAACAGAGCAAGCTGACTGTTGTGACTGCCCAGTAACAGGAGAATGAATGTAGTTTTGTGACAACGAGCTTTGTGACACTGCTCGTTGCCTCCTCTTTCTGAACAGTGACAACTGAGAGGGGATTTGATGTGCCCCAAAGATTTTTTTGTATAAGCAGCTCTGCTGGAGGCACTCCTTTGTGCAGGCTGGTGATCAGTCACTAAAGGGAAATGATAGATATTGAGAGATTTCTCAGTGTCCTTTGATGTAAGGAAAAGTGAACTAAGTAGTTGACAGCTCTTGAAGAAATTGTATTGCTGTTACCCCCTGTTCTGACACTTGTTCCATTTGCCTTTCAGATCCAGATGTATTTACTCCACCAAAATTCAATAAAAATCTACAGTGGAAACTGCATCTTCTGCAGTAACTAAAAGCCAAGGAATTCCTGTAACTTTTCATATAACTTCATTGTATCTTTACAGAAACTGTTGTTGTTCTGTCCTGTTCTTAGTGCTGTCCAAGTGAAGGGTCCCTCCGCCTGATGCAGCTGTAACTGTGACCTCTATGGTGTCACACTCATGGGGACAGCCACTCACATCTCTCAGCAGAGATAGTTTGTGAGGCTGGGGAGCAAAAGGGGGTGCAGCTCTGAGTGCTGCTGGCTGAATCCAGCATCTCCCGCTGCTGTTGCCTCCCTTCTGGATGAAGCAATCCCACCAATATTGAATGGGCTGTTTCTCTGCCATCACTGCCTCCCATGGACGGTACATGCCATGATGACAGGCCACATTTTAAGCACTTCAGCCTGCTTTAGGTCTCACCAGGAAGTCTGTACCAATAGCGAACTGTTGCAGTTGCTAAACAAATTAACTGTGTTTTCTCTGCTGCAGTTGGATGTTGCCAATACCAGTTTTATATCAGTATTGCTTTGTTACATCAGAGTGAACCCCGCAGTGCCAACAGCCATTGCTGTCCTGAAACTGTGCCTTTCACACCAGGGAGATCTTAAGCAGAGGAAAATATGAATAAAAGGGCAGAAGGTGTCAGTGTCATGCTGTGATGGGTGATACTACCTCATAATTACCTAACTAATTATCTGAATTTAAAGAAGATGAACTAATGGTGCTCTATGGCACTGAAAGATCAGCAGCTGTACCCTGATCATGCTGTGCACTGTTGCAGAACTGTGTCATCTGGAAATTAGTCTCATACCTCAGAGTTAGGTTTCACCCAAGAATACTTCTGTAATCTGATGCAAGAAGTTCTGGGAGCAGAGGAAGAGGGCAAGGCTGGAAACCCTTTCAGTGGTAGCAGCCCCCTCTCAGTTAATTTTGGCCCAGCAGCTGCTGTGTTCAATGCAGGCCATTTCAGGTGCCGTGGAAAAATGCAAGCAAAACCAAGGCACTTCCTGTCTGTTGGAGGAATTTCATGACAAAGCAGTGACCTGTGTTGTTACTGCATGGCATTAGCACCTCTCAGTCTGCAGATCAGTGTTTTTGTGCCTTACATCTGGACGGCCATTTGGTCTTGTGCCCTGGGTGTTGTGCCGGCCTGGGCTTGTTGGAGTGGAGTGGGAAAACAGGGCTTTGTCAGGGTGCATCTGGGTGCCTCATTTTAGCTGTTCTGAGTTATGTGGCCTGTCTGGATACTGTGGGGATGACTTCAGTCTGTTGTCAAGCACTGTGACTAAACATTTAGTAACTTACTTAGCAAGATAATCCGTGATGTCCAAGCTAGCATAATGTCAGTGATGCCACATGTAACATAACCTTCAAGGATGGGGAGCCACATACAAAGAGCTGAGGTTTTTCCATAAAAGTACATGGATAAATGGGACTGGTGGGCAACAAGGACAGCAGAAATTCTTCAACCTTCATCTCATTGTCTCTCTCCTTGTCAGTAATTGGACACTGACACCACAACAGCATGGCATGGTCCTCCAGCTGAATCTTCATCTGCAAAATACACTCCAAAGTATTTTGGGCACAGTTTCAGTCCACCACTGCCATGTCTTACTGGCTGATGAGTGTTAAAGTTACGTTGCTATTCTGAAGCTCTCTTCCAACAAAGATATCTTTTTGGTTGCTCTCAGTCTCCTGTATGGGCTTACCAGCTGTGCATGAGAGGATGTTGGAAGGCCACAGATCCCCTGCAAAGCCACACAAAGTAACCTCTGCCAGTGTCTGTGAATGCTGCTTTCGTTTCCCTCATGGCCTTGAGGCTGTCCTTTGCCAGAAAACATGGGCTGACCCTTGTGGCTTCAGATGCATTTAACTGCGAATCTCATGGCTTTCCCTTCTGGCCTGTGTCTGCCATGAGGAAGATCATGGTTCTCCAGCATTTGCAACTTGGTCTTGGTCCTGTTGCAAAGCATCAGCACTGCTTCATCTCTGGGGCCAGCTGAAGCCCTGGTTTGTATAATCAGTCAATCCACAGACTGGCAGAGCTTTCGGCATTGTTTCTTACTCTCTAAGTTTTGCTTTCTAAATTAAGGCATATTATTAATAATATCAGCAAAATCTTAAGTGTGACTGGCATTTGAAATTAGGCCAGAGCCAACCCTTCACACTTACTGCACCCCATTCTGGTGAAAGAGGAATGGTTTAAGAAGAGATCTTGCAGAGTGAATCTTTAGAGAACAAATAAATATTTTAAAGACCCAGAAAAGTGAGAAACAGCAAGGTGTTGTAAAATAGTTTTGAAACAAGTAAAGAGATCTCACAAACAGAGATCTCGAATTAGATACTGGACACTGCATTGGCAACATTCAGTAAGTTTTACTGAAGTTGGCTAAATCAGCTAAAAATATGTCCTTTAGATGAACTTAGCTCATTATAATGTGAAAGCCACGCCTCTAAAGCTTAGGTTACCCATCTCCAAGTGAAGACTCCTACCTACTGAACACGCACAATAAATTTGAAATGCTTTGTACCTTTAAATTGAAGCAGGCAAAAGATTGTCCAATAGCTATTGAATAGACTTTTATTTAGAAACTGGGTAACTACAGTATTTTGAAAATATAAATACACTGCTTGGCTGTAACTGGGTGTGCTGCTCTGTGGATTTACCACCCAGCACCAATCTCTGTGCTGGCATGAAATAAACTTGACTCCTTGCACACCAGGTGAAAGAACCCATTTTTCGGGACAGTTCCATGACAGGAATGTCTTTGTCCTTCTCCAGCAGCAATGAGTTTAATATTTGCCCATCGGAGTCTGTATAGCAACATGCAGCTGCATGGGGGGACAAGAGAACAGGACACCCTCTTCCCACAAAATGTGCTATCAAGATTTAGGAGCAGCATTTTCCTTGTGTAGCAAAAGCACTGCGAGCTAATTTACTGAAAGCCATCTCACCCAGAAGGCATCTTACTTAACAAGTCAGAGCTGGGCTTAGGATGAAATTTGAATGGTGCACACCAGTTCTGGACCCAGAAACAGGTTTTTATTAGTACTGCTCTGCTGCCTCTCTGCAAATTCACATCTTGAAAATAATCGAATTATTAGAGGCTCACCAAAATCCTGATCTGGAGAAACAGGGCAGGATTATACCCCACAATTTCTGTACCAAACTCAACATATGCGGACAAGCAACTGCAAACCCTGATAGTTCATTACTCTGGGGAGCAGAAAAGCTGATTGTTGCCTATTATAAAAATGCTTAAATACATCTTTGTAAATGAAAGACATTGTCTGCCCCACTTAGAGCCTGAGCAGTGGCTATGCTGCACCCTGGTGAGGGGCAAGGCCTGCTCCATATCTGAGGGGAAGTTCAGCAGCACCGAAATCAAGCCATTCAGTGGCGCAGCGAAGTGTGGATGCTGTAGCTGATGCTCCTTGCCCTACACTGACAGCACGTTCTGTCAGCCACACCAGCACCTGCAACATTATAGCTTAGGAGAAAGTTCAGTGATAGGCAGCAGACATGTCCAGAAAGACCTCTAAACCTTGTTTCTCTGTGTTCTCAGTAGAAACCTAGATCTGGGCTCAGTTCAGCTTCTGAATTAAAATAAATCCTTTCATCCAAACAAAACACTTCTGTGCTTTTTGGCTCACATACAGGTTAGTGTGGCTGTACCACAGCAAAGCTGCAAACACACCTTCAATTTCAGAAATCACTTCATGATTTTATTTGGTTGAAGGAGGGGGGGTGTTTTTTTGTCTAAGCTATTACAAAGTTAGTGTGCTGCTGTTTCCAGGTTATCTTTCCCGACAGTACATTTGTCATTCCAGTTAACAAACATACATTTCAACTTACATTTCACAGTCTTTGTTTTGACCTGAAATCCAAAGGCAGGGTGAGACACCATTTTCTGCAAAGTCATTTTGGCTGATGCGTCCGGATATGTGCCTTTAACTGTGGGATTGTGGACAGCTTTTGTTTACAACGGTGGCATCTGAGGGGCAGTTTGAGAAGTTCAGAGACATGATCTCTCACCATCACTTTTCCATTACTTCTTACCATCTCTATCACATCTGGGAAAAAAAAAAAAGGAAACAAGAGGTACTGAGACCACATAGCATCATGAAACACGTGACACTGCAAATCTTTGTGCGCTGCTTTGCATGCACAGCGTGTCATTGCTGCATTCTAATGTAAACCAGCCACAAAATGCACTGTTACCTAGTGCTACTCCCCAATATCTGAAATCAAATAAAACCTTTCATTTACTGCAACAAAACGCATGGCTTGCACATTTGTTTGGAAAAAAATCCCAAAGCCAGAAGCTGCAAGTAGGATTACGTGTTATGAAATACCTTTTCTAATACTTACCTTGAGAGTTTAAGAAATAGTCAGTAGTAAAAGAGTTCCAGTGCTTTTTGGTTTTCAGGGCCATAGAATCAAAATCCTGGCTGATTACATGCAAATGTAGCTGACTGGAAAAAAAAAAAAAAAAGATATGAGAGAAGAATGTTAATGTTCCAAGTTCTTTTGCAGTAGTATCAGTTGCAAACTGATGATTCAGCAGTTTTGTGGGTCAGTCTTGGCCCACAGTCCCAGGACAGAAGAAACACCGTCTGTTCTGGAAGCACCATCTCTTGCCAAGCATTTCACTTAAACAGTCAAGGTTGCTGGCCTTCATAAGTCATGGGCCCCACTCATACAGTCTACATTCCTGCTAGTTTCCAGAAAGGCAGACAGTAGTTTTAATAAACCAAAGGTTTAAACTCTGTAGAGTAACCGAATGGGACTTGATCACTGACCAAAAGCTTCATTCAAGAACCAGAGAATAGCTTAGGGGCACTGACTGCAATATCTACAGGCCTTTGGATGCTCTGGGATCTGGACTTATTTACACACAAAACTCAAATCCTTGCCTGGTATCAGGCAGGACTTGACAGGCCTGGGAGTCACTCCCTCATGCCACACAGGGATGCCCTCGCACTTGGCACTGGGAGCTGGTGGGGCATCCCACAACCCCAGCCCTGTGCCAGGGGAACCCAGCAGGCATTTCCCACTGGACCCAAGACACCTGTGTAGCCCATCAGCATCCACGCAGCCGTGTGCTGCACGGGACCTGGGCACCCAGCTGTTTGTGGCGTTCAGGAGGATTAGCTGTTCTCTAGCGATGTCAAATCACCTCACAGATTGAGCCCCGCATCTGTGTAACTGGAAGAACAGGGTCTCTAGCTGATGACTCCTCCAGATCTTACCTCATACTGGGGATAGCATGGTAACCCAGTCTGAACTCCAGGCTCTCTCTGGCAGGGCACTGATCGATCATTTTCTGCCCAACAGCATGCATATGTTCCAGGAGTTCAAGGTGGTCCCTGGTGACTGACTTCAGGCTTGAAATGGGCTCCCACGGTAAGACAAGCCAATGGTAACGTGCCTTGGGATATTTATCCTTGATGACTACAGTCTTTCCATCTTTGTAAACCTTGCAAAACACCAAGTAACTAGATTACTTTCTCATCAAAGTTAACTATATTATTCCTATCTGCACGATATTTAGTGGCTTTTGAGATGTTACCCAAAGAGAACTTTTGCTGGAACTAAGTTGCTCCAGGATAAGCACCCTCTTCCATAATATGCACTATGGAAAGGTGTTGCAGCATGCCTCTTCACATACTTTATAAAAGGAAAAAGCTTTCTATTCTTACATTTTATACGTATATTTTGGGTCAAAAAAGCATTTTTTGGCAAGTGCTGTAAGAAATTCTAGTTGAGGGATGAAAATTAAGCTTCATGTTTAAAAAGTAAGCAAGAATTTCCGTAACATTATTCCCTAGAGACAGACTCATTTGAAAGTGCAGGCAATTCTAGGACAATGAGCATCCAGTTCTACAGCTGTATGCAGCTCAACACTCCAGACTTGAATGGGACAAAAAAAAAAATCAATTAAGAAATAGGGCCTTCTAATAAGTTATCAGCTAAGTGAGCAACTGGATCACAGGTTGGGCACAAAGAGTTACAATGAGTGCAGTGACATCAGGGTTCCACAGGGTTCCATTTTAGGCCCTGTGCTCTTCAACATTTTTATAAATTACTTGCGTGCAGGACTTGAAGGAATACTAAGTAAGCTTGCTGATGGCACTAAACTGGGAGACGCTGTCAGCTCCCTCCAGGGCACAGAGACCCTGCAGAGATTCCTTGACAAATTCAGAGAGATGGGCAACCACCAACTGTATGAAGTTTAACAAGGGCAAGTGCTGGATTCTGCACCTGGGACAGATAACCCTGGTTATCTGCACAAGGTTAAAAGAAATTACCCAGGAAAATTCCTGTTGGCACAAAGAACTGGGTGAAGGAGAAGCCAGAGGTTAGATCCTGTCCCCTGGCACAAAGGTGTCAAAGTTAAGTTTGCTGGAAACCAGGAAACTGCACTATGCTTAGAAACAAGGCAATGCCGACTGCAGGAAAACAGGAACCTCCATGACTTGCTTCAAGCCACAACCCCATTTTAGTTGGTTTCTCTGAGGAAACAAAGCAACTGCATGGCTTGCCTGCTCTTCCACCAATGTTTTTGAAATCTGTTGACCAAATCTGGTAATACAGAGAGCTCAAAGGTAAGATAATGACACACTGTAAAATCAGTAATCTGCAATCTGCAAAATCATCCCCAATTAATGTTATTACAGAGAGAGATGCAAGTACAATTCAGCCCTTATGCAGTAGACCACTGGTTAGCCACATTGTTAAAGCAAACTGAAGGAGTAAGAAAGCAAGCTCATTTAGCTTCGCTAGACAGGAACTCACCTGCAGTGTTGGATCTTCCATGGAGCTCTTTAGACCCTGACTCCAGTGTCCTAAATGCTCCTACAGCACAAAAGGGAAAAGAAAAATAAGGCAATTAAGCATCTGATTATATATTTTAAAGGATTCAGTTAAAAACATTCATTAGTATGTAACAGTAAAAATAACAGCTGAATGACAGTTATTTCCCTTCTATAAAATACCAACACATCTGCTCCAACTGCCCCCAAAAAGCTACTTTTGAAAACTTTTAACAAGATACCGTGAAGCTGAAAAGTTAAATCTTTCAAATGTTGGAACTTAACATCATTTAGAGATCTAATTCTCTTTGAATTTAATAGTTTGCACACACACATCATGGCACGAGGCCCTCTGCTTCAGGGATCACAAGGGGCACAGGAAGTGCAAAGATCTCCATTAACTGCCCTACTCCACACTGCTCTGTGCAGAACAAAGTGGTTGTGGTGTGTGGCCCTACTCTTAGATGCACTGATTTTTTTGTATTGTGCAGTGGCTTGTAGAGGCAACAAGAAAGGCACAGGAAGATCAAGCCAAAAATAGCAGCTCTCTTCACTTGGTCACTGAACACCTATTAGAAGGGGTGCCTGGAGTGCACCTTTTTCAAAACAGATGTTTTGTGTGTTCAGATCACCTTACAAGCAATGATGACCCTCATCATACTTTGTGCAGAGGAAAATGTTCAAACATTATTATAGTGCTGGCAGAGAAACAGTGTGAATCACCTTATCTGCCCGTTCATTCCACAGATCTGGCCCCAGTGTAACTAGCCCAAGTCCACAAATGAGGTAAGTCGTTAAGCCACTGCAACCTGAGTCTGAAATTTTGTCCTGAGGGGTTTCATTTCTGTGCCTTCTCCTCCAGCAACTGCACTAGTTCCAAATGCATTAAGCAGTCTTTTATTTTGCCTGTGTTCACAGGGCTAAAAACTCCCATTCAAGTGATTCTGGCTGGTTACATTCATTAGTGTAAACATGGTTTTACTGTAACGAATGAACAAAGCAGGAGGGGAAAAAAAACCCACATAATTAAAAGCAAACAAAACAAAAAAGTCTCAAGCTGTTCCATTCTCTGTGTTTGCCTTTAGACAGCAAGAGCCAGGACAGTATCCTTGGGTGACTGCAGCTAAATAGAGTTCATGTGGACTGTCCTTGCAGAAGAAACTGCAACAGAAACCAAAGACTAAATCCTCACTTGCTACAGGCAAGCCCCCTCTCACACACCCAACCCTCAGCTCAAGTTAGAATGGGTCCCAAGTAACTGTCTCAGAGCCTGGGTGATGTCAGGAGCACAGTCCTTGTATCAGCACGGATTAGCTTACACGCCCCGTGTCCTCTGACGATCTGTGTTCCCCAAAGACATCCCACCACCACGAGAAACCACAAAAGTAAAAGACCAAAGCCCTCATGGAGGAGACAACCCCAGGACAATCAGCACTATAAAATCAGTACTAATACCAATACACCTGCCTTTTTGCTTGAGGTGCCTTCACCTGGAGATACACTGGTAGTGCTTAGCTGGGGATTTGCAGAACTGCCTTGTGCATCCACCACCTCCATTTTCATTGTTTTTCTGGACACAAGCTCTGCATCATCATTCTCACAGGAGTCCTCATGTGGCCTCTTGCAGGTTTCTGTTCTGTCTTCTGCTTCTGTAACAGTTTTCCCTGACTCTTCCGCAAAGTGCACCGTGTAGGGGTAAAGGTTATTCACAATATACAGAACTTGGCCTGGCTTCATTTGCACCACTTCATCCTTGCCAATATTCACGAGATCAACACTACTTGGGTTGACCCCTATCTTTGGTAGACAGAAAAGGGAAAAAAATAGTAGCAAATGCTGTTTTAAATGGAATCGCCAACTTCCGCCCCGTTTTCCTGGAATACCACTCACTATCCCGGAAAGCAAATGCATTTTTGTATTCTGCCCCCCTGCCCACATCATCCCTCTGTCTGTGGCCAGTCTTACACTCACAGCTGCCAGCACACAGCCTCAGGGGCATCACAGGGAGCCCGCAGGTCTGCAGAGCTGACAACAGAGTTACAGCACCACTCGTGCCGCACATCCCACAGCAGCAACGAGTTCTGAGCAGCGACAGCAGCTTCAACAAATTATTCTGGTCCAATCACACGTGGTGTGGGCAACCTACAGTGACTGCCTGATAGGTGGATTTTGCCCCATCGTGAGGGTGACCCGAGGAAAACTGGGACTCTCCAGCAAAATGATTTTGGTTAATGTTTGCACATGAAACGGGCCTCGTGAGGGGAGTGGGCCTGCATCCATCCAGCTGGTAACATGAGAATGCCTTCAGTGCTGTCTCACACCCATCCTATCCATCCCTGCCCAGAAGTAACCATGGCTCTTATCAGCCATCAAAACAAAAACCTTCCACAACTGTGTGTGGTTCCCCTGACACAAGAATTTCAACCTCAAATGGAGGGCCGCCTCAGCTTTAGAAGTTTAAGGCTCAGGAGGCAGATAAGCAAGTTTAGGGGAAGGACTCCAAAATCTCCCAAATACAGGACCTGGAAGAACTGATTAAGGATTCACAGCAGCATTCCCTGATGCTGCAAGTCTGTCTGTCTTTAGACTGGAGCATATCTGGAAGGAACAGCATAGTCTGTCACTGAGGTGCACAAACTAAAAAGGTTACTTACAAGGAACACTTGCTGTGCTCTCCTTTGGTGATAAAACAGCTCCAGATCCTTCAGACCCAGTGATGAGTGACCAGAATTATCACTCAGAGCATTTTTGGAGTTAAGTACAACAACCATCCCCCCCAAGTATCATAAATATTGTACATCCATGCATAAAAACATACCTGCTTAACTGTGACATATCCCTTGTTACAATCTGCTTTTAACTGAACTGGCAAAAGAGAAAGAAGAAAGTGTCACAAAACAGTGCAAATAAAAAGAACTCTGCTGAATCCCCCAGTGCAGAAAACACTCCTCTGTCTGAGGGTCTGCTTCCTTCTGCAGCTGACTGCTGTGAATGTATGCAGAGAGCACTTCTGCCTCATCTCCTCCCAGGGCCGCAGGTAAAACAGAACCAGCCCACACACTGAGCCACACCACAGTCAGAAAAATCACTTCAGAAGAAAGCGGGATGTTTGGAGGTCTTCTACATGTTCTTACCAGCTCTCTGTGACAATAAAGCATGGAGCAGGACTGTGTCCAGGGAAGATGTGCAGTATTTTACAGATCACAGGTATTTTCACATATTCTCCAAAAGCATGTTATTTTATGTATAGAATAACAAGGCATACTGAAAATCAGCTGGTGGGACACTAGAGAGAAGTGCTACTCACAAAGCACGAGTGAAGACAGCGGAACACAACTGTGGGCCTGGGAACTCATGTTGAGGTTCAGTGCTTTGGTTTATGAAGGTGACTGTCCTGTCATTGGGTGTCTCTGACTTTTTAGGCCCCAGGGGTCTCCCCAGGTGCTGACTGAAAAGGCTTGATGACTCCAAGAACCAGACAACACTATGGACCACGCAGCAGAAGGAGGGAAGTTTGGCTGCTGCTGTGTGTGGAAAGCAGGATTTGGGCTAAGCCCCCTTACCTTGCTGCCGTGAGCACCTCTTATCCGTTATCCCTGTCTCTGGGCCACGCCCAATCACCACTGCTTCCAAGTGGGGCAGTTTCACTTGCTGACTGCCCTTCTCCTTCCCCACGAGCCAGCACACGAGCATTGCTGTGCTACAGAGCAAAACAAACAGCGTGTTATCAACACACCACTTCCCTAGAGGCCGCCTTCCCATGGGAATTCTGCTGCCAGCCCACCCATTAGCTGAGCCAGTTCTGCTAACTGGGTTCATGTTTCTGAAATTCCAGGCAAAGCACAGCATTAACATTCATATAACCTAAGAGCAGGTTGCTGCTGAAAGGACAGTGCTGTTTTCCTTCCTATGACCATACCTTCTTAAAACCCTCGATCCATAGACCATAGGAAAAATGAATTGGATTGACGGTTCCATCCGACAGAAAAGCCTACCTACAAAGAAAGTGATTTGTTTCCCACTGAATCTGAATTGATCAAAGACACTAACTAAACCACTAAAACAAAGAGAGCAGCAGACAGAGAGGACAAGATAGCGCGGATAGCTTCATCCAGCAACAGCCAGCACATGGGTCATGCTATGAAACCCTCAGGTTCACAATAATTTGACCCTGGACAACAAAAATCCCTCCTCCTCCTCCTGCACGGCGCTCGGCGCCGAGCGCTCCTCCTCCCCACTCTGTGGTGAGCTGACGCCGGCGGAGAGCAAGGCTCGGTGCCCAGTGCAGCACCGGCACCGTCACACCCTCCCCCACCCCAGCCCATCCCCATCCCCATCCCCCAGCCCATCCCCTGGTCCCATCCCCTTGGCAACCACAGGCCCCGTTTCCATGGCAACACTAGGGCACTCCCCCCGCCCCTTACCGCGCGCGCGGCGCTCGCGCCGCAGCCCGGCTCAGCCAATCAGCTGCCGCAGCGCGGCTCCCACGTGACCAGACGGCGCCTGCAGCCGGGGCGCGTGGCGCGGCGCAAGCGCACCGAGCCCGCAGACTATAGGGGGGAGGGGAAGGGGGTGAACGCCGGGGCCTGGCGCAGGCGCAGTGGCGCGGAACGGGCTGGGCCGCCGAGAAGCCTGTGTGGTGACGGGGCTAGGCCCGCATAGGGTGGGGGAGAGAAAAGGGCGCGGAGCGGCGCCGGGAGAGCGTACCCGGTACCGCCCCGTGCCTACGCTTAAAGGGGACAGGCCCGGGCGCCGCGCAGGCGCGGCGCGGCGCGCGCGCGGGGCAGGGCGGGAGTCACCGCCCGCGCGGGGCGGGGCGGGGCGGGCCCTCGCGCGCCGGGGGTGGTGAGGCGGGCGCTGATTGGCCAGCCGCTCTCCCTCCCCGGCGGCCATTGGCAGGCCGCCCGCCCGGGCCCGGCGCGCGGCGGGGGCGGGACTTCCGGGGCGGGGCGGGGCGGGGAGCGGCGGGGCTGCGTGGACCGGCCCGAACTTTCCAGAAGAGTCGCGAGCGGCGCCGCCGAGCGGGATCTGTGCCCGCAGCCCCCGCCGGCCCCGCAGCCCCCGCCGCAGCCATGGTGAAGGAGACCACCTACTACGACGTGCTGGGCGTGAAGCCCAACGCGTCCGCCGAGGAGCTGAAGAAGGCCTACCGCAAGCTCGCGCTCAAGTACCACCCGGACAAGAACCCCAACGAGGGCGAGAAGGTCGGGCCGGGCCGGGCCGGGGCGGGCCAGGGCGGCGGGAGCGGCGCGGGGGTGCTGCCGGGGGGTCGCAGGTGTCCGAATGCCCGTGTCTCTCGTGCAGTTCAAGCAGATCTCCCAGGCCTACGAGGTGCTGTCGGACCCGAAGAAGAGGGAGCTCTATGACAAAGGAGGCGAGCAGGCCATCAAGGAGGGCGGCTCCGGCGGCGGCTTCGGGTCTCCCATGGACATATTCGATATGTTCTTCGGCGGCGGGGGGAGGATGCAGAGAGAGAGGCGAGGTGAGGTGCCGGCTGCTCTCCGATACGTTCTCGGCGTGCCCGCGGTGTTAGACAGGATCAGAGTCTCCCGTGAGAGTGCCATGGGTGTAGGAATTGAGAGTTAAAGGGAAGTTGTGGGCTTAGCCTTAAAATCGAAGAAAACTGTTGTCCCTTAATGCCTGGGACTGTAGGGGAGAGAGGACATTTGTTCCGTTCGGCAGTAGTTTGGTTTCCCGTTCACTGTCCGCTGTTAATCGCTAACCTGGTGCCGTTGTGTTTGGACAGCCTTTACCCGAGTGCAAGCCCAGCTGCCAATGGGCTGAATAGGAAACATAAGGGTCCTGTAGCTTAACGCGATTTGTCAGCCCTGCTACCCTAAATGTAGGGCCTAAACGTGAATTTCCTGTTTAATTGCAAGCAACTGCATCGAAATAAGGTATCAGAATTAAGTTCAGTCTGTGAAACCTTTTGTCTTCCTGCACTGTTCTGCTGAGTTAAGTTGAAGCTGCAGGAAAATGCTGCTCAGCAGATAAGCTCCAGATTAATCACAGTGGGAAAAATTCAGAATTGGTTAGGAGCAATGCTGACCCCATCACCTCTTGGTGCAGGTCTGGTGACAAAAGGAAGAAAAAAGTGTTTGTATCAAAGTGTTACAGTGTTGTAGCAAAATACTCCTAGTAAGCCAGAGCAAAACTAAGCGTGTAGCAGCTGAAGTTCTAAGGAATTCCTGAGTGCAAAAATGTAATTGCTTAATTCTGTTTCCAGAAAGTCCCCTGATGAGAGAAAAGATGTCTCCCACTTCCTTATAGGACACACGTTCCGTGACCTTGTTAAAACAGAGTCCTTCATTATATAACTTAAATGGCTGAGGTTCTGTGTGTTTTGTTTCTGTCACTGTTTTTGCTTTCACAGAAAGTCTCTTCTAAGGGCAAAGCCATTAGAATTGTTTCCCAATTTGAAATCAGATGGGAGGGGGCTATTGGCTAATGCCAGCAAAACAAGACAAAGCTCTATTGAAACAAAACGTTGAAGCCCAAAGACTTGGTTTACCCTGATTTGAGCATGGAGACATGGGAAGTTGGAGACCAAGCTTTCAGACTTTAATATGTTTTCTTTTCCAGGTAAAAACGTGGTCCACCAGCTGTCAGTAAGTTTAGAAGATATGTACAATGGTGCGATGAGGAAACTTGCACTGCAGAAAAACGTTATCTGTGACAAATGTGAAGGTAACAATGAAACTGAAACTAGACACACTTTAAAGTTTCCTGGTGTTTTTTTTCTGGCAACACGTAATGGTCGGTCTTCAAATTTCTTTCTCAGGTCGTGGTGGCAAGAAAGGGGCAGTAGAATGCTGCCCTAATTGCAGGGGATCAGGCATGCAGATCAGAATTCACCAGATCGGGCCAGGAATGGTGCAGCAAATCCAGTCTGTGTGCATGGAGTGTCAGGGGCATGGAGAGCGCATCAGCCCCAAGGACCGGTGTAAGAGCTGCAATGGCAGGAAAATTGTTAGAGAGAAGAAGATCCTAGAAGTGCACATTGACAAAGGTGAGGTGTCTTACTAAAATGAGGTATTGAACGTGGGTGTACTGACTGGTTTTGCACCTCTAAAACAGGAGGTTTAGAAAATAAGCAGTGTTTATTTGGTGAGTAATACCGATGGATACACATGCAGTAAAGTTGCCTGTTGCTGCCTTTTTTGAAGTGGAAGACTTGTTTTTACGTAAGGTTCTGTGTTCCCTTCCGAAATCTGTGCATGTAATTGAAGTGAATTCTAGAACCTGTGTTACTGTAAGAGGTGAATTATTTTTGAGCTCACTGTAAGCACAGTTCATTATCAGGAAGCCTAATCAGGTTTCACTGCCTGTAGGGAAACCCCGCAGACTCCGATCACTTCTACTGTCTTTCAGTGTGAAAGGGAACCAGGTCTGCTACAGTAACAGGGCGCTGAGACAGTGCTTAGGCTCTTGTGCTTAGAGTTCTGCCGGCTGCACAACCCTGACAGTGCTGCTCGGCGCAGGTGCTCCTTCCCTGCCTGGCAAAATGCAGCTCCACACACAAACCCTCCCAGTGGTGAGTGAACGTGACACTATGGGGTGGCAAATGCACCTCTGCTGAGGGGGCTGCTCGAAAGCTGGTGGGAGAAATCTCTGGAGTAGTGCAGCTCGTAAGACAGCAAGCTTACAACACATGGCTTCTACAGACTTGCTCCTGATTATCAGCTGTGACCGCTGTGTGTGGAAGCATAGCTTGTGCAATGCTGAATTTGTTTTTAAGAGGGAAAATCCTACAATAATAGTAAATATGAGGGCTAAGAGGGATATAAAACTGATGTTTTGAACAGGAAAATCTCTGAGAAGAGTGTCTTTTCTTTTCTAGAAAAACAGGCTTATCTAGCATTAGGAAGCTAGAAGTTTTGATAGACACACTTTTGTGTGGGTGAAAGGAGTGTCTGACATGAGGGTTACAGTCTATTAGAAGTGCTTCTTGCACTTGGCAGGCACTGAGATGATGTTTCATAAGGAAATGTGCCACGTATTTCTAAAACTGAAGTAGTTTATTGGCCACTTGCTCTTAAAATGGAGTTTGTATACAGTGTTTCTGTTTTCTTTTTAGTACTTGTGTGTATAGTGAAAATTTTATGGTATTTCCCTTAAAGACTTTTATCTTGGTGGCTGTTTGGACAGTACAATTAAGCTTAGTGACCTTCAACCATAATATTGATTCAGGTTACCAGCACTAAGGTTGGACACGGGAGTGGATTAAAAACAAAAAAGGGGATTCTTCAAGGGAAGATCCTGATGTTCTTGTTTGAAGATCCAGAGATTTCTTGATATCAGCTTGTGTCTATAAAAGTATTTCCTGATGGTGTTTTTCACTTAAAAATAAGGAAAATGTTTGTTTTCTGCAATAGGAATGAAAGATGGTCAGAAAATAACATTCCATGGTGAAGGGGACCAAGAGCCAGGTCTGGAACCCGGGGATATTATTATTGTATTGGATCAAAAAGACCACTCTGTATTTACAAGGTAAAAACTCTTTGACTCCTCTTGTGTTAACTTCTGCAATGCTTGTCCTTGGTTACCCCCTACCTGGTACCTAGTGGAGTGTCAGTGGGTATGATCATGTGACTGGAACTCACTGTGAGCTTGTTTGGGTGGCCAGAGGAGCACTGAGGTGCAGGAATTCTGGTGGAAATAGTCTCAGCCACTTGCGTTCTAGTAGCATGAGAGAATTGTTTGTGAGCTTTGGCAGTGCAAGGGGATAGAAGGCAAACAAAACCAGATATAGTAATTAAGACTTTTCAGATCTTTAATTTTAAGATCTCTTAAAATACTGAGACTCTAATTAGTAGATTTGAATATTTGTGACTGTTTCCTTGGTCACTTTGGGACAGCATTCTGTTACTTAGCTCAGAAAATTGCCATTTACTGTAGGCAGCTGTTTATTGCCCGCTTGGCCTCAAGGCACGGAAAACTTGGACTGTGTTCACATTCGTTTGGGGATCTTACTTATGACAAACTCACTCAGTATAGCCTGCACCCTTCTGATCAAAGGTGCTTTCCCTCACTTCATTTCCTACCTGAGTGCTGTGGGCAAGGTAATTGGTCCTGCCTGTTTTTTATTGTGAACGCAGAAGTGACTCAAGCAGCACTGACCACATCTCAGCTATTTCACGTTACCCCACAGCACTGCTCAGTGTTGCACGCCTCCCTCTTTCAAGTTACTGTTTGTGGAATTGGTCTGTCCAGTGCATTCTGACCCAGTTAAAAGCACTGCTGATCATCTTGCAGAAATGTGTTATACTTGATGTCATGCTACTCCTGTTCAGAGCAGTTAAAAGGCAATCAATCAGTTTAGACAAAGCGTCTGTTTGTTTCAACACCAACCACTGACCTTGTAAAAATAGGAACAGTGAGCCAAAGGTTCCTGGGAAACCTGCGGCTGGTCTGCCCAACTATTTTGTATGGTGCTGAGCTCTTGAAGCTGCTGCCAGAATTCTATGCCAAAGAACACTGAGCTCACAGGTTAAGAATCAGTTCTGTTTGCTTTGGATAAGCTTACTCAGCTGATTTTTCTTAACTTCCAGTGAAACCAGACACTGAATCAGATATGCTGAACTATTCTCATGGTTTCTTGGGACTTGAAGTCAGAATTCTGCTAGATTATTTTTGTCCATCTTTCTGCCCACCACCTTCAGTTCTAGTGTCCATAGATAACCCTTGATATTACTGATTTGTGGGGTTATGCTGAGGTCATGCTCTCGCACAAGTGGGATGTTCCTCCTCTCCTGTAAGAGTCTAAAATTAGCTTTTCCTGCAAGTCTCCTTCCAGAGACCTTTCAAAAACAGGGTAAGTGCTATAAGTTCTTTGAATAGGCTGGACGATTTTGTAGCTTCTGAACATGTAAACACCACTAGCCCTGCCTTACTGAAGCCACAACAGGCAGTTAAAGGAATTCACACGCTCTATTCCAGATACTTCTTGGAGCTTTCTAAAAGATACTTGCATCATTACCCAGGGGCCATCACCCTTTCAAACTTCCCTAGTAACAGATCTTCAAGAGTGAGTGTAACATACTAACACAGAGCAAGGAGGTGCACTTAAAAAAGTGGGGGCAGGCATTAATTGTTGCAGTGTTTAGGAGGCTGAGAGATCTTTTTTTTCCTAGAATTGGAAAGGAGCAGTGGAGTGAAACTGGATGCAAGTGAGCCTTGCTATACGTATTTCTTTTCAGTAAACACTTCTACACTTTAGTTAGCTTGATGGGATCAGTAATGGCTCTCAGTATGGGTATCATTCTTGTAATTACTGGCTTGAAATGCTACATCAATATTTGGTATTCTTTATTTAGGTGCCTGAGCTTCTATTAACATTACAGCTTATTGTCATTTCCTAGTTAAATATTGAGGTTGGGTATGATCCTTTTACTCTTTCTGCCTCTCTGTGACTGTTGTTTGATTGGTTCTACCTTAGACGAGATGAAGATCTTCTTCTGTCTATGGATATTCAACTGGTGGAAGCACTCTGTGGCTTTCAAAAGCCTATAACAACGTTGGATAACAGAACTATTATTATTACCTCCCATCCTGGTAAGAGTTGCTTTACTTTCTGTTGGAAGTCCCAGCACAAGGTGAATGTAAGCTGAAAACAGGAAAGGAACAGAAACATCCAGTTTTGATGTACAAGGGATGTGTGCTGGTATCAGGCTGTTTTCCCTAGTCTGTGCAGTTCAAACCATGAAATAAAAAAGGATTTTTGGAAAGCAGTCAGCAGTTAACTTTCTCTTTGCATGACATAGTAACAGACCTTACCTCATGGACATACTTGTATCCTGAGGATACCTCATGAGAATTGAAGGGCGTGTGTCTCTGAAAACCACTTTTTCAGCCTTGGAAGTGATGGAACACTTAATAAATTTGTAAGTATGTTTCCTTTGGGAAGCATAACAAGGTTACAGGATTTAATTTAGTAGCAACCTCCTTTCTTACTCAGATATTACCGGGCATTAAGTTCCTGTTAGAGTACTACATAATGGTGTAGGTGACTAACTGCAGTGTAGAAATCTACACAAATATTGAAGGCACTTAAAACTAAAGCTGCTTCTGTTGCCTGTATTGATCCCTTCTTCTTTTTTGTGATCTTTTTGTTTTGCTTTGTTTTTAGGCCAGGTTGTTGAGCATGGTGCTATTAAGTGTGTGTTGAATGAAGGTATGCCAATTTATCGCAGACCATATGAAAAAGGACGTCTGATCATAGAATTCAGGGTAAGTGGGTCACTTCCGTGGCATAGTTCAGGCTGAATATCCATCCAAAATTTAACCTCTAAGCATCACCTCAATCACGAAGAGATGCCAGTAATCATATTTTTGGTATCTGTTTTTTACAATGGTGAGAACATGTAATCCATCAAACAGAATTACAGTTCAGAACAAAGACAGAACTTCCTGAACACACTATGCTGAAAGTACCACAGGAATTTCTTCAGTGACCTTGTGAATTTCCTTTTGTTTCACATATTCTTTAGGAAGGATGGATGAGTAACTTCAACTTCTGTGCTGGAGCAGAAGAGTAGGCTGGAAAATGCTGATTTCTTCGCTGGGGAGAAGCTAATGCTGGGAGCTGTAGCAGCAGGCTCTGTCTGCTATGGCTTAGAAGATATTTAACCATATCTGTAATGTTCACATTTTGTGTTTATATATACAGATATATAGTTTTATATGTTATTATATGTATTTTATTTTGTTTCTAGGCTGATTCCAGAGGGCAGCCTGAGGCAGAAGAAATGTACTGGTTGAGTTGCTAGAGTTAGAAACTAATCTCATGCAGGCATTAAAAAATAGCTCAGTCGTGTTGATAATTTTTTTAAGCTCTGGATTTAAGTCATCTGTGATGATAAATCTGACTTTGCCAGATGTTTGACCTGTACGTAGCTGTGTTGGTAAAAGACTCGTTCAGACAGTAACCCCAGTTCTTGATGATTTCAGGTCAACTTCCCGGAGAGTGGCTTCCTGTCCTCAGATAAGCTGTCTTTGCTCGAAAAACTGCTACCTACAAGGCAGGAAATAGAAGAAACTGAGGAAATGGAACAGGTGGATTTAGTGGACTTTGATCCATCTCAAAAGAGAAAACACCACTATAACGGGGAAGTGTATGAAGATGATGAGCATCAGCCTAAAGGTGGTGTTCAGTGCCAGACATCGTAAATGGGCCAGTGAATAACTTGTGATGCTTGTTTTGTATGCAGTAGTGGATGAGTGAAGGACTACAGACAGTTCACCCTCACCTCCTGCTATATGTTGTTCTATCCAGCCATAGTTATTTCTAAAAGCATAAAGAAATAAACTAAGTAATTAAACTGACTTTGCAATTTGTATGAAGCTCCAGGATACAAGCTCCAATGAAGTTGATTGCACTTCACCCCTGCCTCTTGGTCCAGAAACTCCCTTACCTGCTTGTCTTTTCTTCCAAACCTTGTAATTCCTGTATGTGTGCAATTGCCCAGGCTTAAACTTTAAGAATCTGTGGTGTGCTTTTTAGGAATTCTAGATCTTATACTCTGTGAATAAAGTATGCACAAGTACTTACAATCCATGGTAAGATGTAGTTAAGTTTTGTACCAATTAGGATAACAATGTTTTGGGCTTATACTGTTATTTGTTAAACGGGCACTGGCTCTAATGCAACCATGTGATCCCTGGAGCTGATGTGGATGTGGTCATTCTCCACAGACCCATTAAAGCCACGTGATCCACAAGCTCTCCGAAGCTATTGCGCTTCAGGTCAGACAGTCCCTTCCTGTGCCAGCACTAGTCCTGACCCCAGAGCTCGATGAGGAGCTTGCTTTGCTTCACCAGTGACTCCAGTTTGGCTGCTGTCCTGCACCACACTGCCTCTAGAGCCAGTGCTTGCTTGGAGCTTCCTTCGCTACTGCCAATTAGTGAAAATCTCTAGGATTTATCAGCACACATGTGGCTTGGGATCTGTCACACTGCTGCCTTGGTTACTGAAATCAGATATCCCTCAGTGTGTTATGGAAAGCAGTGCTGGCCCTTTTGGTGGGTATATGATCCTGCAGAGGAGGGAAGCTTAGTGAATACAACCAACCAATGCATATAGGATGTTCTGAAATTAATGTATTGTGTGCATTATTTTAAGCTGAATCTTGGAAATTCTGTATGAATGTGCTAATTATTGTAGATGAAGCGTTTCCGATATAATTTCAAAATGGTTCATTGCCTCTTTTCTTAGACCAGATGTTGGTTTAAAGACACCACCCCCTTCTTTCTAGACAGCTATTCACAGAAAAAAATCTTAGCAAAAACCTTTCAGAAAATATGCTGAGAAGACAGGTCCAGATTTAACCTCTAGTGTGGTGCTTTAGTCTTGCTCAACCATCTGGCTTGGGACAGAGCTTACGCTTTTCATACTGCTTTGAAGCAAAAGTGTCACAAAGAGAACTCTTGTAAGTAGCTGCTGTGTGACAGTACATGTGCTGTAACTTAAATATCTGGGAACTCTTAGAAGACAGCTCTAGCTCTCCTAAGTGTCACAGGTTTCATTTTATAAACACAGCTGTCACCATGGGTTTTGTACCTCAAATGTAGTTCCCTTTCAGGTATCCACAGAACAGCGATCGCCTGCATGTTTCCCCTACCTTTTGGTTTTCTTTATTCTACTCAGCAGAAATAAAATTCTGTAGGCAAAATGTTTTTCCAAATTCTGCTTTGAATGAGCTCATCGGTGAGCTGTACAAATGTGACCAACAGGTGCCTGTTCCCTATCTGAGAAATGGTGTGTTTGAGTGAAGGGGAGAAACAAAGTAATCCTACCTCTGTCTAGGCCTGACTCCTGCACAGCTGTCTCGAGACTTAAACAGCAGTAAAATATGCTCCTTGTTTTCAGTTCAGTGAGCACCCATGTTTACTTTTTTCCTTAACCACTGGATCAAAACAGTAAGGGCAAACAACACCTGTGCAGTGCCTTGAGGATGAGAAGGGGACATTATTTTGTTTCAGATGACTGTATTATTTAAAAAAAAAAAAAAAAAACAAAACCAAAAAAAAACAAACAAACAAAAAAAAACACAGGGGGAAAAAACTGACAAACATTCCATAGCCATATTTTCCTAGGAACACTTTTATTTTCCTTTCACCACACCCACAGCAGCACAGTTGAGGTAATGGTCTTGACTTACCGTTCAGACCATGGGCGATTCTCTCGTGCTTGGTGACACCAGAGGGGCTGGTCCGGGTCTAGATTCCAGGAGGGTGGCTGAGCAGAAGCTGCCTCTGGAAGCCTTAGCAGAGCAGTCCAGGGAAAGATGATACTACTGATGCAGGAGGGGCAGCAGAAACACCACCAGTTTAGGATTCTGTTTTGAAATGAGCTGGTGACTAACATAAAATCTATGTCCCAAGGAAATACTGGCAGCAGTAGAGGGAGCTTGTGGCAAAAAGCATTAGTCAATGATGGCAAGAAGGACCCAGCTCTTAAAAGTTCAAGTACAAGGTGTGGCCTCTCCCAAGCTTCTTTGTCCTCCCATGATATTCTGGGTATCATACAGTTAGAGCAAGCAGCAAAACATGTTCTGTGCCACTGGAAAATGGAACGACAATTTTTTCTGACTTGTTGCTTTATGTGCAATGCAGTTTCCCATTTTGGGAAATGAATGGACAGACAGCTGTAGAAATTGAGGCCACAGTAGCACAAAATAGCTGTTTCCATGACTACCAGAGTAGTAATCTGACCTGTTGTAATCTGAGTTGATGCTTGCAGTCACTTCCAGTGTTTTAACACCACCGAATTCATACATTCCAACCCGATAGTCTAGTCTATTATAATTATTCTTTCCACTCTGCGCCAGGCATCCGAGACATTTTTCCCCAAGAAATCTTGCAGCTCCACTGTTGCACAGGTTTGCTGTGAAACAACACCCACTGCAGACTCATTTAAGAGCCTGCTCTCATTTTTGCTTCTGCTTTCAGAGCCCTTAAACTAACAGGTCCTTTCCTCCCCATAGCTTTGAATACCTGCTACCCAGCACCAGTGCAAGAAGTTTGCTCAGCCCAGGGGATTAAACTGAATAATCCCAAATCTGCTCTGAACTTACAGTGTGATGCAAGGTCAAGCAAGCAAGCAACTTGCCCCTATGACTTCTTCACTGGCAACTTAGTCTGTGAAGACATGGTTATGATTGATTACTGCTCGGAGGATTAGTAAGGCACACTGAGAAGGGAGGTTTGATTTAAGCCATTTTTTTTCCAAAAACACATGAAAACAAAGGAAACAAAATCAAAGAAATGCCACATTCAGTGTTTTCTTAGGAGGTAAGATGAGTGCTATTAAGGTGCTCAAAGAATAGGGGCTTCAACTACCCTGAACCCTGCTGCCAGAAAAACACAGCAGGACATCATAACACAGGTAGATCCACACCTCAGGTAAATGCTGAGTGCTCTCTGCCATAACTATGGGTACTCGACTAAGAGCCTGATGAATGTTGTGGCAGGTGGCTGAATTACAAGAGAGTTAACACACTGCAGTGTTAGAGGCACCAAGCAGAGGTAGATAAGTAGGTTCAGAATCACACCCTCACAATGGATACCACCAAGCATGAGGCACCTCGGGTGTGGTGAGCCACAAAAGCAGGGCTCCAATTCAACCTCCACCATCCAGACCAAAACCAGATATGACACACCTATTAAAGGCTCTAGATGTCCCTGAGAAAGGCCAGCAAGGAGAACCCGGGCCAGCAGTGCACGGTGGTCACCGTAAAAAGAAATCATGAGTTATCGTAGTGCGTGACTCTGTCAAGGGGCGCTGGGGCACCCACCTGCCAGCCTGGTAGACAGTCATGGGGAGTTTGCTGCCTCTCGGGTGCTGAGATACGTGACGTTGTCAGGAGGGTACCCCAAACTGTCAAAAGCACAGACTACTACCCGTTATTACTCTTTCTTGTGGGTGCAAATGACACCACAAGCCAAAAACAGCAAGAGAATCTTTGGCAGCAGGCTGACCAGTTTGATGAGATAGACTTTCAACTGAAGGACTCAGGGTTGGGATCCAAAATGGCAGTACTTTTGCCATTGCTTCCTCCTGGGGAGTAGGTCATACCAACCAGTGCAGCAACAGATGTTCCTTGGCTGCCTCTCAAGGTGAGGATCAGAGGGCTAACCACATCAAGGGTGTTTTTGGTCACAGTGAATCCCCTTACACCCCTTCTAGCAAACCTCATTGCTTGATCCCCTCTGAAATGCCTGCATACAAACATATGCAGCATGGAGAATAAACAAGAACTGGAAATCTACGTGCAGTCATAGGCCATGATCTCATTGCAATGACTGAGACATGGTGGGATAGCTCACGACTGGAATGTTGTCGTGGATAGGTATGGACTTCTTAGAAAGCATAAGTCAGAGAGGTGAGGTGATAAAGTTACTCTTTAGATGAGAGAACAACTTGAACGTATCAAGCTCTACCCAGGGGACAGACAAACCTGTTAAGAACTTTTGAGTGAGAATTGCTCAGTGTGCCCTGGCAGCCAGGAGGGCCAACTGTGTCCTGGGGGGCATCAGGCAAAGCATCGCCCGCCAGTCGAGGGAGGGGATTGTCCTGCTCTGCTCTGACCTGGGGTGGCCTCACCTTGAATATTGTGTGCAGTTTCGGGTGCCACAGAATAAGGTATCAAGCTGCTAGAGAATGTCCAAAGGAGGGCAGTGAAGATGGTGAAGGGCATTGAGGGGAAGCCGTGTGAGGAGTGGCTGAGTCACCTCAGCCTGAGGAAGAACTACTTTACACTGAGTGTGGCAGAGCACTGGAACAGGCTGCCCAAGAAGGTCATGGAGTCTCTCTCTAAAGACATTCAAAACCCACCTGCTCTAGGTGACCCTGCCCTGGTAGGGGGGGAAGACTAGATGATCTCCAGAGGTCCCTTCCAACCTAAAAATTCTGTGATAATCCATCCAGGAGATTCATGGAGTGCTTCAGTGAGAACTTCCTGATCCAAATGATAGAGGAACCAACACGGAGAGATGCTCTGTTGGACCTCATACTCTAAAACAAAGGGCTTGTTAGGACTGTCAAGATCAAAGGCAGCCTTGGCTGCAGTGACCATGAGATGTTGGGGTTTGAGATCCTTAGAGGAAGGAAGAGGATAAAAAGCAAGTTCTCAGCTCTGGACTTGAGAAGAGCAGACTTTGGTGTCCCTGAAGATTTGCTTTGGAAGCATCCTGAGGGATAAGGCTTTGGAGTGAAGAAGGCACCAAGAAAGCTGGTTAAAATTCAAGGCTCACCTCCCCTAGGCTCAAGAGCAGTCCCTTCCAGTGAATGGGAAGTGAGGCAAAAATGGCAGGAAGTCTGTAGAGATGCACAAGGAATCCATGGCTACACAAAAAGGAATCATCTGGAGGATGAGTATCCAAAGTTAAGTAAGCGGGGAGGAGCATAAATATGTTGTTTGGGAAGTTATGAAAGCTAAAGCTCAACTGGAGTTGGATCTGGTCAGGGATGTCAAAGACAACAAGCACCTCTGTAAGTACAAAGGTGGGAAAGGGTAGGGAAAATGTGGGCCTGTTACTGAATTAGATGAGGCATCTGGTTACACAGGACATGGAAAAAATTGAGGTACTGAATACCTTCTTTACCTCAGTCTTACGGATGACACAGGCCCTCAAAGAATTCCAGGTCCTAGAGACCAGGGGGAAAATCTGGAGCAAGGACGATGTACCCTTGGTGGAAGAGGATAGGTCAGGGAAGACCTAGGGAAACTGGACATACACATGTCCTTGTCCCCAGTGAGATGCAGCCACAAGTGCTGTGGGAGTGGCAAGGCCCCTCTTGACAATCTTTGATTGATCATGGTATCTGGGAGAAGTGCCCAAAGACTCATGGAAAGTCAGTGTCTCCCCTGTCTTTGAGAAGGGTAAGATAGAGATCCAAGGAACTAAAGGTCTTTTCGCCTTGCCTTGATCCATTGGAAGGTAATGGAGCAGCTAACCTGGAAACCATTTCCAGGCACATCAAGAACAAAAAAATCACCCAGTTGTCAGCATGGCTTCACCAAGGGAAAGTCATACTTAACCAAACTGATACATTTTTACAGTGAAACAACCGGACTGGTGCATGACAGGAGAGCAGTGGTTGTTTTCCACCCAGACTTCTGTAAGGCCTTTGGCACTGCCTCTCATAAGATCCACACAGAGCAGCTTTGATGTATGGGACAGATGAGCAGTGAGGTGGATTGAAAACTGGCCGAATGTCCAGGCCCACAGGGTGGTGACGAGTGCAACGAAGTCTAGCTGGAGGACAGTGGATCCCAGGGGTCACTACCAGCACCATTCCTGTCTAACATCCTCGTTAATAATCTGGACAACTGGACAACACATACCCTCAGCAGGTTTGCAGGTGACACAAAACTACAGAGGAGTAGCTGATACAATAGAGGGTTCTGTTGCCATCCAGAGGGAGACTTGGAGAGTTCAGAGAAATGAGCTGACAAGAACCTCAGGAAGTTCAAGGGAAAGTGCAAAGTTCTGCATCTGGGGAGACACAACTCAATGCAACAGCACATGCAGAGGGGCACTCAGGTGGAAAGCACTAGAGAAGGAACCTGGGGTCCCAGTGGACACCAAGGTTATACATGAACCAGTAACGTGCCCTTTTTGGAAAGAAGACTAATGCTGTCCTGGCTGCCAGTAGGTAGAGGGAAGTGATCCTTCCCATCTACTCAGCAAGGGCTAGGCCACACCTGGAATGCTGTGTCTGGTTTTGAGTTCCCCAATACAAGAGGGACGTGGTTGTACTGGAGCAAGTCCGGTAAAGGGTCACAAAGATGCTGAGGGGACTGGACCATCTCTCTTGTGGGGAAAGGCTAAGAGGGCTGGGACTGTTCAGCCTGGAGAAGACTCAAGGGGAATCTCACTGATGTGCAGAAATACCTGAAGGGAGGGTGCAAAACAGAAGCCAGGCTCTGCCTAGCAGTGCCCAGTGACAGGAGGCCGTGGGAACTGACTGAAACACAGGAGGTTCCCTCTGAGTATCTGGGAACTCATCACTGGGGGTTACTGGGCACTGGTACAGGTTGCTCAGAGAGGTGGTGGAGTCTCCATCCTTCCAACATCAGATATCCTGTTATTCTGTGCATAAGACTTCCAAGGACAATTACTTCTAATTTGGGAAGACAGAAAAGGCTTAACTAGCTTCCAACAGTACATGTCTGCTCCCAGACAAGCCAATGCCATTTCCTGCCCAACAAAGGCAGTTGTCAAAATAATTTGTTACTACACGGGGAGAAGTTTTATACACTAAGGCAAATAAAGAAACTGAAGAGGGTTTCATTACTCTTTTTCACGATACAAGTCAAAAGAAAATTGTTATAGCTCCATCTCTTGTTCCATGAGGAGTCTAAGAATTCCCACAATTCCTACTCTGCCCCCAAAATAAAGCATTTAACCACCTTTCTCCTTAGGATTCACCTAAAGCCTATGCTTTTTCCCTGATAATGAGATTCAAGCTTGCTCAGCCTGTCTTTCACACGGCATCATCATCCAGAAGTCATAGGGTTTATTTACAACTATCCAGTGAACACAACACCAACAGGAACCGGGGACGGAGTAACCATGCCTAAGGACTCCCAAAACTCACACAGAAACCAGGCAGAAAGTGAAGAAAAGCTGTACCCAAAATGCATTTATAGCTGACTTCTGGCATCATCTTTCCTTTAAATCTATGCAACACCTTTTCCTTCTTTTTGCACAGATTGAACACTAGTCCTGCCAAGGTGACTCACACCAGAGGCAGGCCCTCTTACTGAGGCTCGTGGTTCAAAACCCTCTGCAAAACGCAGGATCAAGAGATTCACAGGGGCTGACAGGCAGCCCTGGAGGCCATCTGCTCTCTCAGGCTCCATGAGAATTCAGCTGCTTCACAACACATTCACAGAGAACCCACCACTGCTGTTGAGATCAAGTCTTCAGTTTTCAGGTGGCCTCCCTAAATTTTACTAGGGAGGGTTTGGTTTTTGTTTCTGGATGTCAAGCTGGTAAGAGTATCAGAGCACAACTACAGGAAATAATGCTACATGGTACACCCCAACCCCCAAACATTTTGCACTCCTCTGTGTATGACAGAACTTGACATTTCCAAACAAAACAATTCAAGAACAAAGCAAGGCCCACAGGTGAACAATGTTTTCTTTAATACGAGTTAAAGAACTGCCTTGTTCTAGTCTTACAGAGAGGTAAGTGGCATTAACACCTGGCTGGTTGTCCAGAGAGAAAATGTCCTCCTAGATTTAAAAAAAATAACATTTGCAGTAAAAAAATTTTAATTAAAAAAAAAAAAATAACATTTTCAAGATTAACACTACATTTCTGTGCCAACAGTCGGCTATTTTACAAATCACAGCCATAGCCCAGGAAATAAGTTTTACCACTGCCCTTTCGTAAGTACTGGTAAATATCACCTTTTTGGCTTGAGAATTTAATGCAATAAACTGAGACTCCTCAAAGAAAAGCATAAGAAACACCAGAGTGTCTTACATTTTTAAGCTAGAGAATGTATTCCAACCTTTAAACCCTACGGATTCTGACAGTTTCATTTGCTAGAACTACTTTTCTCTTAGAGAACAATGTAGGATACAGTTTTCATTGAGGAGTAGTAGTCCTGTGTAATCTGAAGACAAAATGAACCACAAAAGTTAGGTAGTATTAAAAATATTTTGTCAAGATCTTCTGTATCAAAAGTACTAACTGCCAATGGAGCTTGTCAGATGTGTCACTGTCAGCTATTTCCGTCTTCTCAGGCAGGAAAAATAATCACTTTTTGCTATCTGAAAAAACCTCTAATGATGTATCTAAGTAAGTAAAAATCAACTAGGGAATTAAAAACATCACAGCTAAACAGAGAACTAAACTCTACACTTTAATTAGTGCAGTGAACAAGCAACGCCATGTGAGAATTCCAGTTGAACTTTTTCTGCATTCCCCTGGACCACTACAGACACAGACAAAATACTTGAATTGGAACTAATTTATTAAATCAAACAAAAGTTACCACTGTTTGAAAGATTACTGTGGTAGGAAAGCATTCTACAAGAGACAGGGATAGAACACAGCACAGCAGATTCACATCTACAAGTGTTTCATTCATCATTACAGGAAAAACCTTGTTTTTCTGCATCCTAGAAAAGACATGGTCAGATTCTGGTGTACACTCACAACAGTGTGCATTAGACAGGATCTCAAATCATAAAATCTTATGCTCCAAACCGAGCATATGAAGAACCTGAAAGTGTCTTTTTATCTGTGGGACCTATGAATCACCTCGACTAGGTCCACAGGCATATGAAACTGAAAAAAAATTAAAATCTTACAAATAATTATTTAAAGCGTTATCACAGCACTAGGAACTCAGCCTATGTAAACCAACTTTTGCATTTTTTAAAATATTGATCCCCTAAAGCCTGTTTCAGTTACAGCTGGTCTGAAGACATTTTGCACTTACACGAAGAGAGTACTTATACCTTTTAATCTAGAAGTGAAATAAAACAAAAGGGAAAAAAAAAAAATAACTGTATCCCACTGCCAGATCAGGCAGGTTTATAGTTTAGAGTAGGAAGTGCTGGCAGATGGGGAAGCATAGTCTCTTTCTGAGGAAGCTGTGTGACACTACTTTCCAAAGTAATTGGAAAAATTATAGTGAAAATTGAACACAGCAAAACCCAATGGACTAGAAACGGCCTTGTCTTCAAGCCGAAGCGTAGCCTGGTCTGCATTCCAGAAAAACTATGCTTATGTTTCAGCAGTGGGAAATAGATAGCTTTCCCACTCCACATTTCACTCACACAAACAAAAAAAAACCCAACATTTTGCTGTATTCTAGGAAGTCAGCAACCACTCATAAGTGTGTCTACTTCCTGGCTCATTCAACTTTTACAAACATTGTAGGAAGAGTACAGACTTCAGGAGACAGAAAAAGCACTCTCACCGAAGTGACTCTGACAATTCTAATAAAAATAAGTATATGAAATTAAGCAATGCTGTATTTAAGCATCAATCTACTCTAGGTGAGTAAAAATGTCATTCTCTGGAAAACCAAACTAAAAATTGAGCAAGTATCATACTCTGGACACTTAGATCTTGTTAAAGCACAAACAATAATAAACTGCAACTAACAGGCACACTTGAGAGCTGGATGTAACATCCACCTATGGCTTCCACAGTTTGAGGAGCCCATCTTCACTGTAAGTGGCAATCAGGTTCTGGTGGGGGTGATGAGCAATGCCAATGACATCCTTCTCATGAACCTAGAGAATAAGTAGAAAGATGCATCAGAAGAGTATTCCTTTAGCAGATTCAAGGCAAATATTCTCTTCAAACAAGAACTAGAGGAAAGCTGGACTGACTTTTAACATACACCCCAACATCAAATTCCAGTCACAACAATGTTTGTGACATGGCAGTTACTTTTTGCTGGGCAAGGGAAGGCTCACTGAAAGTGAGCCACAAAATTTAAAGTGTTCCTTGTTAAATTTAGACATTCAATTTGATACTCCTTTTTAGTTCAACCCAAGCCAAATTCAAAGCCTGACAGCTTTAAGTCTGACAGCTTGGTCAGATCCTCCACCAGCTGGAACCCAGGACAAGACCTGCTCCCATTCAAATAGGTTTGACCCAATTCACTCCTGACTTGGTGGGTAAATGTTTTCCTAACTTTTACAATCAAATAGTTCTACAAAACCAAACACATTCTAGAGCCAAATGTTCTGGAATACATTTGATTAAATTGTGGCCGCTTCCTTGGTCTGAGACTACTCTTTCTGGATGTCACGGTGAATATTTACATCCTCCTTGTGTTTAAACTCTGAAGAAGTTAAAAGGTAAAAACTTACAGTCAGGGTTCTCTCCAGCTTGCCGGTCACTGTGCTGAAGCAGTAAAGCACAAAATCTTCACCAACACAGTAGATCCATTCACCACGGGGCGAAAGTGCACAGCACACAAAGTCACCACCTTCTCTCTTACCAGAGCTAAAGCTTCTTACAATCTGTAAAGACACAACCCCCATAAATAATTGCCAGGATTAAACAGCAGCATCATTACTCTAATCAGCACAAAAATATTTAAGCAGTACTAGGTCTGCTTAGAACACAAGATCTCTTCATAGTTAAAAGCGCTTTCTGCATTCTAGAAACTGAGTACAGAATAGTTTGTCCCAAAAAGCAAACCAGGGAAATCAGGTTTAACCCAAGACTAGGTTATTAACTAGGGTTTTCTGCATTCTACAAATAACAGAGGAACTTTAAAGGATGCCAGTAAGATCACACACCTGTCCTTGCATATTCATGATGACAACTGTATTCGATCTGTTGCAAACAACGAAGTGCTCTGGGTTTTTAGGCAGCAGAATGACACCGTTCACAGTAATGTCTGTCCCAGCAGTGCTGCCAAGAGACTTGAAGGTGTTTGAGCACTCCGTCGTCTTCACATTCCAAACCTAGTATTAAAAACAAACATAAAACCATTTAGCTTTCAAAAACTGAACCAAGAATGAGCTGACGCAGAACTCAGAATTTTTAAGGCCCCTGGAGGGAAACACAAATTCCAAAAGTTGTAGTTTTATGCAGATTTTGAGGAAGTTATCACACACATTATGAAGTGTGAACAGCGTGAATAATTTCACTGCAACTGAACTGTAGGTGGATCTCCATCACCCAAATTCAGCCTGGCTCCCTTACCTTAAGCATTTTCCCTATGGGGTGAGTCCAGACTTGCTTTATGCATTTAGCTGGTATCTGTGAATATATGTATAACCCTGCATATGCAATTTGCCTTACTGACATGAAAACTGCAGACAAAGCAAAGCCTCACTGCTATTAGCGGGAGGGACATCCCAGATTACAGCTGCCTCAGACTCAACACCAGCTGTTTAGAAACGGGAAATGGAACTACTTGTTTAATATTTAAAAACTCCTTCATCATCTGTGAAATATTTTTGTTGTTTACCTACTAGTACAATCAAAAGAAAGCACCCTCTTAAGCTATTCCCTCAACTGGGGTAGTCAAGTAAAGGGTGCAAGTCCAAAGTAACATTCCATTTGATATGAGCAAATCTATCACAGTTTCCTGGGCACATCTATAACAGGATCTGTTTGCCCAACCTCAATGCACTATATCAATGCTCTACTTAATAAATAAATACAAACCCAACTACATTAACCAAATAAGTCAGTAATGCCCTTGAGAAATAACAATTTACTTCTTTTAACTACTACACACTGTGCAGTTCCACTCTTTCCTGGGACTAAAAGCTGGACCTGTCACTTCTACCATCATCATTAATGTCAGATTACCCAGCTTACACAGCGAGGGACTCCTGAGCACCAGGACACAACAGCTGACCAACACAGTGAGAAAATACAACTACTGCAGACAAGGGAATCCCCACATCCTAAGACAAGACAACACAGTCAACTCAGAACAGGCTTAAGGTAAGTCCTGTACTTATGTCCCCCTTTCACAAATGCAACAAAGGTCACAAGCAGAATCATTACTGCAGGTAACCCCAAGCCCTTCTCCAAAACCTGCAGCAACCACAACAAATCAGCTAGAAGAAAGCAAGAGTCTGAAGGTGTTATTCACAAAGGGTAAATGCTGTCTTACCTTCACTGTGCCGTCAGACGAGGCGCTGATAATGTAGTGGCCATCCTGGGTAAAAGTGGCTTCATTGACAAAGGAGGAATGACCACGGAATTCCTTTAAGGTTTTCCCAGATTTTAAACCGTGAATCCTGTCAGATAACACAGGTGCAAACCAGTGAGCAAATTCTACTCAGTAACAAGACACCAAGTAGGCACAAGATCAGAACTACTGCATTACATAAATATTAATCAAATTAATCAACACTTCCCAGATGCTAAAAGCTGCAGGAAAAAGGGTTTGATGAGGTTGCTGCTGCCTGGTAACTTAAGATTAGAACAGAGTTTGAGTACTTTTGTGAGTATATTCATTCTTACTTTTAACTCAGTGATTCTTAGCTTAAAAAAAGAGTCCTTACTGCACACCTGAAAACTTGTAACTATTTCCTTAACATCCCTACCCATCATGTTTTTACAGAATAAACAGAGCCACGTTCCTCTCAAAGGCCCGTGGCTGAAGTACAAAAGGCAAAAGATACAAGTTAAAAATAAAATTAAAAAAAAAAAAATAGAAGCATTATCAAACCAACCCAAAACATCTTTCCCTAAGTCCAAACGGGATTTTCCCCAAGAGAACTGTAGGGCCCTAGACAAATTCCAAGAGCAGCAGTAGGATCTTCAGCTATGGAAATCTTGAAAACTCAGCTGGGCAAGGCTCTGAGCAAGCAGCCCTAACTGAAAGGCTCACTGTACTTTGAGAAGCATAGTGGACTAAAGACCTGTACAAGTACCTTCTAAATTAAACTGTTTTACAGTTTAGCTGCTTAACGTGAAAATTCTGTTTTCATTTCTCCCACACTGTAGCTCACACATTCTTAGTTTATTTACCTGATTGTCTGATCAAAAGAAGCACTAAGAATCTGGCTGCTGTCTTTAGAGAAACTGAGGCACGTAACACCTTTACTGTGTGCTCGTTCAAATCTCCTCAGACACTGACCACTCTGGATTTTCCACACCTGAAGAGGAAAACAGCAAATGAAATAAAAGTGGTTACTTTGCTGTGAGACCACAGAAGCTTAAACATCAAAGCCAATATATATATATATATATATGTTTCTGAGCCATGCTAAACTTCATTTATTTTTTATATGGGATGGCAACGTTCCTGCAATTGCAAGGTAATCTTTTTGGTCACCATCTCTCCCAACATACAACATGCAGTAGAAGAAGATTTGTACCTTGATCTTCCCATCCTGTGCTCCAGTTGCTAACATTTCTGTGTCTCTGCTGAAGCACATGCACAGCACTGCATCATCCATCATCATGAAGTTATCTTGTGCCTGGTACTTCAGATCCTAAACAAAAGCAGAACATTTTTATTTTAGGCAAAGCACAAAACTACAGCAGTTTTACTTCAGTTACATTTTATAACCCGTCGCCAAGCAGACCTCACAGCTTTGTAATACAAGATTCAAAGGCAAAAACAACGACGTAGAGATAAAAAAATTTATCACAGAGGGATATCTATGACAGCCCAAATAGTTAAACCCATGTAAATATTCCAGACTGATATCTGAATCACCTAAGAAGACAACTTTCTCAGGTTCAGATTCTCTGATAAATGAAAATAATCATAATCTCAAAGAATAAATTGAGGTGCAAATGAACCATCTGTGTGAAATAAGCAGTAACTTGCCTTCCTAATCTTCCCAGTAGTGAAGTTCCACACTTCAATGAAGCCATCAACAGAGCCAGTAACCAGGTACTGTCCATCTGGAGAAAACCGAGCACACTCCACGTGCGACTTCTGCCCAAACTGTTTAAAGAAGAACACAAGCAAAGCTTGATAAGCAACTTAAAAAGAACAACTGATTAAAACAAAACTGTAGTCTCATTTTGATGGTAAAAATGCAGTACTTTCTGCAGGAATGCATTCACAAATTTAATGCTCCTCAGTACAAGTTGTTTCACTTGGAGCAATGTTTCTTCAGTGTAACTTTTACAGGGAATGTTTGATATTTTTAAATATCCCATTTTTAAATTTCCAAGTTTTTAAATACAAGTGATCGTGACAACTAAGTATAGAAAAAAAAGCCTTCACTAGTTAAAACAAAAATACAAGATTACCACTGGCAAATAAAACAAGTTCTAATAAAGCATTTTTAGCAAGCTGTTATCAGACACCACAAATTGATTTCACAAGTTCTGACTTGAGACTTCTAAAAAACAGTTTAAGCCAGGAGTATTTCTTTGCACAGACAAAGAAGGGGACTATGCAAACTTCTGGAAACAGATTGACTCTGAACTGTGAAGCCAAAGAAACAGCACATTTATCTTAATCACAAATACCATAAGCACTCAAAGGTGTTAAAAGACCTTATCTCAGATTGTCAGGAAGAAGTGAGATAAAGATGAGATAAAGCATGGAGTAGAAAAGGGGAGGGGAAAAGGAGGGGGCAGATGACTTACAACAAATAGAACAGAAGAATTCAGAAGATTTACCCTTATCTTCAAACATAAAGCACAGCAAGGAACAAGCAGCAGTAACACACATAAAAGCAAACACATTACCTTAATATGCCTGCTCAGCTGTGTGGGGAACTTCTCCTCTTCTACATCTTTCACAGCTGCTTTGCCTCTGAACAAGTCAATTGTCATACCGGGAGGAAGCAGGCCCTGATGCTGCTGCCATTTCAGTGCCTTTAGGGGAGTTGAAAGCCACAGCATTAGGCATCAATTAACACAGACCTAAGATATATGAAATACTGGCTGCACAGAGTATCCACAAAAACACTCTGAGAAAAAAGCACAACAGGAACAGTGTGTGTTACAGAATGTTATCTACAAAGTGCATTGTATGTGCTGAGTATTTATTCTGCTGGAAAAAAATCTCCTGCTGCAGTGAAGACTTTTCCTACAACAGCTAAATCCTTACCACATGTAAAAAACCTTAATTTTTAATTATTTACCACATGTAAACTGTGTGACACCTGAACCTCACTTTTACAGAGCTGGAGGCTCAACCACACCACAGCTAGCTTACTGCAGCAGGGATTTAAGGAAGCTGACACAGCTACCGAAACGCTTCTCCAAGACTCACCTGCCCCAGCAGTGCCATGAGGCGGGACGGGGGCACCACGCTGACCTCTCCAGCCAGAGCCTGTGCAATGGCAGCTCTCCGCTTCTCTTTGCTGCTCCCATCTGGGTATGCCTAGAGGAGAGTTGTTTTTATGAGATGATTATTCCATAGCATAATTTTTTTTTTTCTTTTCCATGCAAACCCCCCCCCACCATTGCTCCAAACTGAAGCCCCTCCCACATCGATTTTCTGTCAGGCCTCCAAAATTCTGTTCTCTTTAATCCCCACCCCTGAAATGCAGAGTGTAGAATCACAGGATTCTCAGGGTTGGAAAAGACCCCCAAGATCAGGCCACCAACCAAGTCAGCCATTAATCCAACAAGCCTTCACCAAAAACATCAGACTGACATCACCAGCCTGAAATAACTGGTAAGAAATAATGCTTTGCTATTACACAGTAGTATTTTTTGTTGGCACAAGGTGTGTTTTTTTGTGCTGCCCTATGTGAGAAAAAGAAACTAAGGTGTAGATATCACCCCGTGGCAGGACACCGGTATAAACCCCCAAACTCCCACTGCTCTGGTGCTGCCTCACATCATGTGCCAAGCACCATTTCCTAAACACTTCGTGAAACATGTAAAAATCTCCAAACAGGGAAACTGCAGGTTCTCACTCCCAGAGATAGGGAAAAGAGACTCCCCGAGCCGTCAGCGACTCGGGCTGAGGCTGGGGAGGTCTCTGAGAGAGCACAACGTACCTCACGAGGATCGAAGTAGGACCTGGCCAGGAGGTTCTCCAGGTGGATGTAGCGCTCGGGCTGGGTTTGTTTCAGCATGATCATGGGGTCTGTCTGTCTCAGGAGGGACCTGGCAGCCCCCAGCTCCCGCAGCTCGATCAGCTCCAGCACGACCTGCAGCAAGACACGCGTGTCAGTATCAGCGGGGAGCACGTGGAGAGCAACACACAGGGGCTCCCCCGGGGACCGAAGGGCCCGTCCCAGCCCCGCGCTCGCCCACCTGCTCGTAGAGGTCGATGAGGGTCTTGTCGGGCAGCTTCAGCGACTGAATGGCCTGCAGCACCGTGTCCCAGTGCCCGCTGTTGATGTCCGCCACGAAGCTCTCGATGCTGTCCACGGTGTTGAGGGACACGGTGGTCTCCTCCTGCAGCGTGGCCAGCGCGCGGTGCAGGCTGTTCTCCTTCAGGTACTGCATGATGAGCCGGATCACGCTGCGGGGAAGGACGCGGAGAGGGCTCAGAGCGGGCAGGGCGCGGCACGGGGCTCCCCCCGAGCCCACGGCCGCCAACAACCCCCCCACACACACACACACAGTCGGGACCCCCCGAGCCCACGGCCGCCAACAACCCCCCCCCCACACACACACACACAGTCGGGACCCCCCGAGCCCACGGCCGCCAACAACCCCCCACACACACACACACTCGGGCCTGAGCCCACGGCCGCCAACAACCCCCACACACACACACGGGACCCCCCCCTGCTGCCCCCTCGCTACCCCCGCCACACTTACTCGGAGGATTCGATTTCGATCGACATCTTGAGCTGCTGCCGCCGATACAACCGCCGCTGCTGGTGTTACCGCCGCTAAATCACCGCTGCTGCTGGTGTTACCGCGCTAAATCGCTATCGCTGCCGCTGCCGCTGCCGCTGCCGCCGCCGCCGCCGCCGCCACAAGGCCTTCTGCCCGCACTTCCGCCAGGCGTCCAAACGCCACTTCCGCCAGACCTCCCACTTCCGCCCCTCCGACCCCTCCCCCTGACGTCACTGCTCGGGGCGGTGCTCGCCCGCGGACAGCCCCGCCCCCCAGCGGCGGGGCGGGTCTGGCGCCCCCTGGCGGCCGCGGGCGGGGAAGGCGCCCTCTCCCCGTGCCTCGGGAAGGACTTGGAAGGGCTGGAGCGGGCCCGGACAGAGCTGGGGAAGGGTCAGGAGCGCAAATCTATGAGGAGCAGCTGAGGCAGGTGTGAGAAAAACTTCCTCGCTGCTCTCTCCAACTGCCTGGGAGGAGGTTGTGGCCAGGCGGGGGTCGGTCTCTTCTCCCAGGGGTAACCAGTGACATGATGGGAGGACAGAGCCCCAGGCTGCATCAGGGGAGGTTTACTTTGCACCTCAGGAGGAACTTCTTCGCAGAAGAGGTGATCAGAGATTGGGATGGACCTGCCCAGGGAGGTGGTGGTGGAGTCACCGTCCTTGGAGGTGTTTAAGGAAAAGGCTGGACTTAGCGCCGTGGTTTTGTGGACATGGTGGTGTTCAGTCATAGGCTGAGCTCAGAGATCTCAGAGGTCTGTCCCAGCCTAATTGATTCTGTGCTTCCACCCCCTGTCTTTTGTCCATCAGGATCACGGAAGATTCCCTGTGGTGACACTGACAGGTCAGGCTGCAGGTCACGCATCCCGGCATGGACATGGAATGGTTCCTTGCCCTCCTGCTTCTTCGCCCGTGCAGGTTTGCAGGTGCAAGTCAGGGGTGTTACTCGCAGCTTGCAAGTCTCAATAAACCATTGTGAGCTCTGCATTTCAGGAGTGTGGTCATGTGTGGAAGAATGACAGTACACAAAGTAACGTCTCAAGAGTAAAGGAATTGACAGCATGACTTGCTGCTTTTATTTATGGACTGAGAATTAGAAGAAAAATACTGCTCTACTGGGCAGAGCCCTCCAGTGGCACAGGGATGGGGCATGAGAAGAGAGCTGTCCTTTAAACACACGCAGGGTGGCTGTGGCAGTCCATCTGTGCTGCCTGGACTCTGACCAAGGCCAGAAGTCTTGAAGCTCCTTGGTCCTTGGGCAGCGCTGAGGATCTTCCAGGCATGGCACACCTGCTCCCAGTAAGTGCCCAGTACCAGTGCTAGACTGCCAGGGCGTGGGGGTGTGAAATCCTCAGCACTCGGCCCCTCTTGGACGGGCCTGTTTCTTGCTGGTTTTTTTTAGGCGTGTACGCTTTGCTGGATGAGCCATGGAAAACAGAGCCGTGTGTGAGAAACTGCCTCCCTCTGCCAAGGAAAGCTGTTCTTCACTGTCTCTGTCCCCCAGAGTGCTTAAGAAAGTAATCCAATAGCGTGGAGCTGAAAAAAGTAGTGAGTGAGGCACACGGCTAACATGTCGCATGCTGTTGTTCCCTCTGCATGATCCCAACTGGTTTGTTTAACTGCCCGTACAGAGGTGCAGGGATTGCTGCAGGAAAGTACTGGTTAAGTTATTCCAGGCAAATTTGTTTTCAATGACAGGTGTTATTTATGTGGGTTGAAGGTTGTTCTGAAAACAAGTCTGATCCAGACTGTAACAAAGCAAAGCCATAAAATCCAAAGATGGCAGCTATTTTTGTGCTGGCAGCACACAGGAATCTGGCTCAATTCCTCAGTAAATTCAGCTGGTGCTCTCTTGCCTGCCCTCCCTGCAGTGTTACTGGCCTCTATCAGGAAAAACCGAACAGGCAACACCTGGTCTTGAACCATCCCAGTCCCCAGGATGGTATTTTTTTGAGAGGTGAAGATGCTTAACAAACTGGACAGATGTTGGTTTATATACCCCCTCTGGCCTTCCTTCACAAAGAGATGCAGAGAGGGAGATGGACACCCCAGGTAGACCTTCGTGTGCTCTCCATGGACTCCACCCAAGTGCTGTGCAAGCACATGAGAAGCAGACTTCAACTTTGTGGCTAGACACAGCTACAGCCAATCTCATCTGGTGCTGGCAGCAGTCCAGTGTCTGGAGACCTCCAGAGATGCTTCCAGCCAACACTCACAGGATGCCAGCTCCAGCAGAGCATTAGGGTTTCCATTTTATATTTTGGCTCCACTGGGAAATGGATGCAAAGAGAGATAAACAGTCTTGCTGCAGTTAGGCAGCACAGATATCTGCAGTACGCTGGAGCTGAATCCAGGTCTCCTCAGTCCCAGACCCAATCTTTAAATGGAAGCTGAGCAAGTGCCTTGGAATCAAAACTTCCAGTTTTTAAGGAAATAAGTTTACCTTTCTCTCTTCTCTTGCAGAAAATCTATTAAAATATTTAATAAAATATTTTTCAGATTCCTCCCGGTTCAAAAGTTATCAGTTTCCTGCACTCCCCTCCTGCAAATCACCTGTGATTTGACATCGGGGTGTGGTTCCAGAGAGTTTGTAAAGCTTTGCAAAACCGACTTTGTTTATCATTGAGGGTGAGGCAGACCACATGCTGGTCCATGTGAGGAGATGCAGATAAAGGGGCATTACTATCCATTTTTCTGCACATCCGTCTGGGAAGGATGTGGAGAAGCTGGAGGGGGGCTAGCAAACAACGGCAAGGCAGGAAAGAGCACGGGGCACGTGGCATGCAGGCAGAGCTGGCAGGAGGAGGTGAGGCAGGAGGGGCTTTAACATCAGCGTAGAACTGCTGGAAGGCCAATTCCAAATGGCTGAAGGCTCTCTGATAGCCTCAGCTGAAGCAACAAGTGGCAGCAGCCACACAGCTGTTGGGTGACTGTCAGCCCTGGGACCACGCACCAGGGAGGTGGGGTGATCCCTGCCCTGGAGAAGCGGCATTAGCTGCGGCCACAGAAAGCTTGTGGGGGCTGGGAGGGCCTTGTCACAAGTGGGACTCGGGCGGAGACTCCCCCCACACCCTCCCTTACAAGAGCTCTGGTGCTGCTGGCGCTCTGCAAACTGAGGACCACACTCCGGCTTTATCCGACCCTCAGCAGCACAGCAGGGAGGACTGGCAATTTAGGCCAGTCTCTGAAAGATACCCAATGAAATGTATCTTGGACTAATTAGGCTTTAGGGCTCAGGAACTCAGTTCCAGTTGCCTGGCCTCTGTTTTGACCCCTGTTTTCTTTGAAGTTCACAGAGAAGAAGGGAAAAGGAAATGAGGGGAGAGGCCCTGCTTTTCCTGCAAAATGCCTCATTCCTTATAAAATCGTTTGGCAGAAATCTCTTTCAGCTGGACAAGCTGAATGCTTTATTACATGCCTGCAGTCATTTTCCACCCTTGTCTCATTCCCCTGGCTGCTCAGTCCCCGCTCTGCATCAGTAAAGCTGTAGAAGTACAAACACAAATACTTCTCAAAGAGGTAGCAGAGAGGATCACCAAGAGCATGTCAGAGGTCTCAGAGTGGCAGCAGCTGTGTTCTTTCCTGGGCCAGCTGGGAGTGCACAACACCATGCAAGTACAGTGGTGCCAGCTCCAGCTCAGCTCCATGTTTTCAGACCTTTTTTCCCAGGCCAGCCTGCTGGGACACACACCTTCCAGCCTTTGCCAGGCCATGAGAAAACCACACCAAAAATCCTCACTGCCATGTTAACGCTGCCCAGGCCTGGTGAGGGAGAGGCACATAGTGTCTCAGGTCTGTCCTGGACACTGGGGGTGTTTTACAGCACAGGGAAGACAAAAACCTCCAAAGGAAGGCAGAAGTATTCCCTCCCTCCCACTGTAACACAGAATTGCCAGGAGGTCTTGGTAGGAAGGCATCTCTGTAGGTCTCTAGTCCACCCCCCTAGTCCAAAGCTGGATCAGGTGGTGTTGGGCCGTGTTGAATTCTGCATACCTCCAAGGACAGAGATCTGCTCTGAGTTGCACCACCCTCAGTGCAGGAATTTTTTCATGCCCAGCTGGAATGTCCTGTCTTGCAGTGTAATGAGTAGTAGTGGTTTAATTTACTCATCAAATTAGTAATAGTGGCTTACTCATTAAACTGTAGTGCATATTATATTCTTTTATATATATATATATATGTCATTATAATCACTGTTCTGTTACGGGTAAGAAACTGTAAGTTGTAGAATGGTTCATTAATCTATCAGCATTGTAAGCTGAAAAAGCATGATGTTTGCAGTTCTAAAGCTAGAAAGACAAACCATTGTGCCTTGTTAAGTAAGTATTTTTGTATCTTATTTTTCTAAAAAGTTTATTGTCTCACAACACGCATAAATAACGAAAGAAAGGACAAGGATTGAAGAGTCAGGGACTGAAACAATACAGAATGTCCAAGATGGACATCTGGAGATGCCTGCACGCTAGGCCTCAAGGTCTAGGGACTGATTGGAACTATGGAAAGAGAAAGCACCTGGCAACCGAAGCGAGAATGCAGAGAGGCCAACCAGAATCAGACCTGCAAAGCTCAGATCCAATAGAAAAACAACAAGTGACAATGGGAGGGAAACCAATAAGGGAATAAAAGTTACTGGTTTTGTTCACTGAGCTTGCGTGCCGTGAGTGGAGCAGGAGACTCCCCGGCCACCCAGCATGCTGTTTTACTTATTTGCATTTTGTATAAATCTTCAATAAATTTTTATTACTATATTTCAACTCAGTTTCATTTTACTTATAACATGCAGCATTTATCTATTGCTCCATGTCCTGTCCTTGTCTGCCTCTGAGAAGAATCTGGCTCTGTTTTTTCCATGACCACCATTCAGGAAGTGGGTGACCCCTGTGAGAACTCTCCAGTTGTCTCTCCTCCATGCTGGACAAGCCCAGTTCCTTCAGTGTCTCTTCATGTGCCCTGTGCCACAGCCTCATCACCGCCTTGGTGGTCACCGCTGGACTCTCTCCAGTTTGTACTGGAGAGGCCTAAACTGGATGCAGTACAGAGATGAATCTTCAGCAGCACTAAGTGGTGAGGAAGAATCACCTCTCCTGTGCTTAGCTTCACAAAGTTGCTTCTAGCCCGTTCCTCCAGCCTGTTGAAATTACAGCAGATGACAG